TATTAGTATGTATCGAAGCGCTCTTGTTAGCGGTTTTGTAAACATTTTGGTCTTCTTTAACAAATTAGCGAATAATTTTTAAACCGCTCGATAGATTGTTTTGAAAATTTAAGATTCTTGAGATTAACCTTCCTTTTATATGACCTTTTAGTTTCAAGATTATTGATATATTGTAAGGCAGTAAAATAAGGGCTACAATTCGTTACGTTTTTATCAGAAGTTTCGTTATTACAAGTGAAAACCTCTCATTATTCAAGGCATTGTCTCCAAGTTTCATTTTCACGTGAACAACAGTAACTAACAATGCATTTGACATATGCAAAAATGCTAGCTATTGTTATGCGCGAAAATATGAAACTTGGAGACAATACCCTGAATAATGAGAGGCTCACATTTGTAAACACAAAATTTTTGCCAAAATATTGGCGAATTGTAGCCCTTATTTTACTGCCTTACAATACATCAATAATCTTGAAACTAAAAGCTCATATAAAAGGAAGGTTAATCTCAAGAATATTAAATTTCTAAAAAAATCTATCGAGCGGTTTAAATATTATTCGCTAATTTGTTAAAGTAGACCAAAATGTTCAAAAACCGCTAACAAAAGCGCCTCGATACATACTAATCAAATCCTTCTTTCTAGCAATCGGCTGGAGCTATCTCCACGGTCTTTCACACACGTTTTTAAAAAGATTGAAACTACTATGAGGTGAAATTACATGTCAAAAGCGCTTCATTTTCTACAGCTAACGGGCAAACGACAATATTGTCCATTTTTCACTGTGTTTCTAACCATAAAAACTTCATCCCAAAATATCTCGATAACGCTCTTACAGATTTCGCTTAAACTTCACGAACATCGAGGCCGCTATTGGAGGAAAAAGCTCCCGTGAATGATTTTGGAAGAACAGTTCCCAGAGCCGAGAAATACTTCTGTAAGTAAAATAGGTAATAGCGTCATTTCGTTGCTATGACAACTCCAATGTCATTGCAACCCTGATCATAAAAGATTTTCATCTTTATCTAATACATCTGTGGTGGCAATTTTTCCAAAACTTTGTTTATGTCGACGTAGTTTATGCTCAAACTTGGAAGGTATTGGCCTTGAAAAACTGTATCGAGCCACCTTAAGATAACCCAGGGCTAGTGCGAGATTTGAATTAAAATTTGATTTCAGTTTTATTTCTTTTACTGCTACAAGATGACGATTGGAAGCTCTGAAAATAACAGAAAAAATTATCCGAGAAAATGCTTTTGAACAAGAAGACACACACAATCGTTTTTCAATTACAGTCGACTCCCGATAACTCGAACCCGTGCTAACTCGAACGTCGCGCTAATTCGAACCAAAATCGATTTCCCCTGGATTTCCGTCATACATTTACTGTAATTTTAACCTCGGTAACTCGATCTCCCGCTAACTCGAACCAATTTTCTTTTCCCCTCAGGTCATTTTCTATTTTACCCTCGATAACTCCGAAACCATGTTTTGAGCCCTTAAAAAGTCGGTAAAAAAGCCGTCTACTGGCGTCCGAAACATTGACTTTTGGATTTCCTATTAACGTGTTGTAGGAGTATAGTTTACAAATGGAGGCTGATGTTGATTGTCACAGACTAACGTGAAGCAGCTTTACTTCTCAAAACAGTAAAACGCATGCTCTATTTAGGCTACGTTTTGTTACGTTACGTTCTGATTTATAATCTAGAAGTATCTTTTAATTTTCACTTGACATTTCTACAATTAAAAGTGATTATATAAAATGTTCACTGTGCAGTAAAAACTGTTTTTTACCTTACTCTCGGCTATTTTCTTCGAGTTTCCGATAACTCGAACTCCCGATAACTTGAACTTTTCTCAATTTTCCTTGAAGGTTCCAGTTGTCAGGAGTCGACTGTATACAAATATATTTCGAACGTTACGCAACAGTGCTGATGGTCATATTTCAGTGTAATTGGAATACGTGTAACGTAATATACTCACCAGTTGTTTCGGTTGTCACGTCGAAATGTACCATTAATTCAGGGAATAGAACGCCGAAACTAAGGACAAAGCCGGTGTTAAGAGAACCGCAAATTGCTGAGGAGATACACACGACCCACGACCAAAGACTGTCTGAGTGATGTTTGCCTCGGAAAAACCAGCATAGTTTTCCAAGTATCTCGTTAGAGTTTTCTTGAACATCCATATGAGCGGTGTATGATTTTTAACCTGGACAAAAATGTTGGGGCAACAAAGTCAGAATAACCAAATTTAAATCTTATTTTAGGGTCTTCATGTTATATACAAAGTAATTGATGATTGGTCTGACTGACCATCATGTTTCCCGCCACAGTTTGCATCAAGTATATTGTCGCATGTATTTCAATCCGATAAAGGCAAAACATTCTAATAATTTATAACACTAGCTCTGATTGGCTACCTATCTGAGCCGAATGTCCAAAACACGTGGTTTTTCAACGCTAATCGTTTTCTCAGGAGCTAACTCCAGTCCTAACCCTAGGGCTAGGGTTAGGGTTAGGGTTAGGGTTTGATTAGGATTACTTCAGAGATCCAAGATTTTTTGTCCTAACCAGTTTTGAATATCTTTCTCTAGAAGTCTTCGACGATACTCATCTTTTGTACTTGGTTTCAGATTCTCAACGCTACTCGTTTTAACTTCCCGGGAGCTAACCCTAACGCTAACCCTGGGGCTAGAGTGAGGGTCAGCTTAGAGTTACTTGAAGACCGAAGATTTTTTATCCTAACTAGTTTTAAAGATTTAACTAGAATTCTTTGACGATACGTATCTTTTGCACTTGGTTTTAGATTCCCAACGCTAATCGTTTGCTGAGGAGCTTACCCGAACCCTAGCCGTAGGAGTTGGGTTAGAGTACGAGTTACTTCGAACCTCGAAGATTTTTTATTTTAACCAGATTTAAATATTTTTCCCTAGAAGTGGTCGATGATACGCGACTTTTGCCCTTGTTTTCAGATTCTTTCGCAAGTAGTTTTCTGAGGAGCTAACCCCAACCCTAACCCTATGGAAGATTTTTTGTCCTAACCGGTTTTAAAGAGTTTATTTATTTATTTATTTTTTTAATGTATTCATTTTTTGGAATTCTTACAGGAAGAGGTTATTACATGCAAGATGCTTTGTAATGCCGTACATAACCGGACGGACTCGGATGGTCAGTGATCTACAACTTTTGGGCTGTGTTTACACTATACCCGATAGCTTTGGGCTGGCCTCCAGCGCAGGCGTTTTTGGGGGAGCTCGTATTTCGTCCCTCCCCACAAACGCCTGCTCAACCAAGAACAATTCTTCGTTTTCACTGTCACGCAATAAACACGGCACAAAAAAATACATCTGAAACCGTCCAGTGGAAGAAGCCAAGAAAATGAAATGTTATAAAAGACTAATATATAAACAATTTGTCCAGATCTCAGGTCTTTGTGGCCCACAGTTTCTGAGTTAGTTGCCGAAATATTTCACGCACCTTTGTAGAGCTTTGTATGGAGACGCCATACTGGTGGACAGAAACTGTCCACCAATATGGCCGCCGGAAATCAACAAAAACATCTGGAGTTCACTTTTTCTATAAAAGCTCTTCCTTTTCACTCGAGAACTAGCATACTTGCGCATAAACATATCCTCTAATACTTGAAATGGTTAAACTGCTGAAAATCAAGCGGAGGGACTTTTTTTCAAGGAGATAGTATTCCTCTTTTGGCGTCACGCACTGTGAAAACTCGGAAGTTCAAATTGCTGTATTTTCGAAATGAAACATGCTTCGGGGCTGGAAACTTGTACAAAGATGTATTTCCTATTAATCTTCAGCCTAGTGTAAATAAGAATTCGTAAAACCTCGCTTTTTTGCAATCTGATGACGTCACCGTGAAAACCATCAATATTCCTTTTCCAAGCTTAGCCAATCAAATTGTAGTTTCCAACTTCTGGAAAGTTGACCTTGACCTCAGGGTAACCCAATAATTACTCGATCTGTATGAAACACTGAGAAAGCTTTATGACCTCTAATAAATGTTAGACTAAGAGCTTCAAAAGTAAGATTTAGTTAGATTTTAGAATACTCCGTGCACTGCATAGCATAGCCTTAGCGAAAGAAAGAAAAAAAACGGTAACTATATGGTCACATTTTTACACTACCATGGGCTTATGAGTCGTGTTTAGCCTGTCAACACTTTATTTCAAAACGTAACTGTTGATTGGTCACTTACCACGCAAATAAAACAATGGGAAGGGACAAAATACGAGTTCCCCTGAAAACGCCTGCGTGGGAGGCTACTTTTGGGTCGGCAGGAAAACCATACCGGATGAGGGTTTCGGCTCACAGTCAAGAACGGTTGTGGTGGCGCGATTTCTATGACGGAGTGAAGCACATCCAGTATAGTATCAAAATATACATGTAGCCTTATTTTGTGACTGAAATCTTTCTATGAAAGTAAACATTATTATTATTATTATTACTATTATTATTATTATTATTATTAATATTATTTTTTACTTAAGACATTTATTACCCTAATTACAAAGAGCTAATTAAAAATAAACTAATTACAAAATTCTACACAACCGTAATAACAGAAGGATAGAAAAAGGGAAAAGTATTTCATACTTGCAGTTATCTACATTTCACAATTATATGCGTTACAGCCAAAAAACAGCCGCGCAATTGCTGAAAGTGGCTTATTTTACAAATAGTTAATTAATACTTGATTATGAAAGTAAATATGATCATCGCTTTAGAATGAACAACCTAAGGGGCTGGAAATAGAACTGCAGAAAAAATTCAGGCTTGTATGATTCTTTCATAACTGGTGCGTTGTGTTTTTTACCTTCAAATGGTTCGAGAGTGACACGCTTGAATAAATCTGGATTAACTGACTTGACTGTAAGTTGTGATGTTGGTGTTTAGCCATTGCAAGTTTTAAATCTCTTTACCTTCAGTTTCTAATATGACAAAATGATCATTACTTTTTCAGCAATCCGTTTATTTATCTAGCCCCTCCAAAAATAAGCTCCTCAAAAAGGGCCTTTGAAAACTATAAGCCCCAGGGCTTATTTTCGGAATTTTTCGGTATGAGGTCCAGACAAGTTAACCCCACCCAAAATAAAGCATAAATATTAGGAGTATTTTATGCAACAAAGAAATCATAAAAATAAAAAGTCATAAAAAAAAGAAAAGAAATAATAACAATAAAAAACAAACAAACAGAAAGCAGACTGTAGAACCATTTAGACCTTACTTGAAAAAAAAAAAAACGGTTTCAGTATGCAAGTAGAGTTCTTTCTGAGGTTTGAAGGATTATCGTTGGGACTGAAGTACAGACAAACCAAAAAAGGCTTTGGTACAACATTTCGTGATAGAAAAACACAAATTTATTTGAGCATCACACAATCGTGAGGATTTTAAAAAATAATGTAGAAAATATCAATGGGGTGCATGGGGACCCCATCTTCCTACTCGACTCTTCAGCTCATAACTAAATTTTCGCTTGGTACTTTTTAGGCACCCATAACTGCGATCCAAAAGAACTTCTAGATAGGGATTTCTTCTTGATGGGTTTGACCCTGAGTCTTAATCCCTTCCGTTCTTTCTGTAACCATTTGTTTATCGTTATTAACGTGGCTCTGAGGAAGAACTCTGATACTTCTATGATTGATAGGAATCAAAACCATTGGAATCAGAAATGCGACCAGAAGAACACCACCAGTCATGTAGAATGAGTAAACATAACTTCCTGTGTTGTCCACTATTATACCTGTTCAAAAGAAATGGCAATCAGAGTTGCTTTTACTACAAAATAAGTAAATTAATCTAAGGGCGTATTATATTGGGAACCTTATTTTGCATTTGGCTGTAAATGGAAGCGCCTATTTTTGGAATTTTGTGATAGATATTTTAATTATGCAAATATCTCGAGAAGAGTACGTAAGCGAGCAAAACAAATGCTATTTGCCTTCCGGGGTACACCCTTAAAAAAGAGAAGAAGATGCTCCTCTTCTCAGCTTGAGGGGTGTAAATTGCTAGAACGGAAAGGTATTATACTCAGGAGAGTGTGGAGGGAAATATATACAAACGCCGCGTACTGTCTTTCGCGCAATAATTAAATCACTACAGCTCGTAGCTGGTTGCATGAATTGGTTGCCAGTTTTTAATACTTTTGCCTTTTTTAGGGGTCAAATAGTCTCGTTTAGGGTTTTTGTTTGTACGGTTTTCTGACGAGCATCCAGCGTACCCCGCACCTTTTATAAGGGATTACCCTCGGGCCTCGTGAGGCTCATAGTCGCCTATTGAATAGGGTCTGTTGCACAACAGTCTGACAAGACATTAATCGTAGCAGGTAACTATTTAGATCATTACATTAGACTGTTTCAAATGCTTTGTTTTCCTTTTTCAGACCATGTGATGTTACCCCACATTCCCGTTTATTTCAAATTTCGTCCTGTCCACGAGCATATGATCATGAATAAAGAGCTTAAGCCCTGTGCAAACGGACGCAAAATTGTTGTTGAGTTATTGTTGGGAGTTGCTGGCCAACAATGTTGCGTCCATTTGAATTGCACGAGGCTTAAAAAGACATAAGTTCAAACTCTCTTGAGAACATCAGGTCGCCTGAATTGGCGGAAAGAGAACATACAAGCCAAAAAGACTCATTACAGATATTAACTCACCAGCAATTGGGCTACCAGCAGCTGCAGCTATTGAATAAAGTACGTTGCTAGTACAGAAGGACGTTGTTACTCTTTTAGCATCCACACAGGTTAGCTGAGTATACACAGCTGATGTCATGAAAATTCCATCGCTGAAGCCATAGATAAAGCTGAAGACGATTAACAACCAGTATTTTGTGGCAGCAAACTGAAGCAAAAATACGGAAAGAGCAGCCAATAGCATGGATGCCTGATAAGTAAAGATGGAATTTACTTTTTTGTTGTTGCACAACTTTCCTGTTATGATCCTTGCAAGGGATGAAGAAAGGCCAATAAAAATAAATAAGCGAGAAGTAGCTTGGGCGCTTATTCCATTATCCTCTGAATACTTCACCTATAAAAATAATCAAACCAATCAGTATATTCAGTATTATAAAATACTTCATGGAAGGTGCACGTTTACGGTACGGTATTTAACGTGTATTTACCCACGATCGCGAGTTGTTGACGTATCAGAAATCGAACAAGGGAGCAAAGTTACGAATACGGCTTGTTACACAGTAATTTTCAAGGAGTTCTAATAACTCCTCTAGTGGGGCTAAATTAACTCCGTACAGCGGAGTTATTTTTTGGGGAGTTATTTTAACTCCAAAAAGGAGTTTAAAGAACTCTTTTTTAGGAGTAAAAGTGACCCCTGAGGAGTTAAAATACCCTCAAAAAAGGAGTTATCCTGTACCTAAAATTTTTACTCCATTTTCAGAGTTAAATTAACTCCAAAAAGAGTAGAAACAACCCATGTAAGGAGAAAAAGTAACCCCATTTCGGAGTTATTTTAACTCCAGACTGGGAGTAAAAAGAACTCTTTTTTTTCGGAGTAAAAATGACGCCAAATTCGGAGTTAAATTGGAGTTAAAGTAATCCCCCAAAAGGGGTTTTCTTGTACCTAAAATTTTTACTCCATTTGTGGAGTTATAATAACTCCCTAAAAATTACAGTGTACGTACACGGTAAGGAGGAGCAGTGACTAGTAGTAGCAAGCTTTGAGCAGCAGAATGCTGTAAGGAAGATTTAAGAAGTGAAGACGAAAAAGTAAAAGAGGACTCTTTTTACATTCTCGGCTTCGTGCGATTTGCTCGAACCCGCGTCCAACGCGTGAGTTGGCAGTTTGCGGTAAATGTGGTTCTAAACTGATCCTACTAATCATCTGATAGAGCTCGTCGCAGTAAAAATCAGTGAGGCTTGGGGCGACAATTTTTTTAAGTCCAATTATTATGTAAAAAAGACTTACCAGATATATTAATGGAATGTATATCGCAAATGCTGTAACCATAAAAGAAATGGTAACCACAACGAAAGTAGGAATTTTCCACACGCTGCAGTAAAGAGAAATGCTGCTTCTTTCATTGTCTTGGTTCTCATTTTTGTTTTCTATATTGTGACCCGTTGTTTCTTGCAACTGTATGTTTGGGTTGTAAGTCAAGCCCAGGAGGCAGACAAGGGCGAAAGCCACGACCATGATCCTGTAAGTGCCTCTCCATCCAAACGAATCCAAAAGAAATTGAAGCAACGGACCTGTGAAAAAGACGCCAGTGCTTTCCCCTAAAGCTACAATACCAGTTGCCATGGACAACTTCTTTTTAAAGTACTGTGCGATTACAAGATAGCAGGAGTTGTAGATAAAACATATTCCTAAGCCAATTATCAGACCATGCGTGAGGTACATGAGAGTGAGGCTCTTAGCAAATGACGACACCACCAAGCCGGTCATGCACAACGCTGCTCCCAGAGAGTTTGTGATACGACAGCCCCAACGATCACAGAGATAGCCAGGCAACGGACTGGCAAACCATGCCATGCCCAAGGTTAGCGAACCGAGGCCAGCTGAAAAGAAAGTTGACGTTATTTTAAGGATGATTAAAAATGTTGTTTACCGATGACGTTATATCGGCACCGCTTAGAAGACCTTCTACGATTTCCTCATGTTTGATGATAAAACCATAAATCTATGACTGCAAATCGCTCAGTGGTTTACACGTTGGTAAAAGGAAATTGACGAGGGCACTCTAGTAAACACCCACGTGGTTTTAAAGGAGGACCAAAATAACTTCATCTAGGGACGTTGTAAAATGAGTCTAATTATTCCTCTTGTAGTTAGAATTGTGTGTATTATTCTACCATTTACAGAGAATAAAGAATATGTGTAAAGCGATTCGTCTAATTTGACTTCTTCATTTTGCATGTGGACATTTGATGGGATCTTTGCAAGTACAAACTTATCCTTGGTCAGCTGGTGCGGACCGCCGCTGAGCATGGTACATTTCGCGACACTGTATAAACTTTTTCTCTGGATAAATCCGATACTGAGGAAATTTTACGCAAAAAGTGCGAAATCTCGCATCTTGGCCTGAATATGGCCTGACCTCGGTCAGGCTCTAGCGATGCCAAATTAATATAGCAAACTACCACAAAAATTTCACCGGAAGTCTGTGAGGAAGAACATCCTCAAAGACTCTTGAAAGGCAAGCTTTTCGGGAAGACGGTCAGTTTTTCATGGGCGTAAGTTTACAAAAACGCTCCGAGCCATGGAATGAATAATCAGAAACAGGGTTGAAGAGGAGTGCTTGTACTCCAAATTGTTTCAGATCATCTTTGTAAAATTGCAGGGGAAATAGAGATCTGGTATTCCCCCCTATAATAGCTTTCAGGTACAAACGGTACGGTGGCCCACAACTTTCACGGCAAAACCAAAAACCTCACGGCAAAACCAAATACACAGCAAAAACCATGCAAATACCTCATGGCCAAAGCCAATACCCACGGCAAAACCAATTAAAGCTATTTTGCTTTTGCTGTGAAGCATTTGGTTTTGCCGTGATGTTTTTGTTTTTGCCGCGAGGTATTTTGTTTTTGCCGTGAGGTTTTTGGTTTTGCCGTGACAGTTGTGGGCCACCATACCAAACGCGAATGATGTAGCAATGGGAAATTAGCCTTTGGGCATGTACTGCACGTGTCTGATCATCTCATTTTGTCCGTTAACAAAGAACACAAGGAAGATGCATGACCTCGGACAAGCAGAGTCAAGTGCAAGTTAGAGACGAACGGAAACCACAGTGAATAATACATTGGGTTAAAATTAAATGAATAAATTACAAGGATGAAATTATTGCTAACTGAGAAACAGTCAATGAATAAGGAATATATTAGATCAAGGTATTCCACTATACTAATACTATTACTGTTCGGTTAAAGTACACTCGACCCTTTCGGTCGATCACTGTTTTCGTGTATCGTTTTCATCTTTTTTTTTTTTAAATAGCTTATTTACTACCACATTAAATCAACTCTTGATTACAGGGCACAGTCTAAGCGGAAAGTGTACGTGCAAAAGAAGATCAGTGTCCAAAACACAAGTGGCTTTCAAATCTTATCTCCAACCTCTTTCCCAGGTTCTCTCTCCTACCCGTCTCTCTCGCTCCGTAGGGACTGGTAGGAGAGAACCCTGGGAACAAGGTTGGCTTATCGCCTGCTTTTATCTACGTGCAGAACCTCCTTTTTCGTGATATATGCTTGTCTCGTCCTGTTGAATTTCGCATGAACACAATTTTCAACGTGAAATGTGATTTCAGAAAATTATAGATTAAGTGTATTCTTTATCGCTTTTTTCCAAAAAGAAAGACAATCCTGTTAAAATAGGCCTCGTTTTAGTGTTTATTAGATAGTCTACTCTTTTGGGAGTATATTAACTAACACCAGGCAAAACGTCTACGCATGCGCCGGGTTGAGTATTTCCGGTCACTTTTTCAGTCACACTCCAGTCAAAGTCTCGCGTGAGAAACAACCAAGCCGCACAGTCTGGAATTATCGAAGCTTTCAACCAAAGAACAACCTTGTAAAAGAATTAATAAGAAATAAAATAGGCATTTCCTTGAATAAAAGTACATTTTAGGTTTGTTTAGTTTCCCGCCAAGATCTTTCCGTAACCGGAAAGCTCCGGGAAGTCGTGACCGCGGTCATCCCTGAAGAGTTTGCCAATCTCGCCCATCTTTTGTAAATTTTTGTTTCTCCCGGTTTGCAAACTGATCATTGAACGGACCAAACTGTTAGGTCCTGGTTAGTTCTAGCCTGCAGTGCAGGCATTTTTTTCGGGTACGCGAATTTTTTTGCTCGCGAAAGTGCCTTGTTGAAACTCCAAAAGAGAGGAAGAAATGGGGCGAGTCAAAGAGCGGTGGAGGGGAGGGGAGAGAGAAAAGAAAACGGCTTATTTTTTCTCCCCTTCCCCTCCCCCTTTTCCTTCTTTCGCTCTTTCGCTCTAGCAGCTACCCAAGGGTTGCTATTTCTACTCTCCCCCAACCTTCCTCTGTCATACATGAATCAAAGATGGCTTTTCAGCGTTGGCGCAACCAGGAAACCCCTTGGTGCCAAAGCCTGATACTAGAAAAATGAATGAATTTTGAAAAGAAACAATTTTTTTTCTTGATCTTTTGTTCCAGTTTCGTGCTCTTTGTTTTAATCTTCGTGCGAAAGGGGTATATTGTTTTCTCAATTAGTTTATATATTACGCAACCAGAAATACAAAAGTGACCGGATGTTAAATTTTTCGCTCACAAGCAGTACCTTTTGCGCTAGATATTAATGGCTAACTAGGACTTCCTGCATACTAATTTTAAACCCCCTGGGCCCAGTTGTTCAAAGCTGGGTTAAGATAAGCCAGAGTTAGTGCAAGATTTGAATTAAGATTTGAAAGCATTTCAGTTTTATTTCTTTTACTCTACAAGATGATGATTGGAAGCTCTAAAAATGCTTTTGAACAAAGGAAAAAGAAACCAGGGATAAATTTAACCCCTGGTTTGGCGCTAGTCGGCCTTCGAACAGCTGGGCCCTGACTAAACTGATGTCCTCGGGTAAATGTTACACATTTTGATTAATTGCTTCTTCCAGGAATCGACTCCTGCCCCTTCGTTTTAAGGTTCTGATGTATCGCCACAGCGATGTATCTGTACAAGGGATTTTGTTAAAAAAAAAAAAAAGGCAGCCATCATCTCGAAAATGAAATATGTGCGTCGGCATTGTTGCATAATGATTTTTTAAAGGGAAAAAAACTATTGTTTCTGTAACCCAAACACACTTCGAAAGCAGTACGTATGTAAATGAACTGACTGAGGGAACACTACTGTTTTTTAGGAGTTTACGCAACGACGACGGCGACGACTGCGCGACGAAAACGTCACTTAAAAAGTTAATTTGCGCTGCTTCAAACTTAGGGCCTGTTTACATGGAGTGGGGGACCCCGGTCTAGTGCGGTTGGTTTCTTTTGTTTTCACGCTCTGGTGGACACAGAACAAAAGAAACCTACCCCACTAGACCGGGGTCCCCCGCTCTATGTAAACAGGGTCTTAATCGGGCTTATTCCATCTCGTTTAATTCGTCAAATGTTGACAATTTTTTTTGGAGTTGAATTCTAAAGGACTGCATCAAAGTTTAGAAAAGAAAACATGAGAAAATTTTTGTCCTTTGTTCCCGTCCTCGACAAAACGTGAAATTAGGCAGTTTCACAATGTAGTCGTGCAACGACGGCAGAGAACTATTCAAAAAAGCGTGATGCACGTGCAAAGTTGTTGTTTTGCTTGTCTAAGCCTATTGCTTTTTTGCCGTTTCTGGTTGCCGCCGCCGCCGTCCTTACGTAAACTCCTTCAGTGACAGCTGAATGACATAAGGCATTCCACTACTAAAATTTATATATAGATCGGCTAGTCCTTTGACTGAAATGCTTTCCATGCTGTTTTAGTACTTGAATGAAAATAGAGAAATCACTAAAAGTTAAAACGAAAAACGACTTGAATGTGCTAAATTATTCCGAAACTTATTGTCTTCAGCTTTGCCTTCGAGAAACTTACACCGAAATTTGCTATATTGATAATTTTTAGAACCTGTGCTACTTAAGAACCTGCCTGATAATTAAGATGACGGTGTAGTGAAGGGGTAACAAAAAATACCTATAACTTCAAGGTTCATAAACAAGAACAAAGAAGCATTTAGAAGGAATTATAACAGTTGTAAATAAGAACGATGAGACGACTACTAAACCACTATGCTCAAAGGACAGGGCCCCGTGTACCATTTACAACTTGGGCAGTGAAACTCGTTGTTCTATCACCTGGACCTCTGCTAAGAAATATTTACAAGAAGGAAAGAAATAATGAAGCATTGAAACTGTTCTATGACTGAAACGTTTCTTTGGTTTTGTTTCTCGTAATAACACAAAATCATTTTTTTTTGCGGAAGAAAGAGCGAAACTGATCGCCGTTTTTCGTGGTGGAACTGAGACCATCGGCTCCTAGATGTGATACAACACTGTGAAACTCGGTACACTGAATAACCGTTTCCGAACGGTGCTAAGATTTGATTTAATTTGTTTTTGACCTTTTGGAATGTTGACTGCATGATAAAAGAATGTGAAGCGGTTAATTATATAACGAGAAAACAAAACAATAACGGTTACCCGGGGGGGGGCACTTTAGGAATTTCTGGGTGGGGATGTGCCGCTGGGACCCTGGAACCCTTGACCTATACCAGAGCTAGTTCAGCTGAATTTTGCTACCCTATACTAGAGTAAACTCCCAAAATCCCCCTATCCTGGAGTAGCTGTTTCCCCAGTCTAGATAAAATCTTCATCCAACTGATCAGTTTCCTGAAAAATGATACCCTATTCTAGACCCAAACGCTCTGATTTATATACCCTATCCTAGAGTAGACTGCTTGAAAACCATACCCTTCACAGCGGCACATACCTATATAGCCCATATATGGTAGTACCCCCCCCCCCGGAACGGTTAGACGACAATTCATTGCTACTGTCAATTTGTTGTTTTTTAACGCATGATTCAGACAATCCCCGCTGCGATCTTCATTCGTTTTTTTAAAAGAAGTTTGTTGTTGACGTTAGTACTGACTGGCTTACAGCTGCGAGCGCGTATAAACGTCTAATAATAGTAGCCAATCAGATCAGTCGTTCAAGATGTATCATTATCTTTGCCTTCTATCACTTTTTCAACCCAGTTGCAAAAAACTTGAAAATCTTGTGTAGAAAGTTGATCTCAGTTCATCATCCTCTAGAAACAAATAGCTCGCATGCTAATACCCAAAGAACAACTCATGCACACGAAAATTGGCAATCCTTGAAGGTCACACTGATCATGAGTCGCCTCAATCAAGTTCTCCAAGCCAGACGTGGTGAGTACCCATGATCTCCAACTGCAAAATGAATGCTCAAAACGATCCTAGTCTTGGGAAACTAGGCTGGTTTTTCCGAGGCAAGCGTCACCAAGACAGTTTGTGGTCTTGGGTTGTGTGTTTTTCAGCAATGATTTGTAATGCTCTTGGCCTTGGCTTTGCTCTAAGTTACGGAGTTCTGCTTCCTGCGTTTATGGACTATTTTGATGAGACAAGAGAAAGAACTGGTGAGTGATGAAAATCATTTTAACTTCCTTAACTAGTCATCACATAATAAAAGGTGTATGCAGTCTAAGATCCAGTTGAATGGCAGTTGAGTAGAGCATTGCTTAACTCTAGCTGACAATTGATGATCGAAGTGGTGGAATATTTGAATATCACAATAAATGGGCGGATTTAGAATGGAGGCTTTGCAATAGGGGGTCCGTGGCGCCTTGGCATGTCTGAAATTGTGTTTTAAAATTTACAATTTAATATATTTATCTAGTCATATTTGTTTAATCGGTCCTAATTCAAAATCATTTGGACGACGGCTAATTTATAAGTTCTCCTCAGTTTCCTACTGTAACCGAATACGTCGGGTTAAGCGTTCGAAGTATATTTGCAATACGGTCGAAAAAGGTGTCTGTGAAAGCTAAGGTTTAAGTGATTATTGCTGGTTTTAGGTTCTGTGACCAGAATGAAAAGTTAAGTACCTCTTAAGGTAATGGCTATCTTGTTCGACTTGCACTTATACACGAAGACAAGGGACGCGATCCATTCAACCAAAATTCAGACCGGTCCGACCGGGAAAAGAGGACCACCTCAAAAGGTGGACCTGTTTTTTCGAAACTTTTCCGGTTGGACCGAACCGATCCATTGAGTTTTGGACCGAAATTTCCGGAAATTTTGGTTGAATGGATCGCGCCCAAGGTCCAATTTCTCTAACCTGTAGACTGAGTGGAGTAACGCGATTAAAAATAAGTAAGGTAAACAAATAAGATTAAATTTTGAATGTTTTGACTGAGCTGGGGACGAATAGCGAGAGGTCAATTATTTTGCGCGACATACGAGATTTTGAGCGAAAACTATACGGTAGAGCTTAGCCATGCTTTGGAATATTTAAATATAGCACATATCAAGTTCCTTATATTCCTTACATTCAAGGGCACCCAACGACAATTTTCGGAAAAATATCTGTTCGGAAGACGATTTGAGATCTAGAATTTTCGGAACATTTGTTGTAAAATTTCTTGCTTGCCTCCCTCTCCTAGGATTTTCGAACATCTTAAAAATGGTATAATTGCACATTTTTAACGGATTTTTACCCTAAAAAGGTCACCTAGAATTTTCGGGAGCCTTTTTTCTGGCTGAAATTTTCGAAAAGGTAAGTTTTGATCCCTATAATTTTCGGATCACTAGACTTTCAGCTAGGAATTCCGAACAGATGAAAAATTTTTAGGGGATAAAAATATGCCTTTATCTCCCGTTTAAATACTAAAATACGTTTAACAATGCTATGTTTAATTGCTTTTGAACTATATTCTCGTTGGGTGCCCCTGTACATTGCTTATGGTTGATCAATTTTCGATTGTCATATGTTATTGCAAGATGTTGTCAGCTATCAGCAAAACTTCACCATGGTTTACTCTTATCTTCGAGGTTTTCTGCTGAAAAATTAATTCGATGATTTTTCTCGGAGTAAAGGGCTGGCGCGAATGTGAAGCGAGCGAGCAAGTGACTCTACACGTTCCTGTGTTACGTAACTACCAATTTGAAGCAAGTAAAACGCCTGTAGCACGTTTTAAGATTCGAGGTCATTAGTAAAACTAAACAAGCGGTAAGTACAAAACAAAAGCTTTTGCTTGCGCTTTATGCTTAGCATATTTCTCCAGCGATTAATCCTAACATAGAGATTAAATCATAAAAAAAAAAATGAAAAACGACTCTTAACAACAGCATAGGTAAGCCTAACAGCAGAGCTCCTTGTAAACATCCACTTGAAACCCAACTTTAAGCCATTGTGTGCAAACTAATTAAACTGGTTGACCGTAGTCGACAGCAGAACTTAGTTCAAATGGCACAGTCTGCGTTTCGGGCCCAAAAATTCCATACTGATGACTTAAATGTTTTCGTAACAGGTCATTTCCGAGTTCCAAAAACTCTCACGTTCAAAATCCAAGTGCAAAACCCTTCTTGTGAAAGTTTAAGTTTATTTGCGTGAAAATAAGAAAAACATTTTTATATCAATGGCTTTGCACTTAGCCTCTCGCTTTAAAACAGAGGCTTGGGGCAACTCGTTGATTCGTAAAATCCCTGGAAAGATGAAGAGGACTGGAATTGAGGAATATATAAATTTCATTTATTGCAACCGCAGAATGAAGAATTAAATGCAAAGGTAGAGTAAAAAAAAATTAGTAAAAACCTGAGAATGTGGATCGGCAAATTCAGGGAACACTTGGGATCATTGCAGTGATCTTTGCTTGTTTGGTGAGAACAACCACGATCTTAAGAAGGACCCTAGACAGGCCTAAGGGTTTTAGGATATAGCTAGATGTTTCGGGGAGACAAGGCCACCTCAGTGGTATGACACTTGCACTTGAACATAACAACAACAATAGTAATAATAATAATAATAATCATAATTAATAACAATAATATGCGATTCCAAAAATATCCGAATTCGTATGGACGGGACTTTACACTTCAACAAGTTATTTACTAGCAAATAGAGTCCCAACATTCTTATCAAAATTTTCTGGATGATAACATATGATAATGCGGGAAGTCTTAGTTACTCATTAAATAGCTACGACTTCCTGCATAGTAATTTTAGCCTCCTGACCAAACGTCACATTTTTGATTTAATTGGCGCTCCCTCTTTTTTTTCTTTCTGCCCTTATTGTCCCCTCTCCTTTTCCCTTTTTGCAGATGCCATGCAAACCAAGTCAGGCCTGTACCCTCGTTACAACTGCGCTTTTTCTAGCCCCCAACTAAGCTCTTTGTTATTATGGGAGTTTTTAAATCATTCCTGTGTGTAAATTCCACAGTACTGTCAGACACACCTCTAGGGCATTGCGGTCTGTTGAATACCTTTAAATAAAAATATTGACCACTGCAGGAGCACTGTTTTTGAAGTTGGATAACAAAGATGTCAGTATAACATATATTTTGCTAAAAACTATATATATATGTAACAGTGATGTGTATGTTCTGACGTACTTGAATAAAACGAGTCAGTAAAAACATTTATGAAAAAGCTGTTCAGTGTGAAATCATTCTAAAATATTTTTCAGGCCTCGCTTCGCGGCTTAAAAATATCTAAATAATTGCGTTACTCTCGGCCTTCATAAACTAATCAAGTAAGGTAACAGGGTAGTGAAGCGGTAACAACTGTTAACTATTTCAGTGTTCATTAAAGAAGGATGTAGAATGAGTCATTATATGTTTTAGCAGGACTGGTTAGAGACGCGGCAATTACGAGTCGACTAGCAAGCCACTGTGTCATTTGGACGTTTGCATGCTAAGAGATATTTTTAAAGGGTTAAAAAGGGTCTGTGTCACGAGGATAATGCTGTTTTATGTTTATTCTGTACTGATTAGTCACAACTTAGTGCGGCTTGACCCATACACAAAATACTTTTCAGAGTTATCAGGGGCACCTAAAGAGAATATAGTTCAATACCACTTAAACATAGCATTGTTAACCGTAGTTTAGTATTTAAACAGTAGAAATAGGCATATTTTTATCCCCTAGGAATTTTTCATCTGTTCAGATTTCCTAGCTGAACGTCTAGTGATCCGAAAATTATAGGGATCAACACTTACCTTTTCGAAAATTTCAGCCAGAAAAAAGGCTCCCGAAAACTCTAGATGACCTTTTAAGGGTTAAAATCCGTTAAAAATGGGCAATTATAACACTTTTTTTGAGAAGTTCGACAATCCTGGGAGAGGCAGGCAAGCAAGAAATTTTACAACAAATGTTCTGAAAATTCTAGATCTCCAATCGTCTTCCCGAACCGGATATTTTCCGAAAATTGTCGTTGGGTGCCGCTGAGTTATAAAGAATATGTCAAACAAATGTCCGTAGGGTGCACTAACCATAACAATTTTTTGGTGACTTTTTCAAAGTATTAACACATGAAAAGGTTGGCCCAACTTTTCCAAGTTTCAATCCATGTCCATCCTTGCCGTCCGTTGCAACAACAGAAAACAGTTTCGATCAACACCTAAATATAGTCTTAAATAACAAAACCTGACCACCATCTTTGTAATTCAGTTGATTCGAAGACACGTTTTAGCTTTTTAAAGAGATAGCAAATAGCTTGACATAGTGCCTTTAATCCTCTGAAAATCATGAAACCAACTGTTGCATAATTTAAAGGTTTGTTGAGACGCTCACGCTTCAAACGCTAGCCTTCGCCAGAGCGAACCAGGGTATTGTGGTTTGTGTGTGTGGTTTACGTTATGACGTGGCTGCTTTTAGTTTTGTCTTTGACTATTGGGATTTTTAAGGTTTTCAGTCTTATTTATAGGGTACCCAAACGATTTTTTTGTAGTACTGTGCTAGTTTCTAATTAATTAACAGTTCATGGTCCAAGTTAATTCAATGTTTAGCCCACACCGATAGTTCCTGAGTTTTTTTGGTAGTATCGTCTTTTTGAAGGATTTGTTAAACTGAAATGAAGTTCTTGAAGTAGGCATGTTCGGGGATTATAGCTGACCTTGGGTTTTACCTACACTGGAGTTACTGTCTTTTTTGTGTGTGTGCTTAGTCCTACTGCGCAATTTTACCGCTAGCATTTTTGGTTCTTTGGTACTTGTCAATGACGAAAGTGTAAACTGTTCTACAGGATATGCATAACGAGCCGCGCGTTCTTAGCAACCAAAAAATCCCCAGTATCCAGCTGAGATCCCTGAATTTTAGTCCGCGATCTCTACTAGATACCCAGTAGTTTGTAACATTCACTATTCCGTTGATCTCTGATCGTAATATGATAGAGGCGTCAATTATGCAACAAAATGAACAGCTCTGGTTTCGGTTAAAATTATATTGTAATTTGCGGTAGTTGACCGCAGAACTGTTACGATGATGGATACTCAACTCTTTTAACTTGCGGAAAGCTGAGGCTTGTGATGAACGGAAAGTTCTCACGGTCAGCTAACATAAACACGACTACAATTTGGTTATTTAATTCGCTGGTGATAGGCTTGTTAGTTATTAGTTGTAGCCGAAGAACTTAGAAGTAAGAGGCTGCTTCTGTAAGAGAATAAAGTGCTGTGAAGGAACAGAGTCTCGGATGGTACCACTTGTTAATTGACTGGGCGAGTACATTTCCACCCAACTCTTATCATTTATATACGGGACGTAGGCGGGGAACATGATAAAGGGAAAAACAAGAATTTTAAGAATTATAATAGTAACAAGAACAATAATAACTATATAGTAGCCAATCAGATGAGTCGTTTAGTTAAGATGTATCATTATCTTTTGTTCGCAGTCAAGACCCTGAAAATCTAGTTAGAAACTTGATAGCAGTTTAACATATAACCAAATGCATGCAGGCTTATACCCAAAGAAAGATTTTTGTACTGCGCGAAAATTTAACAGTACTTGAAAGATCCCACTGAGTCGCCCTAATCAAGTTCTCCAGGTCAGATGCGGTGAGTTCTGATCTCAAACAGAAAAATGCGTGCTCAAGAAGATCCTAGTCTTGGGAAACTAGGACAGTTTTTCCGAGGCAAGCGTCACCAAGACAGTTTGTGGTCTTGGGTTGTGTGTATTTCAGCAATGATTTGTAATGCTCTTGGCCTTGGCTTTGCTCTTAGCTTCGGCGTTCTGTTACCCGTGTTAATGGACTATTTTGGCGAGACAAGTGAAAAAACTGGTGAGTGAAAAAAATACTTTTAATTTCCTTAGTGATCACCCTTCAGTAACGCAGGAACGTAGATCACCCCCGTGCGTACGGCTGAAATCTGCATGAAATAATATATAAATTTTTTATTTCCCTAAGTATTTTTATCGTTTAATCGGGATAACCGACGCATTTTTCGCCATCAAGATCATTCTCTCTTGTCGCAATATAGTGGTGTCTTTGTGTGTTTTCTGTAACCTTTCATTATTCCGTAAACCGATGGCAAGAAACGTTATAGTGGGGTGAGAAACGAAAAAAAATGTACTCTTCGCTGTCCCCTCTTAACATTTCCCTTCCTTTGTTTGGAGCGCCTTCTAAATCTCACGATATCCCCCTGAAAGGCCCGGTTGAAGTTTTGCTTAACTAGCACTGACCCAATTTTAATCGTGGTAAAGGCTATATATCTTGTTCGACTGGCAATTGTAAGAAGAGAAGTTCTAAATTCTCTATTTTAAACCAGTACTACGTAATTAAGAGATGAGAGACTGATGGAGGTAAGGCGATCTCTATAAGTTAGATCCAGCGAACTGGGGTTTAGTTAGCGACCATTTATTTGTGCAACGCATGACATTTGGAGGAAGAACTAACTGGTCGAGGTTAGCTAAATGACTCCTTGAACGACAGAAATGGAATAAATGGCTACAGACCACATGTTATATTCTTTACGTTTCTTACATATTTTCTGGTTGATCAGTTTTATTCTCAGAATTAAACTATTGCCGGATTTATTTTTGTCTATCAGCCAAAATTCATTATGGTTTCCTGTCAGCGTCGAGGTTTACTGTTAACTATAAGTCGGACCGTAATTCGATAATGTTTCCCCGGATAATCAAAGAGCTGGCAGCGAGCGAGTACGTGACCCTGCAGCTTCCTGAGTTATTTGATTAGAGCGTTTAAGAAAAGCGCCTGCGGTATTAGATTCAGTTTTATTTAATTTGAGACCAATCTACGTAGCCTCCCACGCAGACGTTCTTAGGGGTTCGTCATACGTTCCTACGTGTTCCTGCTCCGTGGGCTAAGACCAATCCAAAACAAAGCCTTCTCTTGGGCTCTATTTTTAGTACATTTCCCTATTGATGTACTCGACCTATGCTAGGTTTGTAATCACTAAAGAAAACAGTCTCTCAATATAGGTTGACCAGACCTAAAGGCAATTTACTTCTAATCAATTGCATGCAAGGAAATGTAACTAGACAACCTTAAAACCGACAGGAAACTTTGGTGTAAAGGCACAGATTTGCAAAATCTCTGTTGTGTGTGCTGCTTGACGCTCTGCAGGCGTCTTACGGGCTCCCTAGTCTTCACGCAAACCCTACAATTGTTCATTGTTCATTGTTCATTGTGAACTGATTTTACTGGCTTACGTCTTCCCTTAGAAAAATGGAAGATAATTATGACCGTGAAGGTGCCAACAAAAACAAACTAAAATATGTTTTAGAAAAGCAAGTCGTTGGCAGCTCTAAAGGACCATCGTCACAAATTTAGCAACATTCAAAAAGCGAAAACTGCAATCCAGTTTTATGGCATAACCGTTAAAACATCAAAGAAAATTATAAATTTGATAGCAAATATTGGAAAAGTCAAGGATATACAAACTTGAAGTTTTAAATGGATTGCAATTATGGTTTTTGAAACCTTTCCAGTCTAACAGTCCTTCAAACTTCATTTTTGTCGGTCTGTAACGTTTCAGTACTAGGGAGACACTTGTTTTAGGCGAAGCAGAGATTTTGTTATTTACATGCAAGTAATTTTCTGGACGATTGAAATTGTAAAGAGAATAAGGCCGCGTATTTAACAATAGGGACTTTAAGGTCCAAAGACGCGTCGGCAACAAGAACGTCGGCAATTTGCGGGAAAAGAGAATTTGCATTCTTTGAGTCTTTATCCGATTTTTCCTCCCACTTACTTTGTCAGTCAGGCGAACCCTCCTGAAGTTGAATTCCAAGGGATCATATCAAAGTTCAGAAAGAGAAATAAAATTTCGCCTTTGCTTGTTTACGTTCTCCCATAGTTAATTGAGTGGAATGGTTATGAAACCCGTCAGACTCCTTTGTTATATGTTTTTGTGGACCTGAAAGTGCACAACGTTCAAAAGAATTCCTATCATTTTGATTGTATTGACCAATAAAAACGTTGCATTAATTTATTCCGTAACAATTTGCCAACAGAAAACAAAGGATTGTGCACTTTCACGGTACTTCCAACATAAACTGCAGCACTGTTGTTTTTATCATTGATGTTTGCCGCTTTTCATAACCAGTTTCCTCAAATAACTATGGTTCTCCATAGGGTTGATTTCCAGTGTCGCGTAATTTTTACGTGCGTGGGTGCGTTCGCAAATAAAATAGAGGCAATGCATGAAAGGTCGCTTGCAAACGTAAAAGTTGAACCTCGCTTAACTTCTCGTTTAAGCTCAGCACTTTTTATCTTACCTTACGAGCGTCAACGTGCGTAACCGCCAAAAACGCGTCAGTGGAAATCAACCTTAAAACGCTAATTCAGGCCCCGTCCGCACATATCCGTTTTTGTTTGAAACGGCGATTTTTTTTCTCCAGTTTGGCCTACCGTCCACACGCATTAGGTGAAAACGATCACCGAAAACGCATCTTTTCAAAAACGCTCTCCAGAGTGAAGATTTTTGATAAACGCTGGCCACTCGTTTACGCGAGGAAGGACGAAAACGGACGAGGTTTTCGAATAGTTTTCGATGTAGTACATCATTTACTACTACCATAACGCATCCTCAGCGGGCGAAAACGATTCGAATACGCTACGTGTGGACGTGTATAAGTTTTGAAAACGGAGGGAAAAAAATCTGTTTTCAAAATTATCCGGATATGTGTGGACGGGGCCTTAGGCATTTTCACGTCGTGGTAATGCAAAAACGGCAAAGAATTGTACAAAGAAGTGTGGTGAACGTTCGACCTTCTCGTTGCCATCACGTCGTTAGATCTTAGGCCTAGGCCAAACGTCAAACTTTTCATGAGACGAACCAAACTCTAATTTGGATCGACCTAAATTAAGCTAAGATCGTCTGTTTGGTCAGACGTCGAACCAATCAACGTGACCAGATCAGTAATAAATTTTCTCCCGAACGAGGCTAAATGTATATTATCACACAAATTTTTAATATATTGGTTTGGTGATCGTCGCAAGCGAAGATCGACGAGTTGGTCCCGGAGACGATCCGTTCTATCCGTCTGCTTCAGACGTGATCACGATCCAAACTCATTCAGACGAAGTTGACTTAGCCAGACGTCAAGATTTTTATGAACTTAACTAAGTTTGGTTTGTCGCATGAAAAATTCGACGTTTGGTCTGAGCCAAAGTCACTAATCGAACGACCGTCGCCGTCGCCGTCGTAAGAATGTAAGGTGAATTATCTTGCAGCATATGCGTATAGCCATGGCATTTTTCGTTTAAAACTCTTATTAGAAATTTCAACAGGCAAGTACGACGGTTATTGCCGCAAAAAATGGATCCACCAACAATGTTTCTCATCGAGCACTCTTTGAATAATTACTAAAGGCCCGTACAAACGGATGCAACATTGTTAGCCAACAACTCCCAAAATTGTTGGATGTTAAATGTTCAGTCCGTTTTCAAACCCTGTGACATGTTGTTACGTTTTGTTGGGAGTTGTTAAGCCAAAATTTGAAACCGGTCAAACGTTTAAGCCAACAACTCCCAACATTTCTTTTACTCAGTGATCACCGAAGTGTAGCGCAGCAATGTTGTATCCGTTCGTACAGCTCATGCAACATTGTTGGGGCCACGCACGCACATTACACATGGTTTCCATATTCTTATAAGTTGTATCCTTCCCACGATGCACGGCATGTCCCAACGTTGTTGGAAGTTGTTGCATCCGTTTGCACACAACTGCCAACACTGACGTAACAACTCACACTATTGTTGGCCCAACAATCTTGGGAGTTGTTGCGTCCGTTTGCAAGTAGCTTAAGATATCGTGAAGATGACTATGACGTAGACGATAAGTATGAGGGTATATCTATGACAAAATTCAATAGCCTAAATAAAAGTGAAAAGGGTTAAGTCAACTCTAAAATATACCGAGTCAAAGTTGGTAAAATTAAGACCACGCTAAAAGGAAGAAATACTAAGCAAAGCAACCATCACTTAGGTATCACGCAGAAAAAGGCATCACGCTAAAAGGCAACACGCAAAAAGGGATAACGTAAAGAGGCAACACTCAAAAAGGCATAACGCAAAGAGGCAACACGCAAAAAGCATAACGCAAAAAGGCAGTACGCAAAGAGGCAACACGCAAAAAGGAATAACACAAAATTGAAGTACGAAAAGAGGCATAAATGCAAAAAGACAACAAGCAGAAAGGCATCGCAAAAAAGGCAATTTGCAACAAGGGCATCATGTGAAAAGTTTACTTAGGATACAGGCCTGGATCTTAAACAGTATTATTTAGTACATACTGGAAGCAAACCGAAATGGTATTCGAACGAGACATTCCAACTTGCTCACCTCGTGAGGAGCTTATTCACTACCTTAGGCGTGCCCTCATATGGTGGGATCATCCTCAGATTGACGCTGCACGAAGAACCGCTAAAACCTGTCCGCCATCTTAGTAAAGATGTGCTGATCTCAAAAGTAAATCAATTAAGTTTTCCAGCCGGAAAGAAATGCAATCGCTGTCAATTCCGTTTTGGACTTGTTGAAATATAGCAATAAAAAAATTGCCGCCAGTCTGAGGATGATCCCACCATATGAGGGAACCCCTAATGTACCGAATAAGCACCTCACGAGGTGAGCAAGACGGAATGTCTCGTTCTAATACCATTTCGGTTTGTTTGCAGTAGGCTTAGCCACAAGTTGCCGATGAATCCCAAAAAAGTTGCCGATAAGTGTCTAAAAGTTGCCAAAAAGTCGCTATTTTTTTCAAAAAGTTGCCGAAAAGTTGCTGAATCTCCAAAAAGTTGCCAAAATTTTTCTGCTTTTCGTACCCAAAGTTGCAGAAAATTCTAAAAGTTGCCAAAATTCTAAAAAAGTTGCCAAAAATCTCAAAAGTTGCCGAAAAGTTGCCTAGTTTGCAGTATGTACTAAATAATACTGTTTAAGATTTAGGCCTGGATCCTAAGTAAACGTATCACGTGATGCCCTTTTTGCAAATTGCCTTTTTTGCGATGCCTTTTTGCGTTATGCCTCTTTGCGTACTACCTTTTTGCGTTATGCCTTTTGCGTGTTGGCTCTTTGCGTGATGGCTCTTTGCGTGATGACTTTTTGCGTGTTTCATCTTTGCGTGATGCCTTTTTGCGTGTTGGCTCTTTGTGTGACGGCCCTTTGGGGGTGACTTTTTGCGTGTTGCCATTTAGCGTGATGCCTTTTTCTGCGTGATACCAATATGATAGTGGCCTTTTTAGCATTTCTTACATTTATCGTGGTCTTTTTTTTACCAACTTTGAAACAGTATATTTCAGATTTGAGTTAACCTTTTTCACTTTTAGGTTTTTTAATTTTGTTATAGATATACCCTCATAGATAGATAATAATGACCACCCTGAAGGTGATATTCTTGACATTGTCAATGTTTTTATTTTCAGCTGGACTCGGGTCACTTGCTTTGAGTTTAACATTTTTTCTTACTCCGCTGCCTGGCTATTTCTCTGATCGTTTTGGCTGTCGTATCACAAACTTCGTGGGAGCCACGCTGTGCATCACAGGCTTGGTGACGTCATCATTTGTTCAGAGCCTCACTCTCATGTTCCTTACACACGGTCTGCTGCTGGGTTTAGGAATATCTTTTATCTACAGTTCTTGCTTTCTTGTGATAGCAAAATACTTCAAAGAGAAGTTATCCGTAGCAACTGGCATTGTAGCTTTGGGAGCAGGTTTCGGTGTCTTTTTTACAGGCCCATTGCTTCAAGTTCTTTTGGACTCGTATGGCTGGAGAGGTACTTACAGAATAATGGTGGTATCTTTTATTGTTGTTTGTATCCTGGGGCTGACTTATAACCCGAACGTACAAGAAACAACATTGGTCACTTCCTTTAACAATGACCAGGACAAAGAAGACAAAATGAGTAGAATTTCTCTTTACTGTAGCCTGTGGAGATTTCCTACTTTCGTCGCCCTGGTCACCTCTATGCTGCTTACAGGATTTTCGATATACATTCCATTAATTTTTCTGGTAAGTTTTTTTATTAAATAATAAATATAATATATAGATTTAGCCGGGGCTAAAGAGCGAAGCTTCCATTAATAAATATATAATTTAAATCAAACAATAAACTTGTAATCCACAAATCAGTTAACTGAAGGGCACATTCATGTGGCTTTTAAGGGAAAAGCTAAGTGATTTTAGAGTGAAGCATCTCACATCAAGTTGACTTATATGTTCACCCAAAAAATAGCAATCAACTTCGATCACATTCAAGAGCCATAACGGCCTGAGTCTTTAAGTTTATGTTTTAAGCCGGCTTCCCGGTGTTTGCTTTTTTCAAAGATGAACTCGAGGCAAGAAAATCGCTCAAAGTTTTCTTTCTACAAGCAGATTTATAACTAAATATTCTTCGGGACGTTTTCTTTCTATTGCGGTGAGAAAATATATCTAAAGGCTTTTTAAAGTTCTGTAAGGTTATATCAAACCTGATACTAGGTCAGATCATTGTCTTAAATCTTACAAACGTGAATAATTAACTTGCCGCATAAACTGTGCTCGACTTCATGAGGTTACATATAAAAAAAACAAATATCAGATACAATAATTACTCAGGCTTACCATTCGAGATGCAGCTCCTGAAAGCTATAAAGTAAGGCCAGAATCGCTTGAGACTTTTAAACTCCTCTTACGTATGAAGCAAGGTGAAAAACGAAAACGATGTCATCCGAAATCGGATTTCCGACTTTGACAAGAGAAGCATTTCTCAACCAAAAACCCAATAAACAAACCAGCCATGAATAACAGAAGACTCTTGATAGCAGCTGTATTTCATTTTGTACATCCAGTGGAAAAAGACATTAAAAAACATCACAAGTTGACACAAAACTCTGTCAGCTTCAGCTGTCAAAGTAAAAAAGGTTCAAGATGCTGCATAAATGTTTCCCACGAACTCACCTGTCAAATTTTGACCAATCAGAGCATATACGGTCAGGTGATACTGGTCAGCGGATACCCTGTTTTGACAGCTGTCAATTGATCACAACATTGATGTGCAATCAGTTTTCTCCTGGGCTCCCAAACTAGCTAGAAAGTGCGAGAGTAAACATTGGTATGCCTGTGGTGCGGACGGACGGCCGTTCGTTCGTTTGGTGTACGGTCACGTGATAACAAAATTTTCTGGGATGGGTAGATTTCTGGGATGGGTAGATGGGGCTCCGCCCACGCGCGTGCGAAGCGCGCGGGTGGAGCTCCGCTATTAAAATGGGATTTGAAGACTCCGGTTTTCTTTGAAAAAGAAGATTTAATATTTTTGATTATTGTTGCTTATAGGTGAAATATGCAGAGGATCACGGAATAACAGCAAAGGATGCATCTCTCTTGTTTATTTTCATTGGCCTTCTTTCATCGCTTGGAAGGGCAGTTGCAGGAATGCTGTACAAGAACAAGAAAGTCAATCCCATATTCATACATCAAGCGTCCTTGCTGACATTGTCTCTTTGCGTATTTTTGCTTCCGTTTAGTACCAGCTACTGGTCTTTAATCTTGTTTAGTATTGTCTATGGCTTCAGCGATGGAGTTTTCATAACAGGGTCTCTGTATATTCCACTGAGCTGTGTGGAGAGCAAAAGAAAAACAGCGTCTTTTTGTACTAGCAACTTCCTTTATTCATTAGGAGCAGTCAGCGGCAGTCCAATCGCTGGTGAGTTTTTTGTAATTATACTGCTGCGATAGGACCCGATTGGCCAACCATTTTATGACTTTAGTATTTTTTTACCACCTTTTACCTTGCTTTGCCGTCAAGGTTCGACGGCGATATGATACCCATCAATAAGGTAAATATGGTAGAAAGTATATAACAATACCCTGAGTAAGGGAGTCCAATAGCGTAGAAATGTGTGAACAGTTGCTCCCGGGGGTTCGCACGCGGCAAAGTGATTGATTAAAAAAAGGTTTCCTTTCTATAAACGTTCTTGACTATAGATAGCGCCGGCCTTTTTATGGCTAGATAACTATCTTTTTGTACAAGGACATCGTAAAGCCTCAAGTCTTAATTTTGGTTTTTATAGCAAGGTATCATCAGCATTCTTCTTTGACTGATATTTCGTTATTAACAGGTATGATAGTGGACCACACAGGAAGCTACGTTCATGCATTCTACATGAGTAGCGCTGTCGCCATGGCCGCGTTTCTTATTCCAATGATTTTGATTCCTATCAACCGAAAAAAATCCAAAGTTCATCCTCAGGATAACATGAAAGAAGATCCGAAAATGAACAAGGCGGGATCAGAAGTGATTGAGAATCAGAATAAAGACCAACTGGAAGAAATCCCTTGTTAGGGGTTCTTTGAGATGTTTAAGTTGTACTCAGTTTTAATGTGGAATCTTTTATCATCCCAATAAGGCTTCCACTAAACACGCAATTCTAGATATGGACAACGCTTGTTATGCAGGATTTTTTTTTTGATGCAATTGATGCTATTATCTTTAAAGTGGTCTAGATCACTATGGTTTCCGCGGCAGTGTTAGCTCAGTCGGTAGAGCGTGTTGACTGCAGAGCGGGAGGTCGCGGGTTCGATTCCTGGGGCCGGATCAATACTCAGGGTCTTAAAATAACCGAGAAATGAAGGTAATCCCTTTGCACTGCAACGGGCTAGACCTTCGCGTGGCTCGGATGACCACGTAAAATGGCGATCCCGTCTCCAGTTGGAGACGTAAAATATAGTGTCCCCAATTAGTACTTTCGTGCTAAATACATTGACACTCAAATAAAAAGTACAAAAAAAAGTGCAGTGCAGACTTATAAATAATAGACCTTACTCCAGCCTCGTACCCAGGCCTGTTCGCGCTATCCGAGTGACCAGAGGAGGCTTGGAACCTAGCGCGATAGCGCGAGGGCGTTCTGAGCGAATTTTCCCGACAAGCTTGACAGGTGACGTCACATCCGAAATCGCCGAGGACGACTGGGAACGAGGCTGACCTTACTCACGATACCCGCCATCTTTCGGCACACGATCAATAACTGACTCCGTGGAATAAGAGCTCATGATATGTGGTTTCGCAGGCGGCAAACAAATGTCAAAATCTACCGATACAAGAAATCGCAGCTGAGTTTGTATATTCTAGACAGAAAATGAAGAACTCTTTATCTTTAAGACGATACTAGCAAATCATATAGGTGGACGCGATCATTTTTTTTCTTTTGGATGCGGCAGCAACGGTAGATGTCCTCACAGCAAGTAATGATGACTTAAAACTTGTCGAAACTCGAACTGTACATTTTTGAAGTCTAAAATTGTCGCCTCCTTTTGAGAAAATAAACAAACTCGACTGAGATTACTCGTATTGCCACCTGAAAGTCCACGTGACATTGGTTTTATCCCATCAATCCTAAAGCGCATGCAAAAATGGCGGATATCGTGAATAAGGCCCTGTTTACCCTACAACGAAAAATAGAGCTTGAAAATTTTGCAATCACCATTTTTTGGGGGTCTTGCAATCTTGTTCGCATCTGAGACAAGCAAAATTTTTCGTATAACCGGTAACGTCAATCCTTGCGAAATAAGATGACCCGACCAACGAAGGGTAGCTGTTAAGGAACAAAGGATTTTGTCTCCTGACTAAAATTGGGCCTTCAAATGTTCTCTAAGTTTGGTGACGGTTGAGAAAATTTTGGTACGTGAAAAAAATCGTTTGCACTAGGAACGGCTTGTTGTTGGCAGATTTTTTTTTTGCAAAACGAAAATTTTGCGTAGTGCCAACAGGGCCTAAGGTCTATTGGTTTTCTTCTTATTTACAAGCCCGAACTCAAATAACTCAAAGGTTAGAAACCACCTGTGGTGTGCCACAATGAAAACTTACTTATCAAAATAGACATGTGATATTTGATAATGAGGGGATAATGAGCAGATTTGTTGGTTTTAACATGACGTCATCAAAATTTAAAACTAAAGAATTAGCTTATGAAGAATTAGAGCAGCTAAAAACTAATATCTATACAAATTTTTAGTTCCAGGGGGCTCTTCGATTTTTGATCCAGTATGCTCTAATTTCTACGATTTTGCTGGCGTACGCGGTATTTACATAACGGCCGAGAGAGCTGTCGTGGGTTGGAAAGTTATATTTTGGGGGATTTTGCTATCTGAACAGGCATTGTACATATTAGAAAAAGTTTAACTTTAAAAATGCTCATTACTTTTTGGGAGATGAATCCACGCTTTCGTATACGTAGCAAAACTCAGTGACTGATGTTTCTGATGTTTCGGCCGCCATGTTAGACTTATAATCTCGCATATGGAAAATTTCAGTGACACTGAATCGCGGCGAGGATCTTTGGATATCTACCTCAATATCCCAGATTCTGAACTTAATATATTAGACGGTTTGATTTTTTAATCTGTTTACAATCAATACTCTCGAAATACACGGGAAATAACTAATTACATATCATTAGCTAATTAAAAATTCGAACATTTCAAATGAAGTCATGTTTAATAAACGAGCAGCAGTGTTTTATCGGGTTTAAAATCTCTTTTTTTTTAATCAATTTCTGGAAAAGCGTGTCTCAGTGGAGTTGATAACAATGACACTTTTGTAAACGTTGGAAATTAGCATACGAAAAAACATTACGTATGAAATTATTATGCAAGAAAAATACATGATTTTTCAACTTCTTTCAACAATAAAATGAAATCTTGTGGCTAAAATCATGAAAGTGTATATTTATGTCTTATTTTTCATATAAAGCACAAAAAATTGCCATTTCTTAGTCTGCAGTTAGTTGTTGTTGTCCTTATTGCTCCAACGAAGTTTCGTGATAATTTGCAGTAATTTGTTCAAATTCACTCTATATACAATAATAATATACAGGGTAGGAGACACGAGATGCCATCTTCGTTGCCATGCTCTCATTCAACACAACTTTTTCCACGAAATTCGAACTCCAACAGAAAATATACATGCCAGGATCGTAGTAATAGGATAGCAGCAGATATAGAAACCAATTAAGCACTTCTGGGCTTCTGGGCGAAATCCCTGCGGGGGCAATAACAGTAATATATGGATTTAGCCAGGGCTAGAAGCGAAGCTCTCGATAATATTTATAGGGGCTTCAAACAAAATATGAAATCGTGTGATGCTAAGCGGCGAGGGCAACGCCGCCGAGAACGGTGAAAAACAACAATAAGTCTAATTAGCAAAAGAGCAACTTTGCACGTGCAGCACACATTTTTTGTACATTTCTTTGCCGTTGTCTTCCACGACTACAACGTGAATCTTCCAGGAACTTCTTAGTTACACGTTTTATGCAGGGAATGTCGTACGTTTTATCGTTCATTTTTTTTTTCACCGCCGCTCATTTTCACCTTTCGTGGTGGCCGCTAGCATTTCTCATTTTCTCACCACCGCTACAAAATTTTCATGGTGTTCTCCCAACAAAAAAATGTCTCCTTCGTTTTTTACTCTCGCTCTAGATCTCTGTCACCCTTTTTTCTCGATGACCTTCGCTGGTCTGCCGCCTACTTTCTCTTTTTCTCTATCTTTCTCTTCCTCTATATTCCAAATTTGCGGGCATGATAATTAATCTAAGGTTAATACTTTAGACAACACTGATACAGAAACAATTTCCGCTCTCCGTTTTCGTCTTTATTGACTCTTTAATTGTCTCTGCTTTACAAGAGGTGGATGGCTCAGGCTGATGGCTATGCAATTTCCCGCCAAAATAACCTCGAGTTGCATTTGGGTTGCCATACCCGTTGAATGAGTTACTTTAAATTGGTATGCCTGTGGTGCGGACGCACGGACGATTCTTTGGTTTTGTTTCTCTTAATAACACAAAATCATTCTTTTGTGTGGAAGAAAAGGCGAAAGCTGATTGCCGTTTTCGTGGTGGAACTGAGACCATCGGCTCCTAGATGTGATACAACACTGTGGAACTCGGTACACTAAATACCCCTTTCTGAACAGTGCTAAGATTTTATTTAATTTGTTTTTGACTTTATGGAATGTCGACTACATGATAAAAGAATGTGAAACGGTTAGTTATAACGAGAAAACAAAACAATAACGGTTAGATGACTATTCATTACCACTGTCAATTTGTTGTTTTTCGACGCATGTTTCACTGACAATCCCCGCTGCGATCGTCATTCGATTTTTAAAAGAAGTTTGTTGTTGACGTTGGTATACTGACTCGCTTACAGCTGCGAAAGCGTATAAACTTCTAATAATAGTAGCCAATCAGATCCGTCGTTCAAGATGTATCATTATCTTTGCCTTATATCACTTTTTTAACCCAGTTGCAAAAAACTTGAAAATCTTGTAAAAAGTTAATCTCAATTCATCATTATCTAGAAACAAATGGCTTGCATGCTAAAGTCCCAAAGAACAATTCGTATACACGAAAGTTGGCAGTACTTGTTGGTTCCACTGATTCGCCCTGAATCAAGTTCTTCAGGCCAGACGTGGTGAGTTTCCATGATCTCCAACTGCAAAATGCAATCTCAAAAAGATCCTAGTCTTGGGAAACTAGGCTGGTTTTTCCGAGGCAAGCGTCACCAAGACAGTTTGTGGTCTTGGGTTGTGTGTTTTTCAGCAATGAATTGTAATGCCCTTGGCCTTGGCCTTGCTCTTAGCTACGGAGTTCTGCTTCCTGCGTTAATGGGCTATTTTGATGAGACAAGAGAAAGAACTGGTGAGTGATGAAGATCATTTTAACTTCTTTAGCTGGCGATCACATAAAGGTGTATGTAGTCTAAGATCCGATTGAATGGCAGTTGAGTGGAGCTTCGCTTAACATCACTGACAATTGATGATCGAAGTAGTGGAATGTTTGAATATCACAATAAATGGGCGGATTTAGAGTTGCGGCTTTGCAATAAGGGGTCCGTGGCGCCCCGGTATGTCTGAGATTGTGTTTTAAAATTTAAAATTTACTTTATTTATCTAGTCATATTTGTTTAATTAATCAGTTCTAATTTAAATTTTGAATGTTTTGGCTGTTCTGGGGACGAGAAGTGAGAGGTCAATTATTTTGCGCCACATACGAGATTTTGAGCAAAACTAAGCCAAGTGAGCAATGCTGTGGAATATTTAAATCGAGCAGACATTAAGTTCTTTATATTCCCTACATTGTTTATGGTTGATTTATGTTATTGGAAGATTTTAGTCAGCTATCAGCAAAACTTCACTATGGTTTTCTCTTTTCTTCGAGGTTTAGTGCTGAAAAATTAATTGGATGATTTTTCTGGGGAAAAAGAGCTGGCGTGAATGTGAAGCGAGCGAGCACGTGACTCTCTACACGTTCCTGTGTTACGTAACTAGCAAGTTTAAGCAAGTAAAACGCCTGTAGCAAGTTTTAAGATTCGAGGTCATTAGTAAAACTAAACAAACGGTAAGTACAGAACAAAAGCTTTTGCTTGTGCTTTATGCTTAGTATATTTCTCCAGCGATTAATCTTAACATAGAGATTAAATCACGAATAAAATTGAAAAACGACTCTTGACAACAGCATAGGTAAGCCTAAAAGCAGAGCTCCTTGGAAACATTTACTTGAAACCCAACTTTAAGCCACTGTATGCAAATTAATTAAACTGGTTGACCTTAATCGTAGCAGAACTTAGTTCAAATGGCATAGTCTGCGTTTCGGTTCGTTGTATGTGGGAAGTCTTAGTGACTCCTTAACTAGCTACGACTTCCTGCATAGTCATTTTAACCTCCTGACCAAATGTCACATTTTCGATTTAACTGGCGTTCCTTTTTTTTTTTTTCTGCCCTTACTGTCTCCGCTTTTTTTCCCTTTTTGCAGATGTCATGCATGCCACGCCACGAGCCTGTAACCTCGTTATTACGGCGCTTTCTTAGCTCCAACTGAGCTCTTTGTTGTTAGCACTGTCAGACGCACCTCTAGGGCATCACGGTCTGTTGAATACCTTTAAATAAAAATATTGACGACTACAGAAGCACTGTTTTTGAAGTCGGATAACAAAGATGTATAATATGTATTTTGCTGAAAACTATTTATGTATTAGTGATGTGTACGTTCTCACGTGCTTGAATAAAACAAGTAAGTTTTAAAAAGCGTTTATGAAAACGTTGTTAAGTGTGAAATAATTCTAAAAATATTTTTCGGGCCTTAAGCTTCGCGGCTTAAAAATCAGTACGTAAATAATTCGCGTTACTCTAAGCCTTCATAAACTAATCAACTAAGATTACAGTGTAGTGCAGCGGTAACAAAAATACTGTTAATTTCAATGTTCATTAAGAAGCTTAAAAAGGATGTAGAATGAGTCATTAATTGTTTTAGCAGGACCGGTTAGAGACGCGGCAACTGCGAGTCGACTCAGTAGCAAGCCACTCTATCATTTGGACGTTATATTAGAGAGTTTAAGATACCACGACGGCGACGGCGACGGCCTCGAAAACGTCGCTTAAAAAGTGAATTTGCGTCCTTTCAATCTCTTAATTCAAATTACTCGCTCCAACACATTTACTTTGCCAATTGCAAGCGAACTCTTTTCGAACCGAATTCCTACTAACCATATTTCAAGTTCTGAAAAAGAAAAAAAAATTAAGCCGTCGGCTGTTTACGTCCTCCATGGAACGTGAAATTAGGCATTTTCACGTCGTAGTCGTGCAATGACGGCAAAGAAAAGTACAAAAAAGCGTGATGCACGTGCAGAGTTGTTGTTTTAGCTATTCAACCTATTGCTGTTTTGACTTTCTCGTTGTCGTCGCCGTCGTGGTCTCTTAACGTCCCTATTGTTGGTTTTCACACATTACGTCACCAAAAATCAAACTAAAAAACTATCGATCCTACCGAGATTTTACTTTCACGATGCATTAGAGCAGCTGAAAACTAATTTTCACACAAATTTTCGCTTCAAAAGGGTTCTTAGTTTTGTGATAGGGTACGCTTGAATTTCTAAGCTTTTGCGTGACGCGGCATTTACATGACGGCCAAGAGAGCTGTCATGTAGGTTAAAAAAATAACTTATTGCAGAAAATTTTGCTATCTAAACAGTTCATGTATTAGAGAAAGTATTACTTTAATGTTTTTGAGTTTCTCGAAAAATAAATTCACGCTTTTGTAGCAAAACTCGGTAACAGATATGTTTTGGCTGGTTTCCGTTCGCCATGTTGGAGCTCATCCAGGTGATCGTATTTCGTATCTAATATGATAGAGGCGTCAATTTTCGCCCAATCATGTCATCATATTAGGGCGAGAAATTTAATTAAAAGAGCGGTGTGCAACAAAATGCACGGGTCTGGTTTTGGCTAAAATTATTAATTTGCGGTAGTTGACGGCAAAACTTTTACGATGATGGATACTCAACTGGATGATTACGTAACTGCGTAACAACCAGACGCTACGCATTTTTTAACTTCCGGAACGCTGAGGCTTGTGATGAATGAAAAGTTCTCACGCTCGGCTAACCCAAACACGTCTACAATTTGGTTGTTTAATTCTCTGGTGATGGGCTTGTTAGTCATTAGTTGTAGCCGAAGAGCTTAGAAGTAAGACGCTGTTTCTGCAAGAGAATAAAGTGTTGTGAAAGATCATAGGGTTCTGGATGGTACCACTCGTTAATTGGCTGGGCGAGTACGGTTCCATACAGCTCCCACGATTTATATACCGGACGTAGGAGCTAAACTGTATGTTATATTGGCGGGAAAAGGAGATGAAGTGAAAACAAGAATAACAGGAATTATAATAGCCTGCGAGCAAGCTCTCCTATTTGGGCAAGCGAAGCGAGCCTCGCGAGAACGCGCGAGCGAGGGGCCGAGGCTTCTCCGCTCGCTTGCGCGTTCTCGCGAGACCCGTTTCACTCGCCCAAACAGGAGAGCTTGCTTGCAGGCTAGAATTATAATAGTAACAAGAACAATAATAATTATATAGTAGCCAATCAGATGGGTAGTTCAGTTTGAAGATGTATCATTATTATCTTTTGTTCGCAGTCAGCAGTTTGTTTCAACCCAGTTGCATAAAAACCTGAAAATCTAGTTAGAAACTTGATAGCAGTTTAATAACATAACCAAATGCATGCAAGCTTATACCCAAAGAAAGATTTGTGTACTACGCGAACATTTAACAGTACTTGAAAGATCCCACTGAGTCGCCCTAATCAAGTTCTCCAGGTCAGACGCGGTGAGTTCTGATCTCAGACTGAAACATGCATACTCAGGAGGATCCTAGTCTTGGGAAACTAGGCCAGTTTTTCCGAGGCAAGCGTCACCAAGACAGTTTGTGGTCTTGGGTTGTTTGTATTTCAGCAATGATTTGTAATGCTCTTGGCCTTGGCTTTGCTCTTAGCTTCGGCGTTCTGTTACCTGTGTTAATGGACTATTTTGGCGAGACAAGTGAAAGAACTGGTGAGTGATAAATTAAAATACTGTTAATTTCCTTAGTGATCACTCTACATGTGTATGTGATCTCATTAAGGCAGGAGCGTAGCTCATCCTCTTACGTACGGCTGAAATCTGGAAAAAATATATTTTTTATTTCCCTAAGTATTTTTATCGTTTAATCGGTATGAGTGATGAATTTTTCTCAATATAGTGGTATCTTTGTGTTTGTGTTTTGCTTTTTTTAACCTTTTATCTCTGATTCCATAAACCGATGGCAAGAAAGGTTAGTGAGGCGAGAAACGAAAAATGCACTCTTCCCTGTCCCCACTCAGCAATTTCCTTTCCTAATTTTAAAATGTCCCTCGGAAAACATAGGAAATGACATTTTCAACACCCTAACTTTTAAAAATTTTCTGGGAAAACATAACCATAAATTCCCCACTTGTTTGGAGCGCCTTCAAAATCTCACGCTACGCCGGGCCCCTGTAAGACCCGATTAAATTCACGTTTGCGGTTTGGCGTAAACGTGAATCTTATTAGAGACCTTTAGCATCACGTTTTTGTCACCTGACAACGGCCTTCAGTTTGCAGTTGCGGTTTGAACCGTACGAAGGGCTACCAGCGGTAAGTGACTTACGGCAAGGTTTTTTGCCACTAAAACTTGCACAGTCTCGCGTTTTAAGGTACGAAGTAGCTTTTTATATCCGTTTGCGATGTGTTTGTTAGATTTTTGATCTCGAATCAATGAATTATTCCTGTTCTTTGGGCGATAAAAGATCATAAAAGTGAGGCACTTTGACTTGATGAAAAACAACATGGCGGCACTAAACAATGAACGCGTTGTGCAAATCGATGTAATATTCCCTTCTGCCGTTCTAACATAAGAAAGCTTTCTGTTCCAATCCAATCCAATCCAATCCAATTTTTCCCTATCTTGTTACTGAATCAACTAACTCAATCGGCTCCTGAGTCAGGCTCTGTTTAGTTCCCCTTTTTAACGTATCACTCCGCGAATTTTCATTTTATTTTATTTATTTATTTGTAACTGGAGAGCCCAGGCTTCATAAGGCCTTCTGGTTTCTTCTGGGCTCCCTCGGCAACTTACAATTCCCATACGTATTCTTGTATTGTATTATATTTTGGCTAATTAAAAATGAACTGAACTGAACGCCTTGCTAAAATTTGAAATCTTGGTAACCTGAAACTGCAAACGCGTAACTGCAAACTGCGCTTTGCGGTTTCCCAAGAAAAACCTGATGCTAAAGGTCTCTAATCTCTCTAATGTTTCCCGGGGTAATCAAAGAGCTGTCAGTGAGCGAGTATGTGAACTTACAGCTTCCTGAGTTATTTCATTGGAGCGTTTAAGAAAAGCGCCTGCAGCATTAGATTCACTTTTATTTAATTTGAGACCAATCCAAAACAAAGCCTTTCCTTGGGCTCTATTTTTAGTACATTTCTCTATTGATGTACTGGACGTACGATATTTATGTAATTACGAAAGAAAACAGACACTCAATATAGTTATTTGACCAGACCTAAAGACAATTTACTTCTAATCAATTGCATAAAAGGAAATGTAACTAGACAACCTTAAAACCGACAGCAAACTTTGGTGTAGAGGCACAGCTGTGCGTGCTGCTTTGACGCTCTGAAGCTTACGGGTTCCCTAAACTGCACGCAAACCTTAAAATTCTACCGTTGTTCATTGTGAATTGATTTCACAGGCTTACGTCTTCCCGTAGAAAAACTAAAAGATAATATACGAGAAATGCCAACAAAAACAACCTAAAAGATTTTTTTAGTAAGGGACGGACCATCGGAAATAACCGGAAGTGGGGTGACAATATCCGAAAAAAAAAAATTCCTGCAAGGGAAACTTGTCTGAAAAAAAAAACCTGCAAGCGGTGATACCTAAAAACAATAAGTCAAATGTGTAACAGTAGCTTAGCTCGTATGATTATGTAACGTAACGATTTCTCTAGGTCACGCATGTTGATTACATAACGTGTAATATATCACGTGCGGTATTGCGGTATTTTACTCCACCACATGCTTTGGTAGTAATGGCTGAATAAACTGCTTGAGTTGAACTACTAGTCTATTTACAATATGCCCTAGGAAAAAATTCTTGCAGACAAGCGGGCTTTTAAAAAAAAATCATGCATCAAAAATTTTTCCCCCCAACTCCGGTTATTTCTAATGCTCCGTCCCTAAAGCAAGTCGTTGACATCTTTAAAGGAGCAGTGTCACAAAAGCGAAAACTGCAATCAAATTTTAAAAGATAAAAGGAAATTATAAATAACATAGCAAATATTGGAAAAGTCAAGGATATACAAACTTGAAGATTTAAATGGATTGCAATTATGGTTTTTGAAACCTCTCCAGCCTAACAGTCCTTCAAATTTCATTTTTGTTAGTCTGTAACATTTCAATACTTGGGAGACACTTGTTTTAGACGAAGCAGAGATTTTGCGATTTACATGCAAGTAATTTTCTGGACGATAAATTCTAAAGGGAATAAGGCCGCATATTTGACAATAGAGACTTTAAGGTCCAAAGACGCGTCGGCAACAAGAACGTCGCTAAAAAAGTGAATTTGCGTTTTTTCAGTCTTTATCGCGATTGTTCCTTCCCACTTGCTTTGTCTGTCAGGCAAACCCTTCTGAAATTGAATTCCAAGGGATCATATCAAAGTTCAGAAAGAGAAATAATATTTCGTCTTTGCTTGTTTAAGTTTCCCATAAACGCAAATTTAGGCCCCGTCCACACATATCCGTTTTTGTTTGAAAACTGCGATTTTTTTCTCCGGTTTGGCCTACCGTCCACATTTATTCGGTGAAAACGATCAACGTATTTTTTAAAAAACGCAGGCTACTCGTTTACGCGAGGAAGGACGAAAACGGAGGTTTTCGAATACGATGATGTAATACATCATTTACTACTAGCATAACGCATGCTCTGTGAGGGATGCTATCGTATTTCCATTAATTATCGTTTTCGTATGGGCGGGCGAAAACGATTCGAACACGCTACGCATTTTCACGTCGCTGTAGTGCAAAAACGACAAAGAAATGTGCAAAAAAGTGTGATGCATGTGCGAAGTTGTTGTTTTGCTCATTAAACCTATTATTCTCTTTTTTGTTGACCTTGTCGTTGCCATCGCGTCGTTGGATCTTAGGCCTACAATTAAACGTCAATATTTTCATGAGACGAACCAAACTCTAATTTGGGTCGACCTGAATTAAAGTAAGATCGTCTGTTGGGTCAGACGTCGAACTTTGGATGCGTCGAACCAATCAACTGAACCAGATCAGTAGTAGCCTGCGTGGCAGGCGCAAAAAGGGGAAGGGGAGGGGGGAGGGAGAAAGGTAAAAGGGAAGGGAGCGCCTGCTCTAAGAGCCTATGTTTTTGCATAACGCCTACCAATTTTCTAGTAATCCGATTACGCTTACTGTCAATCAAGTGTCGCTACACTCGCCATTGCAGAAAAACATTACACTCACGGACTAAAGAAATTCGCTTAGTTATTCAGATCCAGAAGGCACTTTGGAGAAAAGTGGAACCCTTATGCAGCCGTAATGAAAAAAACTTTACGCTTCAGAAGAGGTCAAAGAAATTGCGCTTGCATCAGAAGGCAAATCCTGCCGACCAGGAAACAATAACTACAGTCAATCGATATGTATGTCATGACCTCTCAGTGTGAAACATGCGGCTAAAATAATATTTGCCCAGTATAAATGCAGAACCTTCCAGAGCATAATCTACCCAGCTGGGTAGCCCAACAATTTCATCTCCTGCAACTGGTCTTCGATAATACTTTTCAGTGGCGAAATGACGAGCTAATCGCCGCATTACCATTTAGCTCGTAGTTCTTCACGCGTACAAACATTTGGTAAATTAAACTTCTTGCCGTATCCGGTTCGCAAAACCGCCAGAACATCTCTGTCGGCTAAAAGAGCCCTTACTGCTGATTCTTGCTCTGGTTTTAAAACAGTTTCTCTACCACTAGATAAATTCACATCTCCCAAAGCACTCTCTACGACATCCACGTCTACCGCTGCCATCTCGACTGTTTGTTGATTTGTGAAACGCGCATTTCAATATGCTACTCATTACGGCTCAGCCAATCAGGAATTTGCGGACGCCAGCGTCCGCAGATATGAACAAAAGGGGGTTCTTAGAGCAGGCGTCCCCTCCCCCTCTCCCCAATCCCCCTCCCCTTTTTCCCTTCCTCCTTATCCCCTACCCCCTACCCCTTTCGACGCCTGCTACGCAGGCTAGATCAGTAGTAAATTTTCACCCGAAAGAGGCCAAATATACATTATCATACAAATTTTTAATTTATTGGTTTGGTGATCGTCGCATGTGAAGATCGACGTGTTTGCCCCGGAGAAGATCTTCAGACGTTCTATACGTCTGAAGCAGACGGATAGAACGTGTTGGACGATCCAAACTCATTCAGACGAAGTTAACTTAGCCAGACGTCAATTTTTTTATAAACTTAACTAAGTTCGGTTCGTCGCATGAAAAATTCGACGTTTGGCCTGAGCCAAAGTCACTAATTGAACGGCCGTCGCCGTCGCCGTCACAAGAATATAAGGTGGATTATCTTGCAGCATATGCGTATAGCCGTGGCATTTTTCGTTTAAAATTTTTATTAGAAAATTCAACAGACAAGTACGACAGTTATTGCTGCAAAAAATGGATCCAACAACAATTCGGTTTCTCATCGTGCACTCTTTGAATAATTACTAAAGCCCCGTGCAAACAAATGCAACATTGTTGGCCAACAACTCCCAACATTGTTGAATGTTAAATGTTGCGTCCGTTTGCAAACCCTGTGGCATGTTGTTGCGTTTTGTTGGGAGTTGTTGAGCAAAGTTTGAAACTGGTCAAACGTTTAGGCCAACATTTCCCTACACTTCTTTTGTTCCGTGATCACTGAAGGGTAGCGCAGCAATGTTGTATCCGTTTGCACAGCTCTTCCAACATTGTTAGAGCCACGCATGCACATTACACATGGTTTCCATATTCTTATGGGTTGTATCCTTCCCACGATGCACGGTGTGTCCCAACATTGTTGGAAGTTGTTGCATCCGTTTGCACACTACTCCCAACACGGACGTAACAACTCCCACTATTGTTGGCCCAACGATGTTGGGAGTTGTTGCGTCTGTTTGCACATAGCTTAAGATATCGCGAAGATGACTATGTCGAACGCGATAATAAATTTGATCACCCTGAAGGTAATATTCTTGACATTGTCAATGTTTTTATTTTCAGCTGGACTCGGCTCACTTGCTTTGAGTTTAACATTTTTTCTTACTCCGCTGCCTGGCTATATCTCTGATCGTTTTGGCTGTCGTATCACAAACTTCGTGGGAGCCACGCTCTGCATGACAGGCTTGGTGACGTCATCATTTGCTCAGAGCCTCACTCTCATGTTCGTTACACACGGTCTGCTGATGGGTTTAGGAATATCATTTATCTACAGTTCTTGCTTTCTTGCGATAGCAAAATACTTCAAAGAGAAGTTATCCGTAGCAACTGGCATTGTAGCTTTGGGAGCAGGTTTCGGTGTCTTTTTTACAGGCCCATTGCTTCAAGTTCTTTCGGACTCGTATGGCTGGAGAGGTGCTTACAGAATAATGGTGGCATCTTTTATTGTTGTTTGTATCCTGGGGCTGACTTATAACCCGAACGTACAAGAAACAACATTGGTCACTTCCTTTAACAATGACCAGGACAAAGAAGACAAAATGAGTAGAATTTCTCTTTACTGTAGCCTGTGGACATTTCCTACTTTCGTCGCCGTGGTGACCTCTATGCTGCTTACAGGATTTGCGATTTTCATTCCATTAATTTTTCTGATGAGTTTTTTCATTAAACAAATAAATAAATAAAAATGGGAACTAAAGATTGCGGGCTAGATTTGAAAAAGAATATTAAATTTACTATTTTTGATTGATTATTGTTGCTTATAGGTGAAGTATGCAGAGGATCACGGAATAACAGCACAAGCTGCATCTCTCTTGTTTATTTTTATTGGCCTTGTTTCATCGCTTGGAAGGGCAGTTGCAGGAATGTTGTACAAGAACAAGAAAGTCAATCCCATATTCATACATCAAGCGTCCTTGCTGACATTGTCTCTTTGCGTATTTTTGCTTCAGTTCGCTACGAACTACTGGTCTTTAGTCTTGTTCAGTATTGTCTATGGCTTTAGCGATGGAGTTTTCATAACAGGGTCTCTGTATATTCCAATGAGCTGTGTGGACAGCAAAAGAAAAACAGCGGCTTTTTGTACTAGCTGCTTCTTTTATTCACTAGGAGCAGTCAGCGGCAGTCCCATCGCTGGTGAGTTATGATATGATACCCATCAATAAATAAATAATGGAAAAGTATATAACAATACCCCAAATAAGGAAGTCCAATAGCGTGAACAGTTGCTCCTGGGGGCTCGCACGCGGCAAAGTGATTGACTAAAAAAGCTTTCCTTTCCACAAACGTTTATAGATAGTGTTAGCCTTTTTATGGCTAGATAACTATTTTTTTGTTTTTGTACAAGGACATCGTAAAGCCACAACTCTTAATTTTGGTTTTTACAGCAACGTATCATCACCATTCTTCTTTTCTGTGATATTTCAGGTATGATAGTGGACCATACAGGAAGCTACGTTCATGCATTCTACATGAGTAGTGCTGTCGCCATGGCCTCGTTCCTTCTTATTCTAATGATTTTGATTCCCATCAATCGAAAAAAATCCAAAGTTCATCCTCAGGATAAGATGGAAGAAGATGCGAAAATGGACAAGGCGGGATCAGAAGTGATTGAGAATCAGAATAAAGACCAACTGAAAGAATTCCCTTGTTAGAGGTTCTTTGAGATGTTTAAGTTGTACTCAGTTTTAAAGTGGAATCTTTTATATCATAGCGTAAGAATCTGCTCTCTCCATCCCAATATGGCCTAACTTCTAATAAACACGCAATTCTAGATATGGACAACCGCTTGTTATGCGGGATTTTTCTTTTGATGCAATTGATGCTATTTTTTTAAGTGATCTACATCACTATGATTTGCGCGGATTGACAAATAGTAGACCTTACCCACGATACCCGCCAACTTTACACGCGCGCAAGGACTGATGGGATAAAAGCTCTGTTTTGTGGTTTCGCAGGCGGCAAACAAGTGTCAAGAATCAAGATCTACCGATACAAGAAATCGTAGTTGAGTTTGTATATTCTAGACAGAAAATGAAGAAATTTTAATCTTTAAGACGATGCTTTCAAATTATAGGTGGACGTGGTCATTTTTTTTACTTTTGGATGCGGCAGCAACGGTAGATGTTCTCACAGCAAGCAATGATGACGTAAAACTCAAGCCTAAAATTGTCGTCTCCTTTTGAGAAAATAAACAAACTCGACTGCGATTACTCGTATTGGCAAATTTTATCACTTGTTTGCCACCTCCACATGACATTACTTTTACCCCATCAATCCTAAAGCGCGTGCAAAAATGGCGGATATCGTGAATAAGGCCTTGTTTGCCCCACGACGAAAAATAGAGCTTGACGTTTGCAAAAAGAATTGAAAATTTTGCAATCACCATTTTTTTTGGTTTTTGCAACCTTGTTCGCATCTGAGACAAGCAAGATTTTTTGTATTATCAGTAACGTCAATTAAAGGAATTTAAATTGGTCGTCTTCGCGAAATAAGATGACCCGGAGAAAGGTAGCTGTCATGGAACAAAGGATTTTGTCTCCTGACTAAAATTGGGCCTCCATACTTCTCTACGACATCTTTGAAGTTTGGTGACAGTTGAGAAAATTTTGGTAAGTGAGAAAAATCGTTCGCACTAGGAATGGCTTCCTGTTGACAGATTTTTTTTTGGCAAACCGAACAAAATTTTGCGTAGTGCGAACAAGGCCTAAGGTCTCTTGGTATTCTTCTCATTTACAAGGCCGAACTCAAATAACTCAAAGGTTAGAAGCTACTTGTGGTGTGCCACAAAGAAAACTTATTTATCAACCTAAGCACGTGATATTTGGGCTGCGTTCGTTTCGACCAATTTGCGATCTGAAATTTGATTTTTCGTTCCATTTAGGGCTAAACCAATCTAAGATTACAATCTGAACAATCCACCTCCGCAATTGGATCATTCATTCATTTGTATCTCCATCTAGATTCAGATTGTTGTTCCATTTGACGAAACTGTTTTTCGATCGCAAGAACGTGCTCGTTCAGCGATAAACATGGCAGGTCAAGGTTAGTTCGGGGAAAAGTTATTTATACTGCTCCGTTGGAATGTCCATGCCGCTAAACTATTGTAGTATATTTAACTCAAGTTCCACTGTAACTCTAAATCCGTAAGGAAGCGAAAACGCTTTCATTATCTCACCGTAAATTGAGAAGGGAAGTACTGCCGTTAGTTCCGAGAGACAGTTTGTAGAACAGTTGAACATATGAATTCCTTTTTATTAAAGTCAATAACTTAGACTTGCTGGCATTATGAAACGCTCTCGATGACAAATATGCTTACATTCATATAACTCGCTAAGGTTTCAATACCATTTTGTAATTCATTTTAATGATTCACGAAATTCTAAAACAACAGCAGTTGCTGATAGGCTGTTTCTTCATCGAACAATCATCGTACACAGGATGAGATGAGTTGCGAACAAATAACGTAAAGGCCAAAACTTGTTTCTTCACAGGTCAGGTAGATGTACAGCACATGCCGTTCACTTATGCAATTTACAATCCTGATTACCGAGATAACAATCTGTGTGACAAAAGAATACTCGCTATAACTAATCTTGAAACCGGAATAAAAAAAATAAACGGAGAAAATGTTCCGTACAATACTTCTTGAACTGTTCTTACCGTTTAGTCCGTTTTAAAAGACAGCAAGTATCCGATAAACTACGCTTTCTGCACAGATCTTACATGAGAGCAAAACAAAATGGCGGGTTGCTCCTGAGAGAAAAACGGGCGCGGTAGCTAAGCACTTGCTTAAGCAAACCGCTGACTGAGCAGCGCTGCAGTCAGAGGTGAACCATGGATCGAAAAATCTCAAATCGCTCAAGAATATGGTCTGCTGCCTGGTGATGCCCGGCAGCAACTATAGTGTCCAATGTGAGTGTGTGTGTTTAGAACGCGCTTCTCAGAACTTGAGAATTCGTAATTGTCTTCTGAATTTTCTTGAATCAATTTCCAGATAATTTTTAGTTGAAGAGTTCCAGTATGAACCACCACTAGTTAAAGAACTACTTTTTCTTGCCATTTCTCCATAAGACGACGCTTAATTTGGCGGAAAGAAATAAAAAAAGATGTGTGGAAACACGGGTAGCCCAAGCTCGAAAAATGAGCATCGGCGGACATCGGCAATGTTGCGTAACATTTGAAATATAAGGATTTGTGTAGGAAAAATACCTATCGTTTCCGTAACCTACAAAAATGAAAGGATTTCAATAAAAAACTGATTATCTTACATAAAATGTGTGTTTCGTCTCTCCTGTGTGATCCATGGGCTGATTTATGGCCGTTTTATAGGTTTGAAATGAGAAGAAGATCAGAGCAGAAGGCAGCTACTGTATGGAACAATCTTGTTTCAAATTTTTGTTCCGGCTAGCAGGAAAATCCAAACAATCTGGATTGTCAAAATCCGAAAAACGTTTGGCTAAAAGGAATGAAACCCAACTTGATAATGAGCAGATTTGCTGGTTTTCACACGACGTCATCAAAATTTAAAACTAAAGAATTATTTTACTTTTATGAAGTATTAGAGAAGCTAAAAACTAATATCTGTGTAAATTTTCAGTTCGAAAGGGCTCTTCGATTTTTGCATGATACAGCACGCTTTAATTTCTACGATTTTGCTGGCGTAACGCGGTATTTACATAGTGGGCTTAAGAGCTGTCGTAGGTTAGAAAGTAATATATTTTGAGGGATTTTGCTTCCTAATCAGCGGCATTGTATTAGAAAAAGTTTCACTTTAAAAATGTTTGTGACTTTCTTCGGAGATGAATCCATGCTTTGGTAAACGTAGCAAAACTCAGTGACTGATGTTTTTGTTAGTTTCCAGCCGCCCTGTTAGACTTGTCCCCATCCGAATATCTCGCATATGGAAAATTACAGTGACACTGGATCGTGGCGAGGATCTCTGGATATTTACCTCGCTTAATATCCCAGATTCTGAACTTGATCTATCAAACGGTTTTGACTTTTTAATCCGTTTACAGTCATTACCTTAGAAATAACTAATCACATATCATTAGCTAGTTAAAAATTCTAACATTACAAATGAAGTCATACTCAATAAACGAGCAGCAGTGTGTTATCGGGTTAAAATCTTGAGCCGAGGACGGGTGATTTTAGACCCGAGTTTATTAAACGCCTTCGAAGACATTTCTGGAAAAGCGTGTCTCAGTGGAGTTGATAACAATGACACTTTTGTGAACGTTCGAAATTAGAATACGAGAAAACATTACGTATGAAATTATTATGCAAGATAATCAAATCTCTCACGTGTTTAGAAATTTCCAGTCTGCGAACGACACTAACCGAAACTCGGAACATGGCGTCTTGTTCCAGAGCTTTTCGGAAGCCTCAAAATGCCGAGGACGAGAGGGAGTGAATCGAAATGGTACCCCAAAGTCAACAAGTACAGTGAAAAAGCAGTCTTTGAAAAAATATTTCTGGAATGGCCGAATGGTAGGAAAACAAAAATCCAGTACTACGTCTGCGCCGCCTGTGTCAGTACTCGAGCCGTTCGTATTCACAACTGGCAAGTCTTAAGTGCAACGCTTGGACACTTGTATAGCCTGATTAAATTGGTGAAAGGACAAAGTTTAATTTTGTGCAATAGTAAATTTACCGCGTGTTATTTTGAAAGGACATTAATGTTCACCCATCATTTATTGTGTCAGTTGCTGTAAGGGGCACGCAACGGGAAATTTTGAGGAAAAGACCTAAAAACAACAACAAAGCATGAATAAAGGTTTCTGAAGCCATTTTAAGCATTTTGGGAGATTGCTGGGAAAAATTTATCTGTTCCTCACTCCCAGCAAGACTGATGGAAGAGTTCCGACCCAGCAAGATGCAGCTAAAACCTGCAACCTGACTTAATGGGAAGTTTCCCAGTAGACGTATTTCCATTACTTGCCAGTTTGGGTGTGGTCATAGGCCAAAATTCGCCCCTTTAGTAGACGGGGTGGGGGGAGAGGTTTCGTACAAATAGCAAATACACCCTGAGTTGTCTTCTCCCAGCAACACTCCCCTTCCAAATCTCCCAGCCAGCAAAAATTTGCCTGAAGAACAGATATTTTGAGAAACAGATCCATTGGGTGCCCCTGTCCTGTGTTATTAATACTCAAAAGTCAAGTGCGGTGACATTATGGGCGCTTACAGGAGCCGATTAAGTAATCGGCTCCTGTCGCTTACCGGTTGTATGGAAAACCCGGAAACTCCCGGAAGAATTAAACTGGAGCGGTTCATCTTGGTGGAAATTTCCCGGAAAAAAGTAATACCTTTTGAGGTATTATCGTTTTCCCGTTTTTACCGAAACGACCGAAATTTTCTGTACCGTTTGTTTGGATTACCAGTGCCAGGCTTCATGTCGAGAGAAAGCGAAAAATTTACCGGTATTTTGTAAATGGTGCAACTCAATCCCGTTCCTGTTTTCGGTGCCAAATAAATACCAGTACCATTTTGACGGAAATTTTTCACCGAAATTAATGAGGTTTTGAAATAAGGTAAAACAACTTTAAAAGGTACGCTTTCTTGAAGAGATAGATTTTTAGCTGACCTTTAAAGGCATCGATATCGGCAGCCTCTCTGAAAGAAACTGGCAGTTCATTCCAAAGCCTTGGTCCAGCGATTAAAAAAGGCCCTATCTTCGTAGGTGACAGTTCTTGACCTCGGAACTCTTAAAAGCTCCTAAGAACAAGATCTAAGTGAGCGGCATTTGCCATATCTCATGAATAAAATACAGTGGAATCTCATAAGAAGATGTCACGTACTATTTTTACGGCCTCCGGCTCCTCTTCAGGAGCTTCATTTTTCGCAAGGTAGAGGAAAGCGAGTGGTGATGAACCGCAAGGGACCATGGGATTATCGAGGGAGACACGTCTGGGTACGAGGCAGCTACTGTTAGGTGCTTTAGGCTGCTTTAGGCCGAATAGGCCGCGGCAATGGGGAGCTGATTTTTTCCTGTGGTGAGTCGTGTGAATAAGCCCCAAATAAGCATTCTTGTTACTTTTCTTAACAGCGTCGTGCAAGTCTGTCTTCAAGGTTTCAACATTACGACTTGTGGTCTCTTGGGAGCCTTCAAGAACATTTATTCTTTCTTGAGATTTCGATAGGGTCGCCCGCAGTTTTGTGAAGGTCTTAAGCCCTGCATTACATTGAGGCCAACCGTTCAAAGAGGCATCCCACTCCGCCATTACTCTCCCCAGACTACCCTACGCAGTTATTTTGTGTGCCCCATTATCGCAGTCACTGTTGGCTACAAGTTGAATATTTTCTTCAGATAAAGATAAAGCTCCCCTCCCCCCCCAAAATCAAGAACATCGTAATATACGAACAGCTCCCCACCTCTTCCTCCCACCCCAAATGAACGCCCTCCTTTTAGTAAGTGCTCACCATTTTGGCCCCTTTCTGAACGCCCATGGGGTTAATCGGAGGAAATATCGGAGGCTGCCGTGGTACGCTTGCATCCTCCAGCTAGAAGGCAACAAGAGCCACGGAACTCAAATGGGTTTGCATGAGACTGATTCGGAGTTGTGTGGAATTGCATCATGGGACTGTTTGGGGTAGCAAAATTTCTGCATCACAACAATAGGGGTTTTAAGCAGCGACGACGACGACGGCAACGAGAACAGTTAAAGAGTAATAATCAATTTATATTAGCAAAACAACAACTTTGCACGCGCATCACGCTTTTTTGTACATTTCCCAGCCGTCGTTGCAGGACTGCGACATGAAATTTCCTAGTTTCACGCGCTTGCTTTATGCAGTAGGTAAACACAACACAAAAATTTTCTTTCCTCTTTTTTTTTTTTTTTCTAAACTTAAATACGGTCCTATGGAATTCAGCCCCAGAAAAATTCGCCACCATTTGACAAATTAAATGAAATTGAAGAAGCGATTGAGTTTGAAACAGTACGAATTCAGTTTTTAAGAGAATTTTCGGTTTGTGGTCATCCAGAAATTTTGCTACCATGGGAACGTGACGAAACGACTTCTCCTCTCTATTAAGAGATTAGCAATATAGACCTTGGGCCGCCATTATGAAAGAGGTCTATTACTAAATTCTTCCCCAAAACATTTCCATGGTGCAATTCGACACAGCACCGACCAAGTCTCCAGCGCAATCTCAAAATGGCCTATTCCTCACTCCAGAAACTTCAACGAGAATGGGTACAAACTTACGGCGCAGCAAATTCAAGGATCGTTTGGGTTGACAAGCGTTATTTATGATCGGTTGATGGCTGCCTTGAATACCATCGACCAATCATGACTAACGCATGTCCACCCAAATGATCCCAGAAATCACTGCGCACAAAGCTTGTACCCATTCTCCCTGGAGTTTATGAAGTGGGGAGTAGGAAAGACTTTTCTGAAGGAAAGCATATGAAGAATTAAAATTTATTTTGTTGATGGTCAAGCAAACTTTACAACAACAATCACCACAGAGCGGATCAACACTCGACTGGTGTCGCATAACTGAATAACCAGAGATAAGAGACCTTGACAAAGATTGGTTTCAAAAGAAAGAATTTTCCGAAGCTATCTTGTTCGGCCATGTTTGAGATCGGCGTTAAAATAATGGCGTATTTCCCCGCAAACGTCTTGATACAAAAATTTAAAAGTAAGTTGACTAAATGTGTCAGTCACAATCCCACAGCGCGTTACAAGTCCAGAAGTAACGTGTGAGGATCCTCTACTGAAGTCTTAATTCTCCTAAGAAAGGTTACAGCTTCCCTGCCGTCTATTAAGCGATGATCATAGGTGAGTGCAAGGTACATCATCGGACGAATCTCCACCTGTAAGGAAAGGCAGTCAGGTAAACCTTCTCACTCCGAGAGTGAATAATGGAATCATGGAAAGTGGCTCATATTTTTGTCTGTGGACAAAATCCTATGGTTTGCTCATTCAAAGGAAACCTCTTCAACAACACTTTCACATGGTACTATTTAATTAATAAGAAGTTCTAAATTTTGAGTCTACGGACAAAATCCCTTGGCATGACCATTCAAATGAAACCTCTTCAACAGTACTTTTACAAGGTACTATTTAAGTAATAAGAAGTTCTACAGGGTGTTTCAAAAGTTCGTTCCGATTGTAAATTGTATTTTGCGCAAAGCATTTAATGCTTCTTTAGGCAAATGTAAACTGATTCAGGAAAGAAATTTATCTAAATAACCGTTAAAAACAATTTCAAACTAAAACTTGAAGAAATTATAATGTTTTTGAAGTTTTGCCGCAAATGTGCACGTACGCGAGTTTTTTCCCGCCATATTTTTCCTGCCCATTTTGTAGGTTATCTATTTTCGTTTTTTGCCGTTTTCTTCAAGTTTCTCCACTCTGTCACAAAAATGAAGGCCTACACTGTTTGCGCTAAAGCTGAGGCATCTATTTTTTTGGTTCTCTGGCCATTCAGTCAAAGAAATTGTTAAACTGTTGACTGAAGTCTGAATGATATAAGTGAACAAGTGATCGAAAGTAAAAGACTTTATAAGACAAACCAAGGACTGTATGGCCGTCTTTTTTTAAATGTGCGAGAAATGTTATCGAAAAAGCTGTAAGTATATGCGTAACAAGTCTGCAAGGCAGAGAGGTAAAAAAAAACTTCAACTTCACAATATCAAAGTTTCGAGCACAACGGTATGAAGATATATGACAAGCAAGGGTTGGAAAGCCTTGAAGAGAAAAAGGCGGCGAACATGCAGACATGGTGTCAGCAGGATTTGGAAACTTTATAGCAAGGGAGACCGGCTAGCAAACTCACATGATGTGAACCCTCTGGAGACCATCTGGATTATCGTTGACGAGAAAACATACAAAGAACCAGCCCCCAAATCACTGGACGAGCTAAGGCAGTGACTACGCTTCGCCTAGAAAAGTGTGTCTGTAGACACATTTTGGGAGCTCGTACATTCTATACCTCACCACTTAGAAAATGTCAGAAAACATAAAGAAAGACATTCTGGTTAGCGATATTTCGGTTAACATAAAGAAAGACATTCTGGTTAGCGATATTTCGGTTATTCAATGTTAAATGAATAATAAATAACATACTAAGTTTTACAAAAGGTATTTTTAATAATTAGTGAAATTTGAGCGAATAAAAAATCGGAACGAACTTTTGAAACACCCTGTAAATTTTGAGTCTATGAACAAAATCCTATGGTGTGAACATTCAAATGAAACTTCTTCAGCACTACTTTCACATGGTACTATTTACTTAATATGTAGTTCTACCCTTTTGAGTCTGTGGACAAAAATCCTATGGTGTGACATCATTCAAATGAAACTCTATTTGTTCTCGACATTTTACAAAATGAAATTTTGATATTTGGATGAATTTTAACTTTAGCCACTGTCGCTGGTGTAAATGGGCCTCATAGGTCAGTGTGGTCGGACAATTCAATCACTCACCTTTCCTTTAACAGCTACTGGTCTGTCTACGATAGCATGCATTCCTAGGATAGCGGACTGAGGCGGGTTAATGATAGGCGTGCCCATCATAGAGCCGAACACACCGCCGTTGGAGATGGTAAAAGTGCCCCCGTCCATGTCCTCGATTGCAAGTTCGTTTGTTCGCGCCTGAGAAGAAACGAAACCAGGACAACAGAATCTCGTTCATAGTACCATTGTAAAATGGTATGCAGAGCTATCTCAGATGGACACTTATTTTGTTCAATATTTTATCTGTGCAATCCACTGGAAAAATCTCCATCCGGTGAATAACGCAAAGGGAAGTTTAGGTTTTATTTTCCCAATTCAGACCACGTTACGGTTCTCGAGGGAATTTGCCTTTTGACTTTTCATTCGTTGTGCGCGCATATGCACGTGGATAGCGAGACATTCAAAAGAAACAGTTTACTGGGGATTCATCACATAGTCGGCAATGACAAAAAAAATACAAGCTAAAAAGATCATTTGGTCTCTCCAAATACTTGTCCACTGAATAGTTAATTGAACACTGGGTAGCGCAACCTGGGTTAGCCAGATATCACACATTTCAAGTGAACGCTTGTAATAAAGCAAATTTAACAACTTCCAGAACGGTAGCCCTTTTCGCTGACAATCCCTTCGCAATAGACATTTGAGGGTTACGGCGCAGCTCAGGCACGAGCATCGGGAAAGTATCTTTCAACATTCTAGTACATCACCCTAACATTAAAGGAGCTGTGTCACCAAATTCAGCCAAATTAGGAAATTACAAAATGCCCGTTAAATTAAGAGAAACATAAAAATAACGGCTGAAAACTTTAAAGGAAGGTTAAAATAACATAACAGAAACAACAGATGTCACGGATGGGCAAAACTGAAGAAGAATGAAACGGATTGAAATTTGGATTTTTGAAAACTGTTCAGCTTAACAGTTTTTCAAAGTTGATTCCTGCTGCTTGCAACTTCAAAAATAATGCTAAGGAGACATATTTGTTTGTCTCGGGTCTCTGATTTTGTAATTTACATGTAATTTCTTTGCTTACGTTAAGTTCCATAGCGATTGAGGGCGAGTAATTCGCAAAATTAAACAAAATAAGTGGACTGCCGTGACTAAGCTAAGCATCAGGACAATAGAGAGGAGACGTATGACGTCACGTTACCAAGGTAGCAGTCACGTTTGTATGGACAAACGGACATCAGCATCGTCCAACGATGGTAGAAAGTATGGGCTGCCGTGTTGTTCCTGAGAGCAATCATGCACAGGAAAGTCATACATGTCTTTTTTTTTTCGTCTTTTTTTTCGGCCATTGCAAGACCACGGATTTGTTGAGATCCAGAAATTTTCAACCATGGCAACGTGACGTAACGCAGCTGCAGCTTTTCTCAGGCTGGACTCAGCAAAATTACGCGTCCAGACAACACAGGACACAAGACGTTGCGTATCATCCCCAAGGTCCGAAGTTGACATAAATGTATTTTCCTTATTGATTCTTTGAAATCTGAGGATCTCTACACACTCACCTTTTCGCCGAGAGCATTGATTGCTTTCTCTATGTCGGCGTAATTCATTTCTTCCACATTCCTGATAACTGGAACAACAAGACCCTGCAACGAGGTAACAGACCTTTTTTCCAACAGAACCGACGGCAAATTTGTACGTACAAAATAGATACAAATTCCAACAGGCCCTTAAAAATAACCAAACGGTGATCTTCGCGTAATTCTGAATTTTGAAAAGAATATTCTTGCTAGAAATTAGTGCTATTTCATTTTATTATATCCAGTTTGAAATCCTTTGTTATCCTTGCAATCTGATTGACTCTCAGCAGAGCAACTTCTTCACAAATCACACTATTTTTAGCTCTGAATCACATCTGTTCTAAATCGCGTTATTTCTGTACTTCATCGCATCATTTCTGTTTTAAATCGCACCATTCTTGTACAATATGATATCGCTCAATTCTATTTCGAATGCAAAATGAGATGTAAAAGCCTTTTTGTTTCCACTTTTCGTTAAACCGGCTACTTAATACAGGTATACTTACTGAGTTTTGCGATTCCAAAATGCCAGTAATAGAGTGGTAATTGGACTTCGTGTTATGAAATTTTGGTCTGAAATCATACTTCTGATTTCAAATTGACCTTGCGCTGCGCGGTCGTCCCATTTTAAACTCACGCGTATGATTTCAGACGAAATTTCACTTCCCTTAGTTTAATTACCATAATTAATCACTTGTTCTGGGAAAAAGATTAAAGTCCAGAAAACACTAAGAAAATTTTCAGGTTAACCCTAGAAAAGGTTGGGGCATAATAGGCCATTTCTGATTTCCAAAAACCAAGTGCAAAAAGGTTTCTTGGGAAAAAGAAAAAAGAGTAAGAATAAAGAATAAAATAAATCTTTCTATTTCGATGACTTTGCACCTACGGTGATGTTACACTGGACGAGTCGCAACAACGGTTTCCGCGGCAACACAGTGTTACAATATTGGAACAATGTGGTAACTATTCAAAACAATGTCGCAACAATGTTGCAACCATTTGTTGTGCTAACAATCGTCATTGCGAATCGTCTTGTGTAACATCACCTTTAGGGCCTGTTTAGATGGAGATGGGGGACCCCAGGAAGATGACGTAATCCGCTTAGGTGAGGTAACCTGCCTGTCACGTTTACTACATGATAGGTGGGGTGACCCGTCGCGGGTTACCTCACCTACCTGGGGTCCCGCACGTCCATGTAAACAGGCCCTTAGCCTCGCTTTGAAAAAGAAGCTTGGGGCATCTAGGAAATGGCCTGTGATTGTTTTAGGTGATTTCATTTTAACGATGGTAGGCCAGAGATAGTGAATAAACGTTCTGTACCTTAGGCGTGGCCACTGCAACGCTGATGTCAACGTAATCCCTGTACACAATTTCATTGTCTTCAATTACTGCAAAAATAATAGGAAGAAGACAATCAAGAAGCTGCTTTAATAGACCTTTTTACTAATGCGGCGGCCATATTGAATTAAATAGATTTAAGTAGTATTATGGGATGCTCAGGGAGCAGGAGCACTATCCGATGTACTCACTCAGTATTTATGCATGCTTTTTCGGGCCAGTTTTTCTAAAAGTTTTCCTAGAAAAAAAATTGTAATGAGAAAAAAGATCGTTGTACTGCGTTTGGATGTAATAATGATCGCCTTTTTCCCGAGAAATTAATTCAATATGGCCGCCGCATCGGCAAAAAGGTCTATTAGCTACGCAATGAATAAGGTTATGTTCACACTATACCGGATGGTTTTTTGCGTCAGCAAGAAAAGCTATCCTAGATCCTGAAAAGCAACAGCCCGGGACTGGCGCAAGTCGTTCACACACATCGAACATCGTCGCTGGTGGAGTGGTTGGATGAGAGAGTTTGGTGAACTAAAATCCAGTCCTTACTTCTGAACATTTACTTCTGCCTTAGTGAATTCCAGCCTTCGCTCCTACTTTAGGGAGTTTTAGCGACGACGACGGCGACGGCAACGAGAACGTCAAAAAAGCAACAGTTTTATTGAGCAAAACAACAACTCTGCACGTGCATCACACTTTTTTGTACATTTCTTTGCCGTTAAATGCCTACTTTCACGTTTTATGGAGGACGTAAACAAGCGATGACGAGTGCTTGAGTGCGGTTCCCAGGAAATCAACTCCAGGGAAATTTGCCTACAATAGACATTTTCAGCGAACTGGAATAAACGCGACAAAGTAATAAAAAAACGCCAATTAATTTTAAAAGTGACGTTTTCGCTTCCGTCGCCGTTGTCGATGCTAAAAGTCCCTATTCACTTCCGCTACGGTCCGAATACCTGTTTTATATACTGCACCATGGTGTGGCACAGAACCTATACGATATGTGACGCCGTACTGTCGAGATCGGCGCGGCGCAAATACGCTGCGTTACAGAAATCACGCTAAAATCACCGTTCTGAGCGACACGAAAAGCTATCCTGTATAGCATGAACAGCAACGGCACAGAACTGGAACAAGTCGTTCACACACTTCGAACATGGTGCCGGAGCAGTTGGCGGAGGTTTAATTATAGGGAACTTAAGCACCAGACGTTCTTCGTACCACAGACGCCAACCGGAAGTATTTTTGCAGCATGACAGCCACTGCGCACGTCAAGACACCAGAGGTTCAAATTCTGGGTTCTTCGAAGAGTATTCGTCATACAAAAGTAGAAATTCTTCATCTGAAATCATGTTTTCTTCGTAACAAAGAAACAAAACTTAACGCAAATCTTTAAAAGGCATTTTCAACTGAATTATTTTGTCGGCGTTCGTGATGTTTCACGTTGTTTTGCCTAATGATTTGCATTTGGCACGCAAACCGCGTTCCCGATCCAGTTCTGCGCGGCCAGTCATGCCGTTCGTGAATCAAGAACGTCTGGTGCTTAAGTTCCCTTATGAGAACGAATCACGCACCACTAAAGAACAAATCACGCACCACTAAGTATAACTGCCGTCAATGCTAAAAATCCCCTACCTCTGTTACAAGTTTAAAAGCATTTAGTAGCAGAAATATTACTGATGCAAACATCCTACAAAAAACGACTGACCAGCATTGACTGTGGGTTCACTCTGCAGGGCATGAGCGGACGCCTTGATGAAGGCGGACATGAAGCCAAGTTTGACACCATGCTTCTTTAAAAATGCATCTTTGTGTCTTTTTCGCATCTCAGAAACATTGCTGTAACAAAATAGAAAACACAAGAGGGATCGTGTAGCGCTTACCGAGTAATCGCTAAAAATGACAACAAAAAATACCAAGCTTACCTCATGTCTACCTCATTAAATGTCGTCAACATGGCATAAGTGTTTTGCGAATCTTTCAGCCTTTGACCTATTCTCTGCCTCATTCTTGTCATCTTTGCCTGAATTGGAAAATACATGTAGATAAATAGGTCGACAGGGGTTTCGTTTCAGGCCGGGCGCCGGACGCAACGTCCGGTTGTTTGACATGTAATGTCTAGTAGTTCACACACGAAATAATTAATTTTTAAGTGTGAAAATCGTTTTTTTTTTTTCATTTATTAATCAAAGAAAGACTTGACCCTTATTTCACTCACTTAGTTATGTAATGCACACAATCGACAAAAAAGAGATAGTTCCTCTCATAACTCTGGTTACCCAACTCCGGTCCAGGGAACGCAGGAAATTGCATTTTAGAGAGTCCAATTTAACAATTTCCCGGGGGGCATACCCCCGGACCCCCCTAGGAGTTCGTGCCTCCTGCACTCAACGTTCGCGCCAGCGGCGCGAACAGTGCACGTCCGCCAGCTAAACAACTGCATCCGGTACTTCCAAATGCTACCGAAAACCCTGCGTCGAACCTCCGCTAACTGCAGGACAAAAACATCCATATATGTTGACTCTTGTTTAAAGCGTCTCTACAACGGCCACTTTCTTCTGTCCCCAAGATGGCCGTTGTAGAGAGGTTCAACTGTATACGAATGGAATAGCAAAAAAAGGTACGTAATATGTCTGTTTGCCGTTCCTAAAGCCACTAAAGGCAAAATAAGGGCTAATAAGGAATGATCTCACATCCACGTATCTACCTATTCCAGGGATAACTTGGGAGTAAATTGGAATCGAAAACTTAGAAGAAACTTGGAAGACCTTTAGTAGCAGAGTATCCTACAGTTATTCCACTACCAGATTTCTCAAACATCAGACAGTGCTCACTATTCACCGGTTAAATTACTATCAAGCGGATGACTATTGTGGTAACTAATTGCCCTATCCTCTGGATGAAGATTTATCCAGTGAATAGCGTTATCCACCGGATAAATCACTATCCAGCGGATCATTACTGTAGTAATCAATTCAGTGCGTCAACCTCTAGATAGAGACCTATGAAATAAATAGGGCTATATCCATGGGACAAATCATTATCCGGCAGATAAGTATTGTTGTAACCAATTGCGCTACCCTCTAGATAGAGATTTATTAGGTGGATAGCGCTATCCACTTTTTGAACACCTGGAGCCCGCAATATATTACCTTGTGTACGGAGCGAGCTCCTTTTGGCTGGGGCATAGGGGTCATAGGAGTGGCTGGACCAGGTTTGATTTCTGCTATTGGCTGTTTAGGTACCTCAGGAGCTGCAAAGATTAATTAATATCATCATTTAGGTAAAATGGTTTAGTAAGTGATAACCTGCGAGTAAGCTCTCCGGGGCGCACTGGTGGCGGGGCAAAAAGAGCTTGCTTGTACTATGTAAGTGAAAGTACAATGACAGGAGGTGGAAACTTCTCTGACTTTGTTCCCAGTGCCTTCTTTGCGGTTGGTTCAGGGAAAGAAGTAAGGATTAACACAGTCCGTTAGTGTGCGGCCTTCTTTGCGGGAAGACCAGAGTTCGATTCCGAGGGGCACTTTCCATTCAACCAAAAATTTCGGAAATTTCGGTTCGTACATCAAATGGAACAGACCCGTTCGGTTTGGTCCGACCGGAATATTCGAAACCAGCTTTAAAGGTGGTCCATTTTAATCGGTCTCGTCATTTTGGTCGGTCGGACCGAAATATCCCTTTCCATTTGACAAAATTGTCGTCCCCAGTACCGCTCTTTTAAATCCTACTTACAAAGACAATAACCAAACGCGCAGTGGCTTGGGTCGGGTCTGTGGAATCGGAATATACCGTTCCATTGGGCACGTGGAATTTCCGAAATTTCAAACCGGAATTTTTGTTGAATGGAAAGCGCCCTAGGTGTTAACTCAAATCCTTGTTTCGACTCCTTTCCTTCGTTCAGTGTAGCTTTAAATAGTTCATGTTTGCCAATTTATCACTGTTACTAGTCACCAATGTAAAATAAGGACCCTAATATTTTTTTTAAATAATTTTTTTTTGGAAAAAAAGGATTATTTTTACAGTCCTTTCAAACTTGTGGAAAACAAAAGGGAGAAACTCCCCCCCCTTCCCTATACCCCTGCCGACTTTTCCCTTTTCCCTTTTCCTCACCAAGGAGACTGGTCCCAGGCTATCACTCTGCATGTTAGTACTGTACCTGGTGGAGGTGTAGTTGGAATTTCCGAAGGTGCCGGAGTCTCTTCAGTAGGAGTTTCTTTTGCAGGTGGCTTAGGTTCAGAGACACCTGCAGTGGCTGCTGGGGGTTCTTTTGGAGGAGCTGCTCCTAAATTAAAGAGAAATGGAAAAAAAAAAAAAACACTTTGCTAACAGCAGCCAACTTCACTCTTTAACTCCCACAATAAATTGAAGAGTGATGCTTTTAAAGCATCAGTGTAAGTTAAACTTTAATCTCTACAGCGGTTTTTAGTGTCTTTAGTCACACGAGAGCAATACAGTTGTAATGTAAAGCACTAGTATGAAGTACCCAGGAGTATTCTCCCCCTAATCGTCCATATAATGCTACATGTAATGCTAGTTCATCAGAGGGTCTCCCCAAGCAATACATACATGTAACTACGCACAGGGCTGTCACTAAGATTTCAAGTTGTATAAAATTAGTAGGTGGGGAATTCATCAGTTAAGAAGTTCTATTTGGTTCTGTTTTCCGTTTCCTTTCCTGAGAAAGTAGCTTGGGGTCAAGTTCTTAGTGGCCATAGAAATTCCTCAGCCCCCTGATCTAAGTGAAAGCCCTGTATTCATGTCATCGTCAACTTTTTTTTATACAGGTGGGGAACAGGTACAGGTAGGGTAGGTGGAAGAAGTGCTGAGCAAAGCTTCCTGTCTAAGGAAACAACATTGTATCAGTGCACCCCTTAACACAGAGTAGAAAGGCTTAGTTCAAATGTTGATGTTTTCATGTACTGAACTTAATACGTGTTTGGGTCAACCCAATTCATGTAAGTTCCATGGTCGATTCAAACGTCAAACATGATAAGTTGGACTCAATTCAGGTTCACAATGTACAATGAACCAGAATGCTTACCTGTAAAAATAAACTATAGTAATTTATGCATTAGATTTGGCACATGAAAAGTGTGACGTTTGAAACAAAATCACTCCACAGTCAAAATTCCTATGTGGGCCACTTGAACTTAATCCATGAGTCACCCTAAATTAGACATGAAGGTTTTAATTGATTCGAAGGTCAATTTTTTTTTCATGTACTTAATTGAAGGGATTAGGTTCGGTAAAAAAAGTCTCAGGTTTGAGCTGGGCCAAAGGTCCTTGTCTGAAGAGAAAACCAGATGGAATGGCTGAGTTAATTAACATGAAGTTTAATAATGCACAATACAGAGACAACACTGTTTACAAACGTCATTGTTTTTGCCTTTCAAATTTGTAATGAGAGAAACAGTAGAATCTTTTGTTCCAAGAACCAATGTGCGCTAGTTGGCATATTAAAATCAGTGGGTGACGTCAGCATGAGTATTGCTACATGTATTATCTAGACAACCATGCCTCTACACTTTCAGAGAAATGAAAACAATAATCCTACCAGTTAGAACAAGTTTGAACAGCTGCTGGCCTTTCTCCACTTTATCACCATCATTGACAAAAAACTCTTGGATGACCCCATTTGCTGGGGCAGTCACAGGAATGCTTGTCTAAAATCAAGGTTATGGAATAGCATATAAATTATATTGAACAAACAGTCTTACTATCATAATCCATTTAAAAGTATTACAGGCCAATACTGAATTTCTATATGTAAACTGACAATAGAGAGGTTAGATACTTTGTTTCCCACAAATTCATGATCATGCATGGTACATCTAATTCATTATCCTCATTTGCAGTCAGTTGATTCAAATGTTTTATAGTCCTAATGTGTTTTATAGTCCTTATAATACTGTAGGTCTGTCATTGGCACTGTCCTACCAACAGTTGAGATCAATGTCTTTCAATTTCCTGTAATTTCAGGGACATCCTGTTTTCTCCAAGTTTACATTTCACTGGCCGGCAAAATGGGAGCATGCTAATGTGAACCTTGTTAGCCCGGGCACTGTTTGAGCCAGTATGGGAGTCCATTTTCTGTGCAACTGCTACCTTGCATGCAAAAGGATTTTCGCAAGAGTAGCTTTTGCAATTTACAAGGGTCACTCACTAAGCAAGGCAAAAATGTTGGGCAAGGACAGGCCAAGACATGCTGTTATTTATGCCATGCTGTGGCAGCTGGAGGGTGGATGGTTCTGTTTATCTCTGCCCTTAGGTGATGCCACAGGTCACCTAACTGGGAGTGGTCCACCACAGACCTTGAGACAGATCTTGGATTTCCTTCTTCCAAGATGCCCAGTTTTATCCTCTTCAACTAGGCCAAAGCCTAGTGGTAAGTGGGGTTGCTGGTTAAATTGCAAACGACCTGACCCACAAGGCAGGTTATACTGAGTTACATGGTTAACTGATAGCAAAAGAGATTCACCTGACTTGACCCAGAACATTTAATCAACATGTAATACACTTTATTCAATTTGCTAATAAATGCCTCACTGAAAAAGCTGATTTTTTAAGCTCCTGTTTCCTAGGATTTGGCACCCAGTGTTTGCTTTGGGTGTTATCCAGGGCTAACGTGTTGAATTACGTTCCTATTTTGTGCGGTGTCGATAGTACCTGGGTATACACATGTATGACTTTAGAAGCTAGGAAGTTGTTTTGGTTCTTTTTTCCATTTGTTCCTTACAAAAGTAGCCAGGGTCATGATCATTGCAACCATGGCAAATCCAGCCCTTACTGACACCCCTGGGTATGCATTTAAATTTAATATTGCAAAAATTGTCCAATTTACAACAGAACAACAATGCACTTACACTGTAGGTCAAGAGAGAAAATTGCTCTGTGAAATAAAGTTTCTCGTCTAAGAAACAACAAGATACCAGATTGATCATGGGATGCACAGTTTTGTTACCTTGTCAGTTTCAATTTCTCCAACAACTTCATCTTCAGCTACTACATCTCCTTGGGCTAAAAAAAGTTAACAATAGAACTTTACATAAATAAATTAGGGCAGGGTATTTTCATGACAGAATTTTTCCATTTAATGCCCAAATCAAAGGAGGCAGCCTGGATGTGTGGTAAGAGCACCAGCCTTGCAATCTGAAAGTCTACTGGGTTTCAAGTCCAACCGTGATTACCAGTTGGATTTGTTTCTTGGTAGTCCCGAGTTAAGCCTTTACTTTGCTTTCTGCATTTGAAATTTTAACCAGTGTCATTGGATAAATAATAATAATAATAATAATAATAATAATAATAATAAGAATAATAACAAAAAATGCACTTTAAACTATCTTGAAGAATGCAAAGGTGTGGTAAGGGAGGTTGAGTCTGCCTGACATTTTTGGAAGTGCATAGTCGTCAGCCATCCTTGGTACCACTCATATCTTGTAGAAAGTGTTGTGTCTCTTAGGTGCGGGAAGCTGCTGAGACATGGCTGAGAATGCCCAGAAAATAGAGTGGAACCCCGCCTTATGACCACCTTGCTATTATGACCATATATTCTTTTGGCCCAAATGTAAAAATCACTTCGTCATTTTATTGTTTTGAAGACACCGTTAGTGCGACAACCTCAAATATTATTTTTATGGCCCAAAGGTGGTCACATGAATAGGATTCCACTGTACCAGAGAATTGAAGAGAATCACACCAAAATCACAAATAACAATAATAATTATAATGATGATAAAATTCATTTAATCATCCTCAGCAGTATTTATAGGACAAAGTTTAGTGAAGCTGAGTAAATGGCTAAAACAAATGAAACAAACACCACAAGGTTAAGAATCCTAACTGGCTTGAGGCAAACCAGTTAGCTATTGGGCCCTCCAGATTGCATATCCAATGTTCTACACTGTAGAGGTACACTCAGCTATGCTGCCTCCTCTTAATTGGCCATTTTAAGTTTTTTTTTTTAATTTCAAGCCCTCCAGACAAATGTCAATTTTGAAGCGCTGTTAAATAAAGTTCTTGTGGTTACTGTTAATACCTGCAAAAATAGATGTAAAATGATAATGGGAGCAAACAACTCTCTATTTTTTTACTTTACAAGAAGCACAACCAAACATTGTGAAATGGTCTAAGCTTACTTACCTTTATCCCATCTAACATCTCCTTCAGTCACTGACTCAGCAAATGGTGGGGTGCTCACTATGACATAATCATCAGAAGCTAAAAAAAGAAAGAGAAAACAACTGTCATTAAACACCTTGTCACTTCATTAGGGGAACATACATTGAGCATAAGATTTCAGCAATGAGAATAATCAGATGCAATTGCACAAATGAGATACTAATCATTGTCTTTCAATGGAATCAAAATTTCTTTCTTCCAGGATGTGGTTGCTTGCTGTTATAAACTGTCAGTGCCCTTCAGACAAATTAATAATTATTATTAAAACTCTGCAGAGCTAGAGTGTAGCCCTACATTATACCTAGCAATATTACAGCTATAACTTCTGGGAGTTTCAATGTGATTTGTCACAAAGGCTGATCTTGAAGCTGAGATATGATCCTGACAATAAGAGCTACAACTGCACTTGTGGGGAGAATAAGGTTACAGGAGAGTAGTAGTGACTTAGCTCATTGAAACAGAGTTTTAAAACAACTGGACACCCAAAAATTACGAAAATGTTCTTTGACCAATAAGGTAAAAACTAATATTTGACCACTGTTGCATTCCTTGCCAGCAAATAATTATTACTTTTCTAACCAGACATTATAAGATGATGAATTGGGGAAGGCCCATGGAAAAAATCCCTCTCATTATGGGGGTAAGGACATTTTCTAAAACCACACACTCTTCTAGAACCTCCATCTTCATTGTGATAGTGTGTTTGTCATTGCAAAAATATAATTCAGCTATAGAAATACTCACAGAGAAAGGAAGATGTGTGAAGATATTTCCCATCTGTCCAGCTCTGCAACCTGATTATATAATGTGTATGTTACAGGTCAAAATAAAATAAATTTGCGTTAAAATTTTTTAACCTAGGGTGATTCTCTATATATTTCCTTTGTCTCCCAGCCCTAATTCATGAATAATTACGGTTAGGAGACAAAGGAAATAGAGAATCAACCTAGGTTTGAAAAATTTACCCTGAATATAATTTTGACCAGTAACATAAATATGATATCATATCACCATACAGCACTGTTACCATATGGAGGTTGAAAACCATGGACACCAAAATTATTCCTAGCATGGTATTGTGTCATGTAGAAAGAAAAATCAGACCTAACTACTGGCATTCACATGACATCATCAGAATTCAAACTAAAGATTTACTGTATCTATCCTCCTGTGCCCGGTTCCTCGAAAGATGGTTACGTTTAACCCTGGATTAAGCTTAGTTTTAAGGAAGGTTTTCTTCTCTACTGTTGAGCCTTTACCCCGAGATACAGCAATGATAACTCAAAAGATTACTCTAAGCAATACGTAGGAAGTTAAATTACAAAAACGGAACAAAATTTTAATCCTGGATTAGCGCTAATCGACCTTTCAGGAACTGGGCCCTGAACTTTAATTTTCATGAAATGTATTAAAGAGCAGCTAAAAACTTATATTTTATAAAAATTTTCAGTTTGAAAGGACTCTTCTCTTTATGACAGGGTATGCTTGGATTTCTCAGCTTTTGATGGATGTGGTAATTACATGGTGCCCGAGAGGTTTATCATGTAGGTGAAAAAAGTGACTTATTTTGGGGGATTTTGTTTTCTAAATAATCCTTGTCTTAGAAAAAATACTACTTTAAAGGTTTATGGTTTGAGTGTCTTGAAATAAGTGTCTTGTACATGTAAGTAGCGATTGGTGATCGACAAAATCCTACAATATTTCAGGAGTGAATTGCTTAGCCCCATTCTCAATCATTCTCCCCTCTTGGACCAAAAATGGTATTGGGTAGTTCTTAAATTTCAGAATTCAAGTGTTGGTGAAAAAACTCTTGAGGTTTGAGTTCATAGATCCTTCCATGTTTTTTTTTTCAAGTTGTGATGAAGACTAGTAATAATAGTGAGCTTACGCAACAGGGCGGGAGAGGAAAGAAGATGGCAAAATTTTTCGCCAAACTTCACCCTCCTTTAAACAGATCTTTTTGTAAAAGACCAGAAAACATTAAAGTGAATCACAACAAAACACGCAAGCAATAGCTTGTCAAGTTTGTCACACACATGCACTTTGCCGTCCTCTTCTTTCTGCCATCCTGTTGCATAAACTCACTAATATCCATCAACATTGTTGGAAGATAAGCAAACTTAGCAAGTTTCAAGGTCATACGTCTAATGCGGGCGAAGGTATCGCTCAGATACAAAGTTGCAAAAGTTTACAGAGGTTTGTAAGCAAGGAGGCAGGTTTGTGTCCCACTACCATAGAAACATTCGTAAAATTCAGAGATTTTCAAAGCTATATCTTTGTTAGTTTTCAACAAATCACTTTCAATCTTGGCAACTTTACCATTTTTAAGGCATCCTTTCCAGCCATGTCAATGGGTTTTTTTGACCAGTCCCAGTCAAATGTTGAAAAAATTGTGGAAGGGTCTTAGAGCCTCACACTGTTTTGTCATTTGCATTTAACATCTGTAACTTCCTCCCCAATCCCCCCCCCCGCCCCGCCACGCCTGGTTGAACTCTTGCTCTTTCTTCTTACCCTTATGGATCAAACAAAATTGCATTCACCCTGGAAGACTTCCATAAAATATGGGTCTTCCTCCCTGAAAAATACGGGTCTACTATGAAAAATTTTGTGGAATTTAAAGCTTCACCCCCCCACCACCCCCCTGCCAAAGAAATAGTTGTTTTTTACTCTACCCCTAAACAAATCCTCATTTTTTTAAACTTGCCCCTGAAGAATTCCATTGGTCCTCAACCGGGCGTTAAGGATGTAAAATGCAGTAGCCTATTTATTTTGTTTTTATAAACTTAAAATACTTACATAAGGTTGCTGTTACCAGAGTTTCTCCACAGAGTCCCCGATTGGTATTTGACTAAATAAAAGATAAACAAGATCCCTTTAAACTTGGGAATTGTAACGACATTTTACAGCAAAGTGGTGGCGGTGGAGATAATTTTGGTAGACTAACCTTCATTTTGTAACTTTGTTGTACCAGATCGAATTCCATAATGCAAAAACCGCTGCTTTGGAAAGAAACATTGAATTTTAGAAAATAAGTTTAACCTTTCCTGGAAAGTTTAAGATCATACTTACTGCAACATTTGTATTATAACCCCTACACAGACGAAGACGATTAAGAAACCGCCCGATATGGCGGTAGTGTGTGGAAGCCATATTGGATAGGACACACATTCCTAATGCGTAGAGACTGGGTATGAAGAAGCCTCGTCTCCGTGCCCCTAGTTCCCCCAGTTCCGTTAGTTCCGTTTTAAAAGTTTCGTTAGGCACCGGAAACACCGCATGGGCATCATACAAAGGTTCCGAGAAGACGCAGTTACCTGATCCTTTCCTCATTTTCTAAAAACTGTTTCAATTCAAATCGACATCATCTTCGACGGAGGACCAATTATGTGATGGATGTACCACTCAAAGAGTGGTTTGTTCATGCGAGCTGACTCTGATTAAATTAAGAACTGTCGAAGTTTAGAAGTTTGCGTCGCGGGCTGTGAGAATAGACCAGAATGAAGTTCAGCCTACTGTGTGGCACGGAATTTTAGTGGGGTCTAGTTTTTGCCACTTTTTCAGCAATCTCCAAAATAAGTTCCCGCAAAAAAAAGTCCGCAAACATTTTTCCCGGAAAAATTTACTCCAGAGATAAATATTCTTGGCCTGTACACAGACGTTGCTTTATTGTTCTTTTCGATAATCTGCGAGCGCGTAGGAGAAACGTCTGTTTTCGCAGGCTAACGAGCGAAGTCATTTAAATCCCTACTGATTGGGCGACTAATCTTCTTGTATGTGAGTTGCCTTCTCCCCCCACCCCCCCCCCCTCCCCTAGGAACAGGCTGCTCATCAATTGCAATTGTGATAAATTAGAGGGCCGTGATCAGTCAAAGGATAAAGTCCTCTTTAGCAGGATGGTTGGTGCAATCTAAATCTCAATAAAGTGAGTACCATGTGTTTTCAAGCAAGATTCGTGTACTCATTAAACCAGTGAACCCAGCTCTCAAGGAATGATGCTTTCTTACTCGGTTAGCAGGAGCTGTCGTTATTCCACATTATTTTGGTTGTCCTTTGTGGGAGAGATGGGGATACATTGGCTAGGACGCGTATCTTGTTTCATTCCCGCTATTTATACTGACTGAATTTCGATTCACTGTGATTCTTTAGGATGTCCTCTGAGGACCACGGTAGAGCCTAGAGTCGGAGTAAGTAGAATGTTTAGTTAAGATAAAAAAAAAAAAAAACGGAAAAAACGGAAAAAACCGTGTACGAACAATCTTGCTCGACGTCGGATCCAAAAAGATCGTGATCAGTCAAAATATATAAAATTGAAAACGTTACAGTCAAGACGACTTTTGCAGGAACTGATCAAACAGCGTGAAATGGAGTTAAGTTGCGATATTTCGACTGGCCAATACCAGTCTTCATCAGGTTTATTGAGATATCATAAATTTACAGAAATATATACGAAGTAAAATAATGACCGGAAATTACATAATATGACGTGGTATGGTGTGGCTACTTAAAAAGACAAGATAACAAAAAAATAAAAGATATACTATATCATAGTTACAGTTCATCACGTTTATTGATGCCCAGAGGCTCAATTGTTTTAGCGTTATGGATAAGGTGGGCTTCACGTGCTTTCCTGAAAGAATCACGCCCATTTTTAAGTTTTCAATAGGAATCAAAAGCATATGATTGTCAGAATGATTACTGGCAAGAAAGTGTTCTGAAACTGCAGTAAGTAACTAAGTAAGTGAACATCAAAGAGCAATTCCTCCTGGGATGTCCCTTCTGGCTGTTCACATGCAAACCCCCTCAGTAGATAAGATAGTTTCTAGTTTAGGTAGTCGCACCAGCACCACCAAAAACAAAAATAAAAAGAGATCCGGCGCTGTCTATATGTGGGTTTGAGGTAAACTTTTTATTTGTTTAAAAAACCTGTCATTTCTCTTTATGACTCAACATGAAACAATGGTTGTCATAACAACCATGTTTTTTCTAATTGATTATTGTGGTACTCCTAATTTGGTAACTGTTGTTATTAGAACCCAGTCCTCGTGTTATTGCCTTCGATGACGTCAGTTCACAATATGAAGGGACAGAGCTTTACTTGTCTTTGTCTTGTTGTTTAGCTTTCCTGTCGTTGGGTCTCTTCTTCTACCAGGAATTTGATCAAAACTGGCTATCCTCGTGGTCTCTAGCTACCCTGGCCTCGTCTGACGACGAACAGAAAGGTGGACTGTCTCCACCACCGCAAAAAAGGGTGCGCCTTTCCTTGGACCTTGAGTCCGATATGCACAAATCGAAACGGACTTCTAGTGGAAGTGATGGCGAAACTAGTACTTCTAACGGTGAATGCATAGCCAATGGAGACAGCAAGAGCCATCTAAAAAGGAAGATTGTTCACAGAAACGACGAAGATGTCGTTCGGTTAATAGTACAACATTTGCAAGGTTTAGGCTTGAAGTGAGTGATGTGGAAAAGTCGATCGAGTTCAAAGACGTTCATTAACATCTTCTCTTGCTGGTTTCCTGTTGCGTGTTGTTTAGAAATGATGTTTATTTTATTCTATCCCTCAGCAAATCAGTTGAGGTTCTCATGCAGGAATCAGGCTGTAGACTAGAACATCCTTCAGCGGCAAAATTTCGCGAGAGCGTGATGGCCGGCGATTGGGAAAGGGTTAGTTTATATGGCATTCAATTCAATATGCGATTCTTTCGCTCGCTGTTAGGTGTCTTTTGCGGATAATGCCTCCTTCAACTGTCTTTATGGGAGGTTCACTCTATTTTATTTCTCTGTTTGTAAGGCGGACGCTATCCTTAAAGAGCTCAGACCATTGGTTGAGAACAAAGAAGACATCTCGGTTAGTATTATTCTAAAGCGTACATAAATACTTCAGGCGTTCAGCTTCTTCAATGTATGCTTGGCCTTGGCTTATGAAGCCCTGTTCACAGTCGTCCTCTTGAATATTTTTTCGTGTTGATATGTCGCGAATCGAGCATTTACCTGTCATAAGACAAGCGCATTCTCGAGTAAACCACGTTTCCTTCAATTTCCTTTTAACTTGTTACATAATAGTGTTTTGAACTTAGAGACTTTGTTGGGCAAAGATTTTTGTAAAACAAGCTTGATATTCTTGTTGACTATGTTCTAAATGATTTTTTTTCCAGAAAATGAGGTTTTGCCTGATGGAACAGAAGTTTTTAGAATTCCTTGAAGATGATAGACCTATAGATGCTCTTCACTGTTTAAGAACAGAGCTTACACCTTTAAAGTGCAACAGAGAAAGGGTACACCAACTCAGTGGGTAAGTAGATGTAACCAGAGAAGCTGGAGAGTAAATTTACATATGGCTTCACCTTGGTTTTCATAGTTTTCTCTGTGGTTTTATCAGCTCTATTGTTTACCTCAGTATGGTAATCAGTTGAAGATTGAAAATTAATTTGTACTGTATTTGGAAGGCCAAGGTATGCCACTTCACTTGCTGAAATGGTAGGGTTGAAAAAAACTTTTCTCTTATTTTACAATGTAGCTTAAATCTAACAGCTGGCTCTCTAAGTTAAATTTTCATGCTTTATTTTCATTCTTAATTTTTATTCAATGGATTTCTTGTAATTGACTTTCTTCAGCAAACTGCTTGTACCTTTTTTTTACTGTGGTCGTAGTGATGTCAAAGGGTCATGTGTTTCATTCGTGTATATATTACTTTTTTAATGCTCAAATAGCTAAGGTATATGCCAATCTTATAAATATAATACTGATATTACAGCATAATTGATGAATGTTTGAAAATATTCAGGTTCATGTGTGGAAAAATTTTATATTTTCAAACATTTATTTATTTATTTCTATATTTATTTATGTAAACTGCAATAATGTTGCATATAAGATACATGACATAATGTTCTTAAATACTTTTAAACTTGTTTGGCAATCCAGAAATTAAATGCTCAGAAATGTTTGGATGTTCTAGAGACTTAAAAGCAGTACCCAGCAATGTTCCGGATATTTAAGTACATGTACACCAATTACAGTCTTTTATTTACTTTGTTAGTAGTGGGCAGCAAGGTTGATCTATGAAGACAAAATTAAAAAAAACGTTTTTTGATAGGAGGTGTATTCATTCTCAACAACAAAAATGTAATTACGGTATTTCTTATTATTGAGAGGGATTTCTTCATATTATTTTGCAAATTGATATCCCTTTTGTCAGCAATTGCCAGGTAGAGAAATTCTTATATTTCACTTGTGTTCACAAAGTATAATAAAATTATTCTTATTATGTGCTTGATTGATGTGTTATTTATCCATATCTGACAATGTGAGAGGAGATACTGGTTTTTCATTATTCAACTGTTATTGAACCAGGTTAATTATGTGCACAAATGAAGAGGACCTTCACAAGCGAGCTCAGTGGAATGGCAAAGGATCTCTGTCAAGACAAAAGCTAATGGATAGACTTCAATGTGAGTGGACATCAGTTTTGTAAAGAAATTGAAACAGTTATAATGGTAACTTTATATATTCCTAAACCCATATTATGAGAAATAGTTTCTTTCTAAACTAGCTGACTTTTTGACAAAGCCCAATAAAATATTGAAATATTGTTGCATGAGAATACTGAGCAAAGATGCTGACAGTTTTGCTCCTTTGCATGCTACTAGAATTACCTTGCGTGTTATTACAATCGATCATGTAGCGCACAGTGCTGTCATTAAAGACTGCGGGATGCGTAATTTCCCCCAGCTACAACAAATGTAACCTGTGGCTACTTTGTTTCATAGAAAAATAAAACCAAAAGAAATCCTTAGCTGTTTGATTCCCTGCCTACTTGTTGTAATTACCCTTCACCTTGAAATCTTAGTGACAGCCCTGAGCTCATTGTGTGTAAGAGGACATGAGAGGTTTTGATTGAATTTTGTGTACTGCCCAAAAATGTCCTCCTGTCCAAACCTTGCTTGTTCAAAAGCTGCATACAGATTGTGTTATCCATCAGTGAATGAGATGTAGCTGGTATAATGCACTTGTGTATGTAATGATCTACCTATTGAATGACATAGTCCTGGTCTAGACTGCAATGGTGCACACTGTCCACCATAACTTCATGTATGTACAACACTATCATCTACGTCACAGAGTTTCCAACCCTGTCAACTGAAAAAAAGGGAGGTTTGTGGAGCGGCATAGCTGCACCCACAAGTGCCAAAGGCGTAAGCCACTAGGGGTGTCCAGGGGCATGCTCTCCCAAGAGAAATTTTAACATAGGTGCCTCTAATATGCCATTTCCTGCATTTTGAGATCACAGTCAAGGAAATCATTGGAGTTTTTAACAGGCAGTGGGAGCTAAGGCCTATTGGTCCCTATCACATCAGTGCATTACCGTGCCCAAAAATTATCACAGGCTCATGCTCGGATGCCAAAAGGGTAAAAATGGCTGAAAAACCACATAAAAACAGATAGGAATTGTGCTAAAAAGACTGGTTAAACAACCTTTGGCTAGGAGGAGTTTCAAAAACTGGGTGAATATTTAGCGAAAATGGGAGGTTTCCGGCTAAAACTGGAGGGTTGGAATCTCTGACATCCTAACTTTTCAATGTTGATTTGGCTTCTTCCTCCTGCCACCCTATAATAATTCTTAGGTGGCAAGAAAAAGAGGAAGAAGAGCTTTAGTGTCTCCTGATCTTATTTTAGATTATCCCCTTGATTTCCAACCATGCTAGGCAAATTGGAAGGAGTAATGCAATGTAGCAGTTTGGTGCTTGATTCCAGGCCTTCAAAATGAGATCTGTGACAACCCGTCTTAGACTTGATGCTTAGCCTAGACTATGGTCCATTGCTCGCATTTTATACAAGTGACATTTCTCCCCTGCCTGGCTCTCCTGCAAATCTTCTTGTTGTGCCTTAATGGGATAGATAATAGGCCATTTCCAAGTTCCAAAAACTCCCACTTTCAAAACAAGGCTAAGTGCAAAACATTTCTTGTGAAAACGATTTTTTTTGCATGACAATAAGAAGTTACTATTTTCATATCAATGGCTTTGGACTTAGCCTCACTTTGAAACAAAGGCTTGGGCCAACTTGGAAATGGCCTAATTGTTGAAGGAGCCCTTTGGGAATAATTTAAGGTAAAGAATTCTGATTTTATTCCAGCAGCTTGAAATAGTCATCCGATTTTACCCTGCCCTCTCCATCAGTGCTCTGTTTATTTGAAGCTGCACAGAAAGGAGAGAAGTCAAAAGAAGGATTTGAATTTGATAGTAATGGAACTCTGGAACTCATGTACAGAAGGTCACTCACTAACGAACTGTGCTACTGTAATCCTTCCCCGCTTTTCCACTTTCCCAGTCCTAACTGTAATTTTAATTCACAGTCATACGTAGCTGTTCTCAGTTATTATTTTCTTTTTTGTCATCTTCTTTTCTTGTAGCATTTTTACCAGCATCTGTGATGCTACCTCCACATCGACTAAGAACGTTACTAAACCAAGCAGTTGAGCTGCAAAAAGATAGATGTCCATATCATAATACTAAACTTGAAGTTGGAATGAATTCGTTTTCCCTTCTGAGTGATCATCTTTGTACAAGGTATGGAAAAAACAAAAATCCCTATGCTTAGCTTAGAACAGGTTTTTGTATGTCACGCTGTGGTTTTAAACTTTTTTCAGCTGTAAAAATTTTCAAATGGTGATATTTTCTTTTTTTGTTTGAATGACAATATTTGTTATGACTGTTATTTTCCTTTGCCTCAGTTCCATTAGCATATAATCATCACAGACAAAAAGAAAAATTAAATGTTTGTTCAACTTTTTAAAAAGAAAAAAAGATGAAGCACAGACACATGCTTTCTGTTCTTGTGTGGCTTATTGGAGTTAATTTACCTTAACTTTATGAATAGATTTGATTGTAACTGTGTTACTTTTTTGCTCAGAGGTTCATGCACGTATTGCAACCTGTATTGATCATCATTGTCAACATCATCAGCCTCCCCACCATCATTGTTATCATCTTCACCTTGACCACCATCATGACAATCCTCCTCCTTCTACTCCTCTTATTCCTTTGCATCCTCATCCTCCTTAACATCATCGTCATCATGATAGTCATCGTCATCTTTATCTTCATTATCGTCGCCACCACCACCACCATCATGACAATCCTCTTTCTTCTCTTCTCTTCTTTCTCTTCCACCTCCTTATCATCATCATCATCATCATCATTATCATCATCATCTTCATAATTTTTATCATCGCCACCACCAACACCAATCATAATTTTATTTACCCTAATCGCTTAGGATAATAATAAGTTTTACTTCTTGTTTTCGTCATTAGCAGGCTGATGTTTGTTTCGTTATTGGCCTTCTTTCTATGTTTCTCTTTAGGAATGACTTCCCTTGTGAAACCAAATACACATTAACAGAACACTGTGATGAGGTAATAAACGCTGTGATGTAAAAATAATGAAAAACCTTACTTGAACAGAATGAGAGATTTTTGAAGAAGTTCATTGTGCTAACTACTACTCTGCCACTTTTTTGGACCTTAAATATTGACTGATTATTGTTTGCCTTCTCAGGTCTGGTTTCTTAGGTTTTCTCACAATGGATCTAAGCTTGCTACTGGATCTCGAGATGGTACAGTCATAATCTGGGATGTTTCAGTAAGCAGTCTGTTATTGATTATCTTTTGCCCATTGTACAGTATATGTAGGCCATAGCAGTGTCTAAGGGTATTGGTAGGGTTAAGAACAAACAAACAAAGTAGAAAAACAAAGCAATGAAGTAAGATATACCTGAAAAAAGTGCAATTGCCTACATGTAAGTAACTCCGCTTCAACTTACTGCGATTTTGCCACTTTCAAGCACATGAAGGCCATTACTTGACTGCCGAGCATACTCTTACATGTACATGTATATTCATGGGAAAGGGCTTTTTTCTATTGATTTTTGTGAAATTTGCTCGCATGTCGTTACCTGTATCCCAGTTCAGTGAAGTCACTGTATACAATGTTCATTGTATCTTGTGCAGAATGGTGAACCCTCACATCTTAGAACAATGGAAGGCCATTCATTTGGGGTTGGTCATTTAGCCTGGAGTCCAGATGATACTTACCTTATTGCCTGTGGTCCTGAAGACTGTTCTGAATTATGGATTTGGAATACAGAAGTAAGTCATATGTACATGTAGTCATGTCTGTTATCATGAGAATGGTAGCATATATATGTTGTAGCTAAAATCAATTTTAAGTAAAATCAGTATTCAACCTACACAGTAGTTTGGTTCAGAATTTCCTGAGTTTGTCAGACTTAATTATGCACAGGAAACAAAGGAAATTCTGGTTTAACCTGGGAAGAGATTTTACCTACAACATAGTTAATATACACCTCTTTCCTTAATGGTGGAACATGTAATATTTCCTTTCTGTTATCTTTGCCTTTAGTGCATCTTTAGATTTCAAAAAAACCTTCAAGTATAGAATTCTTCATGGAAAGTGTATGCATACCATATTTACACATGAGTTGTTGACAATTCAGAAATCAAATGAGTGAGCACCACGGACGAGTGTGTAAATACCCTACAAAGCACTTTCCATGTGTTATTTGTTTATTATTTACATGTTGAGACATTCATCATTTTGCCAGCCTTTTATTTAAAATCTTTCCAAAATCTAAAAATGTCAAAATATGCCGCTACACACCATGAAATCACAAAGAAAACGAAGTATATTTGTATTAAAAAACGCTTGCTAAAAATTGTAGTGAGGGTAAGGATATGCAGTAATAAACAAATTACGAGTAATAATTATTAACTTTTTTTCTGACTGTACCAATAAAAATGAATGATTTTGAGTAAAATGACTGGTTTGAATCTAAACAGAAGCATATAGCTGAAGTTGAACTCTAATAGAAAGTACAAGTACAAGCTTACGTCTGGGAAACAAGCACAGAAATTCCGTAGTGATGATGTGTCACTACCTGATCTGGCTTGTGGTTCTGATTGGTCTTGCTGTGTGGGAAATTTGCTTCAACCAATCAGAGTCACTACCCAGACCTGGGTAGTGATGTTTCATCAGCATGGAATTTCTGCACTTGTTTCTCAGACCTCACCAGTGGTGGTGTCACAAAATGTCGGCCGTTTTCTCAGGCCATTGAACTGTTAGTGTCAATCATTATGCCTTGTTTAATACATTGCATTTACCTGTTTGTGGAGAATTTGTGGTTAAAGTGGATTTGTCTGCTTATGTTTAAAGACAGGAGAGCTGAAATGTAGAATGAGTCAGTCGACAGATGATAGTCTCACATGTTGCGCCTGGAATCCTGATAGCAAGAGGTTTTACACTGGTGGGAAAAGGGGGCAGTTTTACCAATGTGTAAGTGGTAGTTCTTTCCTTAATTTCATTTTTTTTTTTAATATCTGAAATTTTATTTAGCATAAACTACTAATGCAACAGTGATATAATTGCTGCATAGTCCGAAGCAGTAATGATTTAAAATAATAATTTATCTAATTTTTGCATGTCAAGTGCTTTTTCAACGTCCCAAAAAAACTAAACTAAACTCTTGCTGCCTGCTTAATAGAGGTATGCAGTCAACACTCGCTAAGACAGGCAACCTTTGAGACTGGTGTTATGGGTCCTCTTTAGAGAGATGACAATCTTATAGAGAGTCAACTAAAAAAAAGGCAGGAAAGGCAGGGACCAATTGTACATCTAGGTGTCCATTTTAGCAAGGTGTCAATCTTGAAGACAGTCAACTAAAAGGAGACCAAAAAAGCACGGACCAACTCTATAGTGTCCATTTTAGGGAGGTGTCCATCATGTAGAGGAGTTCCTTTAGAGAGAGTTGACTGCAAGTTCTGCCGAAGTGGTTTAATTCTCACACCATAAGATTTCATCCACATGGCCAAAAGTTAGAACTTTATCATTTCATAATTTACAAGACTCTATCATGTACTCTTTGATTGAAAGGGTTTCTATTCGCGTAGGTTCGCCAATTTTGGCAGGGTCACCGCAACAAAAGGCCCGTAACAGTCCCTCCTCCCACGAGATAAACCACACTACTATGTCCCCTACCTTTAACTCATCAACAGTGTGTGGGTTCTGAAATGTCCAACTGAATGTTGAGACGGGGCCTACGGCTTATCGTCCTTATCCGAGAAGACTAGAAAGTCTAACCGTCTCACTTTGCAGTTGTCTCTAAACCGCGGCGTCAGTTAAACATCGCGGCAGACCTGCCCTACAGTTTTTCTACTTTCGTTACCATTTGATACATGCATATATTATTTTGATTCTTTTAGGCTCTCGATGGTAGTGTGATGGATACGTGGGAAGGTGTCAGAGTTACAGGGCTTCATTGTTTAGGTGGTGGAGGCAGTACTGTCCTGGCTGCGGACACACACAACAGAATTAGAGCTTACAATTTTGACGAATTAAATGATAGTAACTTGTAAGTCTGCATGAAATTAAAGATACACTGTCCACATTCCCTCATTTTTCCATGAGATCGTCGAGACATACCGTTACGGGAGGAGCGGGTCCGTAAGTTTATAGTAGGGACCTTAAGGAACGTTGACGTCCCGAACGTCCAAAATAGCAACCGGAAGTTGATATTTTCACCCTTTCAGTGTTCTGACTCGACAAATTCGCACAGCGGGACCTAAAACAATTGCTTTCAAATTCGTTGTGTGAGACTGAAATGTTCCATCAAGCGAGATATCGAACTTCCGGTTGCTAATTATGACGTCCGGGACGTAAACGTTCTCGTTGCTTAAGTTCGCTAGTGATGAGTGGAGGGAGGCCGAACCAAATCAATTCAAAGCATTCCACGCTGCCTAAGTAGATTGGATACTCATACCTTTCCTAGTCCCTGTACGGCGTTTTCCCAGTCCCTCTCGGTCAATTCACTTCGGTGACGTAGCCGAGGCATTAAGCTTGGACCACGTGACCCGCAACGCATTGGCCGCGCGGAAAAAAAGAGGCCTAAGGACTAGGCAAACTCATACTTAGGCTATACTCGGTGCACTTAGAAACCAAAGTGGCCGCCCGTGCTTAAATGTGCTCGATCCCGACGATCGTACGTAAAAATAAGAGGACTGTGAACAGTCTAAATTTAAGGTAATTGATTAAAGAAGAAGGGTTGTTGAGTTGTTTAGTGATAGTGAGATATGAAATCTATAATTTTTAGACGAATTTCCTGTCTGACATTCTTTCTTTCTTACAGAATACAAGAAGACCATTCGATCATGTCATTTTCTGTATCGGACGATGGTCGACACGCACTTTTAAACATAGCTTCACAGGTGAGGAATCTCATCGTTTGTACATAGTCCGAAAGTTATCAAAGGTCTGAGCGTGATCCTAGATTAGCGAACAGCTGCACTTCGAAGTCACCCTATTAACTTTGCCTGCGACAAACTTGAACCTCTACTACATTGCATTATAGATAAATTTGTACCGTATTTTTTTGAATACGCGCCCGAACGCTTATTTAAAAGTTGGGCTAAAAGGAAGGTCTTTTGTTGGAACGAGGGCGCTTTAATTGAGGAACGCTTATAAAGCTTTCGTCCTTTTGGTAATCAAGGGTACCTTAGTCCCATTACATACTGAATTTATACACAGTTGTATCGGTATAGATGTTGAAGTTTAAGCTAAAGAAAATATAAAAAAAGTGGCAATAGAGGCAGGTTTTCTTTGTATCCCTACTATTTGAGAGAGTGTTTGGGGAGGGGAGGGGAGGGGAGCGCTTATTGGAGAGGGACGCTTGTCTGATATTTTATAAAATAACTAAGATAGTACGCGCGCTTTGATTGGCTGAGAGGAGCGTTTGCATGAGAGTATGTAAATATGGTTGTGGCGTCAAGATGTTTGCTTTTCGCGCGCTAAAAAGTTTTCAAGTTCAGAACTCGACAAGTTTACTTTATTTACCCATTCCTTCGTCGGCTGAAACTTGGAAAACCATTGCGAAGAAAGTCTGTCAATCTTTTTTCGCTTAAGCTGACATTTTAAGCGAGAAAATTCCGTATTTTGGAAAGCATCTTTTTGCAAAACAAGAACTGATTACGCGTGCAAGACTTCGTGGACGAGACTTTGCGACTGGTAAGAATTTCTATTTTAATCAGTGCCATACAAAGAGTTTTGCGTTTTTTCGTGGGAAATTTATTTTATAAAAGCAATAGAAGACTTTTTTCCTGTGTTTGCATAGCCTGATACAAACACTCGAGGCGTTGGGAGAATTCTCGACAGTTATGCAAACCCGAGACGAACTGTCTCGATTTCGCCCAAACCCTCTCGGGTTTATATCAGGCTATGCAAACACGGAAAACGTTTTCTATTGCTTAAATAGTCCAGGAGATGGATGCTTATTCGAGGAAGGGCGTTTATTAGAGCGCGGGCACTTCTTTGAAGAAATACGGTATCCTACAAAGTAGATTTTACCTTCGTTGTTTCTAAATCATCTCAGCTATTTGTTGATCAACTTTCTCTATCTTTTTTTGTCGTTAGGGAGTTCATTTATGGGACATTAGAGATCGAATATTAATCAGGAAATATCAGGGTCCAAGACAGGAAAAGTATACAATATACTCGTGTTTCGGTGGTGCTAATCAAAACTTCCTTGCGAGCGGTAGTGAAGGTCAGTGCACACATACATGTGTGTCCTGCTAACGAAACAATAGGGAGCTTAAGTAAAGGTGTGTTTGAGCGACGCACGTGAACTGGAAGTGAGACCTTTTTCCTTTTAATAGAGTCAACTCTCTCTAAGACGGACACCTTTGGGACCGGCACTAAGCGTCCGTCTTAGAGAGGTGTCCGTCTTATAGAGAGTCAAATGAAGGGAGTAAAGAAGGGCAGAGACCAACTCTAAGTGTCCGTTTTACAGAGGTGTCTGTCTTATAGAGGTGTCCGTTAAGAGAGAGTATGCCTTAACGCTACCAAACTCGTACTGCTAAGTGTCTTAACTCTTTCCAAAAGTGAGTTGCCCAAAAATGTCGGCAGAACCATTGCCCAAGAACGAAAAGGTTAACTTCTGGTTGAAGTGCGTCGCTTCAAAACGCCCTGAAGTCTCCAGGAAATAGGAGACGTCTCCATGCAGATCAGAATTCTCTGATCATGAGTGCTGCGCTTCTGTGGATAAATACATTAGATCCTTCATCTCAGATTTGTTGAATTCGTTACCATGACGAAAGAAACGAAAAATCCGGAAATGGATTCTTGAGCGCGTGCGCCACAGAAGAAAATTTGCCAGGTATAATATTTTGGAATCCCTGCCCAAAGAAACGCAGGTATCATGAACCCTAAAACCCCATATTTAGATTTGGTCTGATTAATCCATCGGGAGCGTGGATTCTTTAGATTTCAAGTCCGTTAACTAGAATCCCAAGCCCTCTTTTAGTTTCAAGATTCCGGATTTGGATTTTCCCGAAGAATTGCACCCCGGTTTGACTTGGGCCTACCACAGGACGCCCGAGTAAAAAAACGATAACAAACGATCATGATGACTAATGCTGTTGAAAAATTCATTTCCGTAATTTAAGGTCAATTGCAAATTAAAGACAGATAATTGTAGCAGACGTTTTCTCCTTTTCACAGATCACAAGGTGTACATCTGGCATTCAAAACGTGAAAAACCAATTGCGGTGCTCAGTGGACACACGAGAACTGTAAACTGTGTCAGTTGGAATTCAAAGGATCCCACTATGTTAGCGTCGGCCAGTGACGACGGAACTGTAAGAATATGGGGTCCTGTTGGTAGATTTTCTAAATCAGGTATTTGGAAAATTTAATCACTAGAGTGTCCGCGTGCTCTGCGAGCGGAGCCTCATTTTCGCATTTTCGCGTGAAGAGGAGAAAAGAAGGTTCTGTCTGAATCGTATCCTGCGAATAAAGCCGTTTCTCCTTGCTCCGCGCTGCTAAGGACTTTTCGTATGCTATCTGAATCGCGTCAAGCCTTTGAAGTCGCAAAAGCCTAAACTTCCCAACAAGTTTATCTTGGTTTTTCGAGTGCGAGTATCTGCTTATTGGTAAACCGATGGTCATAACTGAGCCCGCCGTACTAAGCGCAAAGTTATCGGGTCCGAGTCGAGAATTTGCGTGCGCGACGTAAAAATGTTCAAATGAAACTCAAGTTTCTCGGCAAAATCGCGCCCGAGAGAAAGAGAGAAGCAAATTGCGCCACCACCTCTCCATTTCCATGGTCATCGACCATAGCTCTCGACCAGCAATTAGCGCAATCGGAAATCGCTCAGTTAGAGCGATTTTCGTATGACCTTAAAAAATGGTTTCGGTGAGTGCTCGTTATTTATTGTATCAGCCAATGAATGAAAAGATCGAAACATGGCCACTTCGTTTTCCCGCCAAAGAACACCTTAAGGTGAGTAAGGAATTGTTCGATTGGCCAATCGTGTTGTAGTATGACATCAAAGCGAAGTATCGGTTGATTTGTAGAAAATTCTCGGGCTTGAAGTTTTTTCACCCGAGCGTTCGCTTAACCAACCAAAAGCCAAGCGTGTTTGTATCCGGTCGATAAACCAATCAAATCGCTCTATTTCCGTTCTTGTGTTTGCTTCCGTTTTGTTCGCGTGTTTTCATTTCAAGGTCATACGAAAATCGCTCTTTTGTTAAATGATGATTTGCTGAGAATAATAATAATAATAATGATTTAATTCTTATATTGCGCGCTTTCCATTAAATGATCAAGCGCGCATTACATGATTTCTATCTATAATAACTTAATAAAGGGTATCTAACTACTAATTATATAAAATATACTATAGTGCTTAAAATATACAAACTAGAATGATCTGTAAAAATTAAAATTAATAATTAATAAAGCTTCCCTTTTCAGATGTAAAATCCCTACTTATAAGTTCACGCGTTTCAAAGTGCCGGGCAAGACTGGAATGATCAAACCATTCTATAGGGATTGGCGTTGCAAGCAACCTGAGGAGGATCTTAAATTATAATTTCTTGATCTTTTTAATTGACACAAGTTCTCTAAATACGTTGGCGCGCGAATCCATGGATGGCCTTAAACAAATAGTAGAATCTTAAAACTAATGCGTTGCCTAACCGGTAGCCAGTGCAGCTCGTACAGCAACGGCGTTATGCGACAGTAGCGTGGCGCGCGACAAACTAGTCTGGCTGCGGCATTTAAAACGCGCTGAACCTTGTTCAGGTGAGAAGCTGACAAGCCATATAAAAGACTATTACAATAATCAACGCGCGAGGTAACAAACGCATGTACGAGGGCTTTAGTGGTATCTGTACTTTAAAACCTACGGATCCGACTTAAAGCGATACGGGAATACGGTTTCGTGTGGCCTCGTGTGAGATCCATTGACAACTTAATGTTGTGATTATAACTGAATATAATATAGAGGAGAAGTCGTTACGTCATGTTGCCATGGTAACAAAATTTTTTGGATGACAACAAACCGATAAAGTCACTTAAAAGTCTATTCGTACTATTTCAAACTTCACCGATCTTATTCAATTTCATTTAATTTGGCAAATGTTGGCGAAATTTTCTTTAGGACAGTATCTATCGTTATCTAAGTTGAAAAAAAAGAAAGCGACAATTCTTGTGTCTTGTTTACCTACTCCGGTCTCGTGAAATTAGGAAGTTTCATGTCGCAGTGGTGCAACGACGGCAAAGAAATGTACATAATAGCCTGATGCACGTGCAAAGTTGTGTTTTCTTAATATAAACATATATTTTTTACCGTTCTCCTTGCCGTCGCCGTCGTCGTTGGTTTTGTTGTCATCCAGAAATAGTGCTACTATGGTAACGTGACGTCACACCCCTCCTCTCTATTCTGTCAACCTCTTGTAACTGCTGTTTTTTTTCTCTATTTGCAGATTGCGGAAGTACGGCTGTGTAAGACATTGGGGAACATTTTGTACATTTGTTGTGGGATTCTTGCTGTGACGTTGAATTTGTAATATATATTCTCGTTTCTCTCTTTATTATTCTCGCTAAATTCTGACTCATCGACATCTCCACTTGCCTTTCCTTAAAACTGTCTCTCTTATCTAGACGTCAAGCCCTTATGCTTACTCCCTTGTCAGAACTTACCACGCATTTACTTAAAAAAAAAACAGGGCTCTGATGACAGTGACTGGAAACAGGACGTACTTCTTGATTACGTATATTAAAGCGGCCACTCTGATGGTTTTCGTTCTCAGGCAACTGTAAGCGAAATATATCGTAAGGGCCGCCACTTGTTTCCACTTTGACCAAAGAAAGCGCTAGAAGAATTTTGCCGCAGTGAAGTTTATGAGAGATCTTTAGATTTGATGACGAGGACCACTACAGCGGCGAGATTTAACTTAACGCGCAGCACTAGAATCTAAAGATCTCAAGTTGTACTTCTCACTGGTTACTTATCGTTCGCTCTAAAGGTCAAGAATTCGAACCATATTTTTGCAGCGTAAAGAAAGATACTAGGAGAAGTGTTGCTGGGTAGCTTAAATTTGAATGTCTGCTCCGCCCTCTTGGCAAACGTAATCCATAGACGGAAAGAGTAGGACCACAAAACAACCACTAAACTGAAAAGCCGTCACCCTTTAGGACTCAACCCACAGGCAGAAGGCCCATATACATGGGACGGGAAAGTATTTTAGATGATGGTATTGACGAAACGCATTATAACTCTTCAGATGAAAGAGCTTGTAAGTAGTTAAGAGCTCATTTGGCTGTACCCGAATTACATTGCGCGGTAGACCTTCGAAAGGGAGACGGGTTCGGTAAGGGATGGGACGAAGTCGCGCGAGAGAAATTTTGAGGGTTTTTAAAATATGAGCATCACTGACACTGACCATGTGCTGCGACATTCGACAACTAAAACAGCCTACAGTACACTTCTTTATTGTTACCCTGTATCGTAAGATCAATTCAGAACAAGTATGAGTGTAAGTAGGCGATCGTTATTTTCGTCACCTTTCACTTCACCGTCTTTGGTACAGTCCAACAGAAGTCCCAGTTTTGTTTCAGTTCAGACCTCTCGTGTGATGAATATTAACTAAAAGAACGATCCATAATAGGTAACAACTTTGCTATTTAATACTTCATCTTTTTTACCTCGCCGTTGCGTTTCATGTGTTTCTTGGAAGGCCAAATCCAATTGTCTGTGAGTCAGAGGACTTTTTTCGCTTTTTAACCCAAGCTCACGTCTGTTCCTAAACTTTCTCTTGACTTACTCGCTTGTAACTATTCGTTTTTTACACCTTCGATTAGTGAAAACAAATTATATAAATTAGGAGTATTTAATTTATGCTGCAGTGGCAATAAAGTAACTGTTTTGAAACTTGGTTTTCTTCGTTTTAAATTCAGCATAATCGAAAGTGATGATACGAATTTTCACTTAATTTCATTCACGAGTTGTTGTTTTTGTTATTGTTGTTGTCTTTTTTGTTTGTTTGTTTTCTTGTAGCATCTCTGCAACAAATAGACGTTTGCCATATTGCACTCCGGTGAACGCACACATTATACTGGGTGGATAGTTTCATACAAATAAATGTAGCGTCGATTTGGTTTTTTTTTTTGTTTGTTTGTTTGTACTGAATTACAGAAATTTCCATTGGCCAGTGTTGTGTATCGGTTTCATTTAAAAGCAAACCGGTCGGTTCAGAATACGTATGGGCAAGTGGTAAAGAAAAATTTTGCTCGGAAATCGCGTTTTACTATTTGCACAAATCAATCTCTTGTACAACAAAAAAGCCGCGAAAATGAAACATGGGTGTGAAGCAAGAGAGAAGTCTTTGGACATTTTGACCGGTAAGTCGAAGGAAAACAGGGCTTCTTTTCAGACTTTTCTTACTGCCGGAAATTTTCCACTGGAGCGACCGGAAAAGTCTAGAATGCGAGAGCAGATCGATGCCTTCTTCACCCATAGGGAAGAAAGCTTTTTTTTGTCCGCCGGGTAAAAAAAAACGCTGACTATAGGCGTTCTCTCTAGCAAGCTAGGAAGAGTCGTGTACCTCTGATAAATTTATAACTTTCCAACCGGAATTTCAGGATGATACGGCAACATTTGTTAATATAAACAAATTAGCTAGGCTTTATTTCCAGTTAGAAAATTGGGACCAGTAGTTTTCTATGCAATTAGTCAGAGAACAAAATATTAGATGCGGGAAGCTGCTGAAAAAGATAGATATATACCCTTAAAATTCCGAAAATAAGCCCCGGGGCTTCTGTTTTTGAAAGGCCCTTTTTGAGGGGCTTAGGCCTGTTTCAAACGTCGTGCTACTGCCGTGCCAAGATGGCTCGACTGCAGCACGACTTGGTTTCAGTCGTCGAATTTCATTCAATCAAATAGACCGGCTGTTGCCAAAAACACAACACAAAAATAAAGAAACGGTTTAGCCAACTTTTAAATGTATTCTAATGTATTTATAATTTATGAATTGAGTTCGGCACGGCGTTTGCACGAGGTTTAAAACCAAGTCGAACTACTGCCATGCTACACGGCAGTAGCACGACTTGATTTCAAACGTCGCGCCACTGCTGTGCTAAAGTCGAATTTAATTCGATCAGTTGAGTTCGGCACGGCAGTAGCACGACGTTTGAAACGGGCCTTATATTCGGAGGGGCTTATCTACGGAGGGAAATTAATTGCGTTTCAAAATCGATTGGGGTAGCCTTATAGTTGGAAGGTAATTTAACGTTTTTGCTTTGTTTTACTTTGTTTCCAAGTACAAGCCTCCGAGGGGCTTGTATTTGGAGGGGCGATTTAACGGAGGGTTTTTTGTGTTATGAGTTCGGGGGGCTTATACATGGAGGGGCTTATTTTCGGAATGTTACGGTACGGTATATCAATCTGCTTGGCAGGTGCTCTAAAGAAAAGCCTAGGGCACGCGCGCCTGGATCTAATTTCCTTTCCCTTTCTAACGCTTGCTACGCAGGCTACATTTATTTATTTATTACTTATTTATTTCGTCTATATTTGGTTTGTTTTATTTTTTTGTATCTTCGTCTCCTAATCATCCCTCTATCATTATTCCTTTAAAAAAATGTCTAGTAAAGGACAGAATGAACAACGTTAGTGTACCTTCGCGCGGAGCTTGTTTTAAAACCAGCGATCAGGCGTCGTGTCAGTGTTTATTTACTTCATTTACTTTCATTTTCTTTACAGAAAAGAGCCTGCCATCGACATCTTGCGAGCAAAATCTCTAGGGCTCCTATTAGGCCCCGTTCATACTGAGATCGCTTCAGTAGTTTCAGTAGTGCTCGCGCGTTTTGAGCGGCGCATGTCAACCGGAAGTAGACGTTGGGCATTCTTGGGCAGCGAACTTTCCATATTTTCTGGCAAATCGTCTGTATGCGAGTAAAGACACTTGGAAAGACAAATTTGGCAGCGTCAAGGCATATTAAAATGGAAAAGGGCACAATTCCGGTCGACGTGCGTCGTCCAAAAACGTCTTTGCTTAAGCTCAGTTTTCAAGAATGTCGAAGTGGCGGAAACAGTTACAATTTATCAAATGCATGTCAGAAGTTATATCATTCTGTGATCGGGAGAGGGCTTAACCTCCTTCAATATAGATAACAATGCTAACTTTTTGGGTGAAAAAAAAAAAATGGCAATGACGCCCTCCGGTGTTTCTATTTTTTGAGAATACACTTTAAGTCAAATCTCGTTCTCTCGTCGTCAGTCGTCCTAATTGACTGACAGCAGGAAACGAGACAACCTTTTCCCCTCATAGCCATGGTCTCAGTCATAGCCTGTGATGGTGCCCTTCCTATATCTCTATTATGTCTTTCACAAAAAAAAACAACAACAACAACAACACAAAAATGGTATCGGGATTGTTTACCATTTATTAAAACTTTAAGAAAATGGCGGTTGGAAAGTAAATAGAATACGACTTTCTGGAGTCGTTCCAATGGAAAATTCCGGGAGAGGCGGAAAATCCCCTGCTAAGGTAGTCCTGGACGGAATGTGTGTGTTCCATTTATTTGTTCAATGGGTCACCTTTGATACCAGTTTCAGCCTTTCGCGGCCGTATTTTGGTAGATGGAACCGATTTGTGCAAATGGTAAACGCGATTCCGGGACGAATTTACCAACCCTGAATTTTCCTTAGCCACTTGCCCAAACAGTGAACTGACTGGCTTGACGACTTGCTTGTCCCTGCGGAGAAGAGAGATCCTGGGAATGAGGTTAAAAATGAGACAATTCATAGCTTCATACATGACGTATTGTACCAGTTTGAGTGTTTATTGACAAGATGGTCGTCGTGGGTGCTGCGATCTTGCCTCATGGAGCAATGGTATTTGACGGGGATCCCAATTCAGCGAGCCCAGCATGTCGAGAAAGGAACATTTCAATGCCAGCAGATCTTATTGGAAATTGCTCCAAGTTGTACAACTCATGCGAGCGCGTGGGCGACCGTGTGGCCAAGATGAATCCGGATGTTGTGTTACTCGTCACCCCTCATGGAATCGCCCTGTCTTCTGGTTCATATGGTGTGTATATGGCGAACGCAGCTCGCGGAAACGCACTTTGGAACGACTGCTTTCAAGACATAGAACTGAGCATTCCTCTAGACACGGAGATCTCCAAAACGTTGCTAGGGTTTGTGCAAGAAAAGGGTTTCAAAGCCGATGGTATTATCACATTTTCTTTGGCTGAAGCACCTTTGAGGTGGGGCGAAGTTATACCTTTATGGTTCGTGAATAAGAAGGTTGACTCGGACAAAGTGAAGTATGTAATCGTTACTTTCGCGCGGATTTATGACGAAGAAGGGTTTAATGCAAGGGCAATGGGGAGAGCCCTGCATGAATTTGCTTCAAGTCTTCAGCAGCGAGTAGCAGTGGTTATCAGTGGAGATTTGGCCCATACGCATACCACAGAGTATTCCATTCCTCTCTATTTACCAGGTATGCAAAAGCCACAGGTGTGAGGGGTGGGTGGAGATTTGGCCCTACACATATGACAGAGTGTTCTATTCCTCTCTGATGTGTGCTTTGGAGATTCAGCAGAAAAGAAAAAGGGAGTTGGAAAAGGAGCAACATAGAATTGTAGATGGGATGGGCATGTCTTTCTAACGAGCCAGCTATCTCCTTGCGTCTGAATCATACCCCCCGCTTCCCTGGGAGCACCTAGACAAGAAAGGCTGGCTCTGTGAGATAGAGACAGTTTTACACTTCAGTTCTTGACACACCTCACACATTCCTAGTTTGATGGCAATAAATATATTTTTTGTATTATCAGGAGTTGTGTCTAACATTGTATTAATTGTTTTTAGATCCTAGATGGGACCTTAAACCTACTGGTATTGCAGAAGAATTTGATAGGGCATGTGAATTGTGGGCAAGAGGTATTCCATTCAGTGAAGTTATAAAAGTGGGATCAGGTAACAATATAAAGAGGTCCAATTGATGGCAGATATTTGTCCCAATATCTATACAGTCAACATTATTCCATACAATCTCATTCGAATCCATGTTAGGAGTGCATTCTACATTGAACCCACTTAACATGGGGGTCATGTCCAAGAATACCAATGATGAACTGCTGTTCATAAGCCCCACATAAAAACCCTCCAGTTATAGGCCCATCTACCTGTAAACAAAAAGATAAAACCAATTATAAGCTCCCCTCAAAATAATTACATTGAAATGAATAAGATTTATTATGATATTTTTAAGGTTAATATTAAAAACCAGTCAATTTTGATCAGCGTTGCTAGAGCTTGTTTCAAAGTGCTTTTCCTTTTAAGTTATAAGCCCCGTCGGATATAAGCCCCTCCATTTATAATAAGCCCTCCTAAAACCCTTTACGAAGACGTATAAGCCCAGGGCTTATAAGCAGCAATTTACAGTAGATAAAGAGAGGGGCCTACAAAGTTGTGTGCTGCATTTTGAAGGAAAAACCATTTAATTGTAAGTTAACCTTTAACACTTCTCCTCCCTCCCCCCTCCCCCTCCTTTTTTTTGGCCAGGTAAGATTAGAGGAGCTCCACCTAGAGAAGGCTGCATATGATTGACTGCAGTTATCATATCATGAAGTGAGCCAGTTAGTGTTTTTTTTTGTCCCAGGGGAATAGAATTAGAAAAGCCCTGGGATTGCAAATGCTTAAGGGTGGGGAGGGGGCATTGCGGTTAATAAGCACTTAAAAATACCATGTCAATTCTTTTACTTCAGCTGCCTTTGAAGAGACTCACCCTTGGGTTGCAAGTCATTGTGCTCAGTGGCTTCAAAAGGTGATTGAAGATGACCCAGTAGCAAAGTCCTGTGGTAGAAAAGGTTTTCAAATTTTGCATGGTATTTTAGAGAAGCAAATTGATGATGGAGGGAGTGTCACTTCTCATTTTTTTACCAGACATGCCCCAACATATTATGGAATGATGACTGTAGTTTTTGAGGTTAACTAATAGGTTTTCTGGTTACAGAATTAACTGAGTTTTTAAGTACTGTTTAAAAAAACAAGCAGGAGTGTATTATCAGGCTTAAAAACTTGAGCCACAGCTGAGAGTTTTTACACCTGATGATACATGACTGCGAGTTTTTTAAACGGCTTCAAAATCTCTGATATAGATCAACTCATTCTTGCACTAAAAAATTGGATGTAAAGTTTAGCCTTGTCTTTATCAGATATGAAGACATTTGATCACTAGACAGTATTTTTTTTTCTTTTTTATGAATTACTCATGAGTTTTTGAAGAGAACAAGTTTACACACTCTGATGAGACAGAAAAGTGAGATTATTGTGATTGTTAATAATTAAGACCCAAAAAAGTCATCAAAGTCGTAAAGTGCATTATTATTATGCAGGAAAACAAAATTATTAGTGCCTCTTATATTACCTTATGAAAATTTTTATCTTTATAGCAATAATAAGTATTAAAGTATTTTTATTATTTAATAAATGCTTAAGTTCATTAGAAGGGAAAAATACCTAGTGAAAGTACTTTTACTTAACTGGGTACATGTACCTTTCACCAGAAGAGGTTGCATGGTCAAACCATAAAACTTTGTTGGTAGACTCCAAAGTTAGATTATTAAATTATAGCATAATACAGTGAAAGCTCTTGTGAGCAGACATGCACCCTCAGTATGCAAAAAAAAAATGTCCATAACTGGAGCTGTCAGCTTATGGAAATGTAAAAATACAGAGTTTGTATGGGAGATGAGATTTTAAGCAGGGTTTTGTCAAGGTGGCCATAAGTAGAGCTGTCTGCTTGCAAGAGTGTCCACTGGGAGAGCTTCCAGTGTAAAATAATGGTAACATGTGAAAGTACTGCAGAGGAGGTTTCATATGAATGGTCACACTATAATTATGACTTTGTCAATATGATTTTTATAGTTAGAACTTGTTTACACAGCATAACACCAGTGTCTGCAGATGTTAATTGCCCCCCCCCCCCCCCCCCACTCCCCACTTCTTGGCTTGACTTAAAGACATGAAATGCTACATCACAGCTTCCCCTTATTAGATTTCTTCCAGTTGTCATGAGAATTCTTCTCGAACAGGTTGAAACAACTGAACAAGTCAAATCATGTAATATAGCATAAATTTATTTGCAAGAGCAGGTATATTCTCCAGAAATATAATAAATTATTAATTTTGCTGTCTCAAACTGTAGCTGGTACGATTTTAAATCATTTTTAAAATTCTTGTAAAATCTTTGTTTTAATAAATTACTAAATAAATAATAATGTACCTATAGCTTCTACAAGTTGATATTAATAGGGTAAAAAAGCACCAGCTCTTTAGAAAAAATAAGACGCTTTCATCTCCCCAATTTTTTTTTTTAACGTAAGGCTTGGTTGCACACAGGCTATATTATTCTGTCCACGTACGTTTTTTTTCTTTTATTTCTTTTTCCTTTTTGAGTTATTTAGCCTATTTAAAGAGCAATTAATCCAAGTCAATAAACCGCCTGCGGCTTTTTGTTTCATGCACGTGCTCGACAAATTTTGAAGAGAAAATAACTGAAATAGGCCACATCGTTATGCACGTTCATTAATTAGTTTGACGTTCTTAAAGGAGGTGGAAGGTTAAACGGACTTTCCATGGCCCACATAAAAGAAACTGGTCTCTTGGCAGTGGCCAATTTATTGTTGGATCTTGCAACCACTTCACTTGAGGACACTGAATCCTGCATCACCCACACATTTGTTGGTGACGGATTATCACTCTCACTATTTTTCTCTATCAGTACTTGATCCCTGTCCATTAGTTCTTCTAGGTGCTCTACACCCTCATTTTCCTCGACATTTTTTTGTTTACTGCACAACAGAAAAAAAGGAAACAGCGATCCAATCACTAGTACTCCACCGGACATTAGGAAAGCCAATGTGTAGTTCCCATACTTGTCCGCTATCAGTCCTAGCGAGAAAAAAAAAACAGACACATGTTTGGTGTGTTGGTTTTGAGATAACCTGCGTTCAAAGAGAGGTTTGTGGTCTTGCACCTAGTTAATGTTAATAAATAAGTATTTTGCTCCGCATTTCTTCTGGGAGTGACTAACAAGAAAGAATGGCGACTCCCCGATATTAATCATGATACAGGAGTGCTCAGTGGACATTTTCAAAGACATCTCCCCTAAAAGATTAACTGGCACTGACAAGTTATGATAAAGAAAACTCCATCGAGTAACCAATAGCCTGGGAAAACAGTCAAAATTTCGCAAAAAAATGATGGAACTGTTGGGTATCGCACTTTCTATTTGTCAGAACTGGCTGGCCAGACCAGTCAGTTAGCAAATTAAATCCACTTTTTCCAAGAGTTTTTGCTGAAAAACCATTTCCTTTGTGCATACTGTTTAGGATTTTACTGATCTGGCTGGACAGAATTGAAAGTGAAATTCTCCTTACAACAGGAATGGTCTCGCAAGTCAGTTCTGACAATTGGAATGCGCCCTAAGCCTGACAAACCACCACTGGTTTCCCTCGAAATGAGGACTGAGGAGCAAGCACAAATACGCCATACCGTTGGTATGTCACTACCCAGATCTGGGTAGTGGTCCTGAGTGGTTGAAAATTTGCTTTTCTGCACTTTTTCCTCGGATGTCTTTTCGTGAGGAACCCAGTGGTGATGTCACAAAATATCAGCTGTTTTGACTCTCTAAAAGGCTCCTTAGATGAACTGTGACAACTCCAATAGCAGCCATTTAAGAATTTCAAAGAAACTAGATTTTCAGTAGAACAATGAAATACTAACCTGACAGAGGGGGAGCAAAAAATACAAACACTCCACCCATGAACATGGTAAACCCGAGACAAGAGGCTCTTTGAGATTCCTTCATGGACTTAAATAGATCAATAATAAATGTTGATATCATCAACCCATCCGCCAGACTGAACAGAACGATGACAACAGCCACAGAAGCAAATGTCTTTGCAGGAATGAGAAGAAGGGTGGAGGCGCCCACTGTGAACACAGCTGCCTGGTAAAGGAACCGGGAGTTAATGAATCTAATGTCACAAAGAAAGCCGGCCATGAGTCGGCCAGTTGATGCAAATAATCCAATAAGCAGAAAAAGTGTAGTACTCTTGCCAGGAGGAATTCCAAGGTCATCACAGTGTTTTATCTGAAAGAGAATAAGGTACCGTAAAAAAAAAAAAATTTGGTAGATAGGGATATATACTTGCTTCTAACATGGCAGCCCCAACGAGTATTGTTCATGTTTCAAGTTTCAAAACAAGGGGAGCTTCAACTGAACTTTGCGCTGTTGTGCAAAGATATGGCCTCTCAATCAACAGAAAGACTAGTAGTGTCTTTATAAATGTTTGCCCTCTTTCCACCACAAAAAAGTGTCATGCTGTGTCATTGTGTGCATACCCCTTGGTATATATATACCGTAGTGTCCAGCATCAGATGGGTTAATTCTTGCATGAGCAGCCCACTCGCTGGGACCAAGTTGTGTGACTGTGCAATTTACTTGGTATTAACCACTTTCCATGAAGAACCTACCTCCTTCAAATCCCTCCCCCCCACTTTCCTGAATTAAGACCCCTATTGTCTTGCAGGGGATCTGTCGTCAAGTACCCTGACTGACCCACAATAACTCCTTTGGTGGGTCTTCATAACTCAGTTGGTAGAGCACTGCAGTGCTAATGCAGAGACCATGGGTTCGAATCCTGTTTGAGCCTCGAAGATTTTTTTCATTTTAATTTGCAATTGGGTAAACTCCCATTACAACTGCGCCGATCATATCTTCATTTAACAGTTTTGTATTTCTGTAGTTCACATTTGGCTACATTAAAGCAGTACTGATATCAGGAAATATGCTAATAGGGCCACCCTCCTTATATAATTCCTCTAGAGACATGCAGTTATACAGTGTTGCTTCTTGACTTGACATGTAAGAAGGACACTTGCACCTTTTGTTTTTTACCAGTTCATGGAAACACTTTTCCTGTCGCCTCATGTAAGCGATTCCGGAATCCGTGAAATTCCGGAATCCTGGAAAATTTAATGGCTTGTGGAATCTGGAATCCTGGGCTTTGGAATCCGCATTAAAGCTCAAGCAATCTGGAATCCTACTAATGATTGATTTAAAGGCTAAAATTCAGTACCGGCAGAATCTGGAATCCAAGGCATAGAATCCAGTGTTGCAAGGAGTTAGGTTGTAGTAAAAACAATTCATACTCACCAAATGTACATAAGGTACAATGCGACCAAAATTACTCACAGCTGCCATAGCCAACAACATGAGAAACCTTGGATTCTTGCATGCAGAAAAATTCAGACTAAACTTCTTGGCATTCATGTCCTGGCATTGACTCGTCAAAGAACTGTTGCTTTTCAGAAAACACCCAGTGAAAGAGGCAACAGCCAAAAAACCAGCCAACATACGCATGGCGTTTCTCCAGTCAAAAGCGTCCACTAAAGCTTGTAGTGTGGGACCATATATCATTGTCCCGAGCCCTGGACCCGAGGTGGCAGTCGCTAGTGCGAGCGCTCGCCTCTTGCTGAAGTACTGGCTCACAGCTACGGGCGAAGAGATGTATAAGGACGACATCCCGATCCCGAATGGTACACTAAAAGCAAGATAAAGAACCACAATGTTTGGAGCCAGAGATCCCAAAACTAGGCCTGTGGCACAGGCCAGACAGCCTACAGTAATGGTGATGCGGCAGCCGAAGCGGTTCACAAAGGCACCCATAATAGGACCAAAGATGAGAAACACTGCCATGGTGATAGAACTTACCCATGCTGCAAACAAAACAAAAACATATTTCAAGAAAATGTATCAGTCATTTATATGTTACGCCAACTACACACAATGACAACTAAGTACCTTTTTTCACCTTTAAATTAAGTGATGAAACAGATCATGAGGTTTACAAAGGAAAAAGTGGCAAGGCCGCAAATAGAAAGAAACTTGAAATCGATAACTATGCAAAAGTCTCATCCCTTTTTAATTTATTGATGCTCATCAGTCTCGGGCTGTATTCATTTCATCTCATTCGTGAAAACTAGTCAAACTAGTACTGCACAGGGACTTCAACTTGGCTTCTCCGTGGAGACGTAGCAGTATTATAAGAAGAATGGAGACTGGACTCAAATATGTGCTTGTTTGAAGTGACTCAAAACTTAGATTATAAGTGAGGAAATCTATTTCATGTGACACAGAAAACCCCCAAAATGCTTTGCAGTAGATGGACTTCACAATGCAGCAAAACAACTGGACAGCGTACTTAGTGTCTGGAATAGGGTTGAGCTGATGCTAAGGGTCCTGCAAAGCTTATTGCTCTTATATATTCTTGCTATGCCTTTCTATTTTATTATAAGTATTAGTATTAGTATTAGTATTAGTATTTAGTATTAGTATTAGTATTAGTATTAGTATTAGTATTAGTATTAGTATTAGTATTAGTATTAGTATTATAAGTATTAATAATTCATAAATTATAAGTAATTCATAAATTATAAGTATTAATAATTAATAATTCATGTATTAGAACTAGTGAAGAAGGCCTCCTGTCGGTTGTACTTCTTGAGACAACTAAAGAGATCACAGATTATGCCTGCGGAGTTAATACTTTTTTACATCACATGCATTCGTTCTATTCTCGAAAAAAGCATGTCCCGTGTGCCATCGCGCCCTCCCGGGTTACCTCAGCGACGACCTGGAGAGACTGCAAAAACGTGCATTGCGAATTATTTACCCCGGTATGTCATACAAGCAGGCCCTAGAATTTTCAGGTTTGCCAACCCTCTTTAAAAGGAGAGAAGAGATTTCATCAAAGCTCTTCAATGAAGTCGTGGGTGACCCGGGCACACTCTTCACAACCTCCTTCCTTCCAAGAATCCAGCAAATTACTTTCTAAGGAGGAATCGGAACTTTGCCTTACCTTTGTGCAAGACCAATCGATGCAAAAAATCTTTCATTTTTAGTCACGTTTTCTGCGCTTAGTAGTGTTTAATTAGTTAGTTATAGTAGCAATTTTATACTTTTTACCTTTTTATTGTTATATTTTATATACTTTTTTTTTTTTTTAATTGTAATGTCTTTATTGTAATGTCCTTTTATTGTAATGTCTTTCGTAATTCAGCCTATGGCTGCAAGGTATTAAGACAATGAAGCATCTATCTCTCTATCTCTATCTCTCTAATATTACCGGTAGTATTAGTATTAGTATCAGGCTATGGTCGATGGGATCTAATGATAATCGACTTATAAAACTGGTAAAATAATTATCCAATACTCCGGAAAACCGCTGAAGGTAATGACTGCGGACGAACATCAGTCTGTATGATATTTTTTTTGGAAATCACCCATTCCTCCCCTCAAAAGTCGAATGGTCGGCCCTTAACCTCTCTACTATTATACGACCCCTAGAATGAAATTCGTAGAATGAGCGTCTTTACCCCACTTCCCACCCCGCCCCCGGCGGTCCGGCCCATGATCTATCCTACCACTTTCTCAAAAGCAAGGATATCATGTGGAAAGCTTTCTTCCCTCACGAGTACTAAAAATTGACCTTTGTACCACCAGAATCGTATGAATTTTTGCTGACTGTAAAACGCAATAATTGTTATCCTCGTGTTATGTAAATGTAACGTTCGAAGATTATTTATTAAATTAACGGGAACTGAAAAATTATTTAAAAGGTGGACATTTATTGTTTTTCCGCTACTAGTAGCATATGTCAGGGCTGTAAGAACATATCATTATTATCTCTGCCAGGAGCCGATCCTGTCTCAGTAAAAAAAGCCGTACGTCAACTGATTACCGCTTGATGAAACCGCTTCTAATTTTACTGCATTTTTAATATTAAAGGCGCTAACAGCCATAGCACGAAGCAGCTGTCCCACTGGGTCCAAACAAAACAACGAAGATAACGTCGAAGGCAAATTATTCAACTTACCGGTTCTTTCTCTGCTTTCGTTGAAAGACTCCATGAGAACAGGGAAAAGTACGCCGAGAGCATAGTTAAATCCAACAGACATCATCAGGCATATTGAGCAACAAAAACAAATGAACCAGGACCAAACACTGTCTTGCTCGAAAGAGGAAATGTTCCTAATGCAGTAAACTTGGTTCATGACAGTAAACTCAAAGCATTCTTAAACGATACAAGATATATTAATAGAAATTTAGGTTGCCACTTGGCACCTTGTTGGATCTTGGACACAAAACAATTTTTCTTTCTGGTCTCCTTGTCACGCAACACCAAACTAGTTTCCAGTCTTCTGTCGATAGGACAACGACAGCAACAACAACAACATCTTTTGTTTTTAAACACGGTGGGGTTTTACAGCTAATATAGCTTATGGGGCCATGTAAAAATGTCAATAAAATAATTAGAAATATTTTTTTAAAAAAAATTTATGTGGTCAATAAAAATAGCATCAATAAAAGACGAAATTGCTGTCAATTTGGGGACAGCCCATATGCGGTGACTCCGCATTGAAGTTCAAGTTTCTGAGGGCGGTGAGACTTTTTTGCCCTTTTAGCATAATCCCTGGCGCTGACAGCGGATGGTTCTAAAAGATTCCAGACAATGGATCCTCTGTAAGAAATAGAGTTTTTCATATAATAAGTTTCAAAACGTTGTACGCTATAAACACGATGCTGATGGCGGAGGTCATACTTCTGATACTTAGGCTCTTTCCTTTGGATTAAATGTCCCAAGCATGTTGGAGTTATTCGGTTGTAGATATCAATCTGACCAAACGCAGCCGCTTTTTACCCAGGAATTCGCTTTTAGATTTATTAAAGTCATTTTACCCTCGGTTACATATGCGCTACCAATTTGCGGGTGTTGTACAAATAAAAACGAATTTAATGACCTTTAATTCTTTGGTATGATACATTCTTTGGTATCCATAGACTGCGGTTTTCTAATACAACTGGTATTCTGCAAAAAAAAAACTATGTGGTTTATTGGTGTCGAAGTAGAGCAAGAGACGAGTGCACCCCCTCCTAAAAAAAATCCTGGATCCGCCCCTGGTAGATATTGTTGTGAAATGCTCTAACAGATTCCCTATCCCTAAACTATAGGCTTTTAGAATACTTCTCGACGTAAACTAGTTCCTACTTTTTACAAAGACTGGGTCCGAGCAGAGCGGATGAAGGTTTGCGTGACGGTTTAAGTACCGTTTTGCGTTGCGTCCGTTGAGTGTGAGTTGCGTGCATCACGCAATCGCAAGTAGCCAGAAGTTACGTAATTGGAAGACTGTGAAACTTCGCTGATCAGCGCTTTTGTAAATGCGCTGTTTACGTTCAGAGACGTGCCAGACCCCTGTTCTTATGCTGCCTTGTGAAACCAGCGCGCGACCTCCACATGACTAATATTTATAAAGTGAAACTGATAGGTATAGAAAGTCACCACATCGAACAAAATATGAATATTTGTAGATCTGTATCGAGATGTTGTCGTGATGGCCATTCATCGCACAAAAAGGACAGCAAATGGGCATGGATGGTTTGCCTTGCGGCTTCCACGAATATGGCGTTCACTGCGGGGTTGCTTTTTTGCTTTGGAGTACTTTTACCTGTGTTCATGGACTACTTCAACGAAAGCAGGGAACGTACAGGTATGAAATCAATTCAGCCGCCATTCCCTTTTGATATAGAAATAAAGAAAGTTATTAAGCTCCAAGTTTTTAAACGATACCCTTCCCTTGCCTCATTGTACATCCACAATCAAACTGCATTCATCATCATCCGTCAGTTTTTCATAATCTTTTTTTCTACATTGACGCTACATGAATATATTATAGTATCAAAACCATCCTCCTCTATAAGCCCACCCTTAACCCCCCCCCCCCACCACACACACTGGAGAAAAACAACACAGGGGGCACAGGGGTGTACCAAACTTTGTGCAAAGCTTTGTGAAGAGACTCCAACTCCTCTGAATCATTCACTCAATAAGTTTTGGTTGTTACACACCAATTCAAAAGACATATCAGTGTATGTCATAGGTAGAAAGAGCAATAATTTTTCTATACTTGATACAAACCTCAAGTCACTAACGTGTACTGTTGAAGACATCTGACAAACTGATAAATACACAAAGTTGCAGACCACTACCGAAGGGCTCCCTGCAAAAACGTCCTCTTGATAGCCCACTCATACTGTG